AAACATTATAATAACAAAAAAAAACAACAACAAAAACAAATTGTAATTTCTTTTTTTCAACTATAGATCTTTTTTTTTTTTTTTTTTTGATTTCAACAATAACAACAAAAAAATGGATCACCACCATAATCATCATCAACACTGTTGTTGATGATTTGCGGTGGCAAAAGGTTTGGTCAGATGATGATAATGATGATGATGGTTAATAGTAAAAAAAAATATAAAACAATAACATCAAATGAAATTGGGAAAAAAAAGGCCAAGTACGTAACATTTTTTTGCATCTTTTGGATGAATATTTAGCGAACGAATATGAAAAATAAATAAACAAATAAATTCGATGATGAAAACTATCGATTGTTTTTTTTTGTTGTTTGTAGTAGTTTCGATATATCGAAATGATTCATTTCGAACTTCCAAAAAAAAAAACAACAAAAATAACAATTTTTTTTCATTGAGAAAAAAAAAGGTCATCACCATCATCATGCATGAAACGTACGTAATTGATCCATGAATTTACCCGAAATCATTATCATCATCATCATCATCATTTGATTCTAAATTATTTTTTTTTATGAATAAATTTGATTTTGTAAAAATTCAAATGAAACAAAACAAATTAAATGATCAACAACTAAATCATTTTCTTTTCCCCCTCTTTTTTCTCGGTGCATTTTTTTCTTGGCTATTGAATCGATTATGATGAAATGAAATGAGATTTTCTTTCTGATTTATTCGAAGAAAAATGTTAAATTACTTTACTTTCTTGATTCTTTTTTTGCTTTGATCTTCCTTGTTCATTTGTTGTTGTTTGTTGTTTAATAGATAACATACGTTCAAATAATTAGTTAGTAACAAACTTTTTGTTTTGTTTTTATTTTTTCATCATTATCTAATCAAATAATTATTATTCGGTCATTGCGTGCCACCATTGATACACACAAACACACACATTAGTGAATGAGACTATATCAACATCAATGGATCGAATTTGAAAATTTTTTTTAGCCATTTTTGTTTCATTTAATGATGATGATGATGACGATAATGGTAAGAAAAATGAATGAATGAAAAGAAACAAAGGATGGGTCAAGATGGCCATGGCTTTTTGATTATCATTGAAAAACAGAAACAAAAAAGAAGATAATGGTCATTGTTCATTCTATGGAGAGAAATGAAATGAAATTCCTTATGATGAAAAACGATGATGATGATGAAAAGTTTTCTATTTCATAAGAGAAAATATAAAAAATGATACTTATAAAGCAAAAAATGATCCATAAAATAAGAGAAATTTTCTTGTTTTGTTTTATTTCGTGACCACTATCTAAATGTATCTGATATGATGATGATGATGATGATGATAATGATAACGTTGAAATCTAATGATTCAAAAGACAAAACAAAAAAACACGTTCCAATTGTGATTGGTAAATTAGATTTTTCACTATCACTTTTGATTTAAAAGAAGCAGCAGTCGAAAAAGATTATTATTATTATTATTTTTTTTGTATTTCGGAAGATGTTTTCATTCCCCAATTTTCATTGCACCCAATTTTCTCGTGGGAGAATTGATGAAAGAAGGTGAAAAAAAATTTGAAATTTGATACATTTTGTTTGTTTCACGATGTTATGTAACAGAGATTATTATTATTATAATCAAAAATCAAGATCAATATTGAGTGAAGATAAAACAAAACAAAATTATAATTAGTTTTTCCCATTGTTTTGAAATTTGATTATTCGAACATTATCGTTATCGAATTTTTCTTTTTTGAATTCATTCATAAATGACATATTTTCTTTTTTTGCTCTCTTTTTTCCGTTTCATTGTGTAATGAAATCCATTGATGATAGAAAAAATAATCCAGTTAGAAAATTTTATCATCATCATCATTGAACTTGATGATGATGGATAAAGTTGACACATTATATCCTGATAATAATGATGTTATTCTTGAAAAAAATGATGATGAGAGTGAGAGATGTGAAAATTTCATTTCCTTTTTCGGTCATTGATAATGACCGAATAATATTATTCACATCTATCGGATAATGGCAATGATTCCTTCGTCTTCTTCTAATGTATACACACAAATGACCTATGTAGAAAAGGCCAATCTTATCGATTATTGAGACATTTAACAATTTGTTTTTGTTTTTGTTTGTTCTTCCGATGATCGATTGATGATCGTTCCATCTTGATTGATCATAAATAATAATAATTTTTTGTTTTGGACAAAGGTCAAAAAATGTTCCAAATATCCGATTCAGAGGTAACAAAACTTAATTTTTCGAAAATATTGGAATAATTTTTTTTTTGTTGACTTCATTGAACAAAATTATCCGATTATCCGAAATCATCATTCGAATGATTGATCTGTACGTCATTTGTGTAAGTGTTGTTGTCGTTTGGATTCGAATGAATCGATTTCCTTTATGAATGTTTTTTTTGTTGAGTTTGAATTTGATTCGAGATTAATTCTCGAAACAAATAAATCGATCATCCAAATCGATTTTTCTTCTTTTCAAATCGAAAAAGGTCAACGCCATTCGAATAATCGAATATCATCGATGTCATCATCATCATTTATAATCCAAAAGTATTATAAAATCGAAATTTTTGTTTTGTTTCTGAACATTATCATTATTGATGTGTTTGTAGTTGAATAAAATTTATTCAAAACATTCATTTAAATGCTAATATTACAACTTATTATGATGATGATAATGACTGAATGTTTAATGAATTTTTCTTTTTCTTTTTCATTTACGTGTTTAATAATTGATTGATTGAAAATGATTAAAATTTAAAATTTTTGGGCCATATATTTAATTCCAATAGATCTATTGATGATCTTCAATCACAATGACCTATCGTCAATCGATTTGAATGCAATAATATAATGATGGATAGTCGTCATGATGATGATTTTTTTTTACATAATATTTTCCAAACTGATTGATTGATTTGGTGAAATTAACGAAGAAAAATATTCAACAACAACAAAAATGAAATTTCTTCGAAAAAAAAAATAAAATTGAATGTCACGTTTTGTTGATGAAATATTTTTTTTCGTTCACCATTTGATTCGTTTTTCTTTTATCTTCAAAATTTTCGATAATTATAATGATGATAATGATAATGATAATCAAAAGATCGGATCATAAATTTAATGATATGATTAATTCCAAATTCACACACACACACAAACATCCATTGATTTTATTCGTTGTTTTTCTTTTTCGCTTTTGCCCTAAAGGGCACGGAATGATGATTATGATGAAATCGAAATTTAAATATCGTGTCAGCCACCAAAATGATCAATGTGTGATCAAGATTTAGTTATTGTTTCAAACACGATTCGTTTTTCAACAACAACAATAAAAATTTTTCACTTGGGATTTTTCTTTGGGTTTGATTTGTATATATACTTCAGGATCGTATCGTTTTCATATCGAATTTTCCTTATTTTCATTCGAATCAAAAGTCATCACAGATAAAAATAATCTTATGATGGATAACATAAATATCGGATTTTTTTGAACGGGAAAAAAATTTGAATTTCTTTCGGGCGGAATGAAACAAACAAAAAACATTGAAAATTTGATTGAAATTGTTTTTATGATGAATTAAAAGATTGATTCGAATCCAATCGGATTTTTTTTTTCGTTCGATATCGTTTGCTTCAAACGATAGTATCGATATTTTGATTCGAATTTTGTTTTTGTTTTTGTTTGTCCATTTCAATTCCATTTTCTTATCAAAATGAAAAAATGTTTTGACCGAATGAAAAACAAAAACAACAAAATCATCTAAATGTTCATTTTGTTTCAATTGAAAAATATATTCATTTCCTTATTTGATTCGATTACAGTGGCCTTTATATCATCATTTATCAAATTATCTTTTTATTTTCATTTAGATATTTTGTATCGAATTTAAATGGAATTGTTTTTTTTCTCATTGCATTGATCATTTTTATCATCATTATCAATGGTGTTTTAACTGAAGAATTTGTCCGAATTTAATTCAATTTTTAATGTTTTTTAAACAATCATTTGGCCCTATTGAACTTTGTGGTGACTGTGATGTGATCATGAATAAAAACAAAAAAAAGATATAAAATCATATTGCATAACATTGTGAATATCTTATCAGTTGAAAGAAAATCTATAGAGTTTATTATTCAATCTTTTTGATAGCTGAAAATAAATTGTTTTGTTTATGTCATTAATCGATTGTTTAATCGAAACTATCGAACGATTCGAATAAAAAATCGACCATCACCGTGAATTTTTTTTTTGATGGACAGGTGAATAAATGATGAACTTAGAAACATGAATTTTGATGGCCAACATTTGATGACCATATTGCCAATCAATTTTTTTTTAGCCAATCAAATTGATATTCAAAGAAAACAAAAAAAAATGTTTATGTTATTCGATGATGATGATGTAATGATCATTATATAATGATAAATTTCTTTTTTAATCGATAAAATCATTTTCATTTTTTGTTTTTTTTTCATCGATAATGATTGTCCCATGTGAATTGAAATGATATTTCTCATCATCATCATAATCATTAATTATATGGTTTTTTTTCGCAGAAAATTGTAATTATAATTAATTCATTTTGTAGAAAAAACAACAACAACAAGAAATAATATTGACCTTCAATTCAAGAGAAAAAAGAAACAACGATCCATATAGACCCATGACACTACGATGATCATTGCTAATGATGATCCTTTTTTTGTTGAATGAATTGAATTTTATCATTAATTAATTAGTTTGTAATGAGAAAAACAAATTTTTGTGAAACGAAACGAACAAATAAAAGTATCAGGTCATAAAACACGACAACAACAACAAAGTGTGAGAACAACAACAACAGGTGAGTTTTTCAAAAAAAAAAACAATTTTAAATGGTTCAAAAAAAAATTATTTTCTAAATTTTTCCATTTTGTTTCATTTTCTAATCATAGCACATTATTGATATATTTGACATGAATTGTTTTTATCATCATCATCATCATCATCATTATCATTCTGCTATTTTCAATCGAGAAAAAAATATCGAGGTTAAATGCAAATTATCAAGATTTATACCATCAACATTCGACAAATAAAGGTCGATCATCGATTATGGCAATCATCATGAAAATAATAGAATGTAACGAGAGTGAAAAAGAGATATACTTTTTTTTCAACAACAAAAAAAAAACTTTAAAATTTTTTCGAATCTAAACCAACAAATCAGACAACAATCCAAAAACGATGACAGGAAGTTTTTGTTTGTTTGTTTGTTTGCTTAACATTAAATGAATTAATCATAAAAATATATGATGATGATGATGATGGAGAAGATGCAAAAATAAAATTGGGAAAAAAAAAGAGGAAAAAGTTATTATCAACAGCAACAGCAACGGGAGAAGACAAGAAGAAAAAAAAATTCAAACTCGGAAATCCATTCGCAAACAACAATTCATTTTAAAAAATTTTAATTTTTTTTCGAGTCAAAAAAACAACAACAATCAGACAAACAAACAAAATATATTGATATGGCTTCCGTTGATTTGTTGTTGTTGTTGTTGTCGTTGTTGACAATTTAAAATACAACAGCTTAAATCCAGCTATCCATTCATCGATGTCATCATCGACAATGATGATGATGATGGTGAATGGTGATCATCATCATCATCATCGGTTATTATTGGTTAGTACATCTCATTCCGGAACAATGTATTTATTTAAATTTTTGTTTTCTTTCTTTCTTTCTTCCAGTTAGTTTGTTTAGGATAATCATAATCATCATCATCAATGAATGAATGAATGAATGAATGGAAAGATTTGCGAAACCCTAAAGGTTAAAATAGAAATAATAATCATTTCCGTTTTTTTTTATCATCATCATCATCGTTATCGTTATTGCTTTCATCGTGTTTTTTAAAGTTTTTGTTGTTGTTGTTGTTGCAATCATTTTTTTTTCTTCAATCATTTTGGTGACGATGATATGGATTGTTACTGTTTTATATGTTTGTTTGTTGCCTGGATCATCTTCGTTTTATGTCATTTTTGAGGCAATTGGAAGAGAAAAACAAAATTTACACAAGTTTATTTTAGAAAAAATTTGTTGCTGTTGTTTTTTTTTCATGGAAAAAAAGATGTTTCTCGTCTTTTTTTTTGCAGCCAAACAAATTTGGATCAAATGATTATTTCTAATTTGTCGTATTTTTTAAAAAACAATGAAAAATTGTGAAATTTTTGGTTTTGTTCATCGAGAATTTTGGAATTTTTGATTCAACACTTCTTACATAGATAGATGTGTGTGTGTGTGCGAGCAAATAACCGATCAAAATCTGATAATAAAATCTTTGTAACCAATTAAAATTAATTAGAAATTAAATTTTTACTGGTTTATCATTTACTTGATCATGTTGATGATGATGAACTTATGATTATTGCATCAATATATTGCAATGATGATAATCAATGTTTTTCGTTTCGTTTCCCTAAATACAAAAACAAAACAAGAAAACAAAATGAGAACAACAAATTCAGTGGAAAAAAATCTTTCACAAACAAACAAAATAATTATTGCTCCTGAAACCTAATTGATTTTTTTTGTTGAATTGATATTTGGATTTGAAAGTAAAAAAGGTAAAATGAAAAGTGTAAATGAAAAAATTCGAGGTCGAATGAACATCTTGAATGAATTATACTTGAAAAAAAACGAAACAAAACAATCATTATTCAACAACATGATTTTTTTTTTGGATAATAAATCAAATCAAATTGAAGAAAAAAAAATTGTTGTTAATGCCCAAAAAACAACTGATTATCTTATATCACATAACTATAGTTTTCGTATGAAATTTAAAACCATCAATTAATTGATTGATTGATTTTTTTTTCGTTGTTGTTGTTGAAATCAACAGAATAATTAATTTTTTTTTTTTAAATTTTTCGAAACTATCAAAACTATCGATAGTAGTAGAGATATATATCGATTGTATATATCCGCATTCGATTGATTAAGATGATTCGATTTTTTTTTTTTGATTCGAAATGAGCTTGAAAAGGATTATGCTAATTTTTTTTCTGTATCTTGCCGACAACTTGACCTTAGGCTTTTATTTTCGAGTTCGAAGATGAAAAATGATGATGAACCATTCATTCCTTTCTCTCAATCTCTCTTTACCACTTTTTTATCATCATAATTCATTTTTTTGTTTGTTGTCCATTTTATCTGCTCCATTCATTTTTTTTTTTGAACAAATTCAATTTTAGACAACAACAACAACAACAACAAAATTCAAATGAATTGGTGACATTCATTCAAGATTGAATAATCAAAATGATCCAAGATGATGATGAGAATGAACAACGAAAATGGGCCCGACCAATCACTTCTCTCTCTTGATTTTTGTTTTGGTCCAAAATTTTTCTCTCTTTCCATATCACTCTCTCTCTCCTCTTAGTCCCGTGTTGAAACATTTGCATGTCAATTTCAGCCAAACACACACATATTATACCGACTCTTTCAATGATTAATTCTCAGAAATTTTATTTATTGTTCAATCTGAATAAGAGAATTCATATTGGAAATTTTGTTTCAAAATAAATGAGCTAAAATTTTTTCTTCTTCTTTTTCGTCTTCTTTATAACGAATCCAATGATGTGGATATATAAACTCGAACATAATCCATTCATTCGTTCGTGTTTTCTTGTGTAGATTTTATTTGCTTGCAAACAAACAAACAAACAAAAAATTGTGTTCCTCTTTGTTTTTCTTGGTGCGTGTACTTCAGTGTTAAAATCCTTGATTATCTGAAATTAAAAATCGAATAATTTAAAAAAATGTTGCGAGTATGTTAATTTAAAGATTGTTTTTTTTTGGTGAAAATTTATTTTGTATTTTATTCTTATCATTTTTCTTTATTCTTTTCTTTTGTTTATTTTCAACGAATATTCTGTCGTTCGATTAATTATCATCATCATCATTATTAATGAAATTATCGTTTCAATGAATTATAGTTCGCTGTGATATCATCTACATTGGTTGCCGTTTGCTTTGCTTATGGCGGTGGTGGTGGAGGTGGCGGTGGTAAGTTTTTCTTTATCATATTCATTATTCGATTGATTAATTTTTTTTTCTTCAAGGTGGTTATGGGGGTGGTGGTGGCGGTGGTAAGTGTTTCTCTATCTTATTTATTATTCCATTGATTGAATTGGTTTTTCCCTTTTGTCTTTGTCTTTAAGGTGGTTATGGGGGTGGTGGTGCTGTCATGATGGTTAGCTCTGCCGGATATGGTGGCATGGGAGGTGGTGGCGGCGGCGGCTATGGTGGTGGTAATTTTAATACAAATAGAGCCAAATTTATACCATTTCTAACCGGTCTTAAATCTTTACTAATTTATAAAGGTATGGGAGGTGGTGGTGGTTCTTACGGTGGTGGTATGGGTGGTGGTGGTGGTGGTTATGGTGGCGGAATGGGTGGAGGAATGGGCGGTGGTATGGGAGGTGGTGGTGGTGGAGGCGGCGGCGGTGGTGGCGGTCCACAAGTCATCAAAGGCGCCATCCAATCACGTCAAACCTTCGAAGTTCGACCAGTGCCAATCCAAATGAGCCAAGGTACTCCACGTATCGTTGAATTCGATGGTGGTTCAGCTCCATTGAAATTGCATTTCAAATCTTCCGGCGGAAAAATTCAAATTATGCAATCAAACATGGGAGGCTACGGAAATGAACCAGAATACACTCAATCTGAAGAAGAACCACAACGATTGATTCATGAAGTGAAAAAACCAATCATCCAAGAAGTCCGTGAAATCATCATTCCATACCGTAAAGTCGTCCAAGAAGTTCGACCAGCCAAAGAAGAAGTCAAAACTATCGTCAGTCAAGGACAAGGCGGTGGTGGAGGTAAATTTACTTTTAATATTAAAAAAATAATTAACGAAAACTCTTCTATAGGTTATGGCGGTGGTATGGGTGGTGGTGGCGGAGGCGGCTACGGAGGCGGAATGGGTGGTGGCGGAGGTGGTTATGGTGGTTCTTCCGGTGGTGGAGGAGGTAAAATCACTTTAAATATTAAAAAAAACAGTTAATAGAATCTCTTCCATAGGTTATGGTGGTTCTTCTGGTGGCGGAGGCGGCTATGGCGGTTCCTCTGGCGGTGGTGGAGGTAAAATTACTTTTAATGTTTAAAGAACAATTAATAAAATCTTTTCTATAGGATATGGTGGATCTTCCGGCGGGGGTGGAGGTGGTTATGGCGGTTCCTCTGGTGGTGGTGGAGGTAAAATTGCTTTTAATATCTAATAAACAACTAATAGAATCTCTTCCATAGGTTATGGTGGTTCTTCTGGTGGTGGTGGTGGTGGAAGTTATTAAGCCATCTTTTTTTAAGCCACACTTTTATCCAAATGAGCCAAAAATAGTAGGAAAAAAATTCTATCTAACCACATAAAATCTACCTAAACAAATCAACCAAAAAAAACAAGAAAAAATAACACCAAGCCACTTTCATCAACACACTAAGCCAAAAAAAAAACCAACCCACTTAAGCGCAAGAATTAGAATCACCCACAATTCATCTGTCATGATCATCATCATCATATATCAAAAATTGATTTAGGCGCTATATAAATCATCCAAAGAAAGTGGATCATCGTTTTTTTTTCTTCATCTCTCCCTCAATCACATGCCTTTATCCTTGTTTTTTTTTCATTAATGACCATCATACAAGAATCTAACACTTAACACCATTTATCATATTGATTGTTTTGTTTTTTTTCTCTCATTTACATTGCTAATTTCAAATACACACAAGATTCGATGATGATAACGACGATAATTACGACGAAATCATCTTCTATTTATTTTACACATTACACATATTTATTTTTAAATTTTATAAAATTTGTAAATAAAAAAAAATTAATAATAACAAATTTTTCAAAAAAATCAATTTCAAATCATGAAAAAAATGATGATGATGATGATGATGATCAAAAGATTTTGTCATCCGGAACATTTCCCATATATATGATTAAAAAATCAGGATAATTTAATCATCATCATCATTAACATTTAAAAAAATACATTCACACACCCTTAACACAATCATCATCATCATCATCATTATCAAATTGATTGTATTCATCAAATTTTTTTTCAAAAGAAAAAAATCAGTCATCTGTATGAAAAATCAAATACATTTCAGGAAGTTTTTTTTTGTTTTGTTTCTGTTTCTGTTTTGTCATTAGAAATTTGAAACAAAAAGCAAACAATTTACCATATATCTGTAATGGATGGGAGAAAAAAAAGAAATTTTTTTTTTGTTTTTGTATTGAAATTGGAATCGGAAATATTGATTATCTCAATGTGATCAGGTGATCATTACACAATGCCACACCTTTAGAACACACACACACACACACACATTATATGACCTTTACTGATTTTGTTTGACAAAGGAAACAAAAACAAAACAAAAAGTACGGAAGCAAATTTTGTTTTCGGAGAATAATCTATATAGACAACAATGGTTCATATAGCATTGTGAAAGAAAAACTTTGGCTATTTTGGAATTTTCATAAAAACAATCAAAGAATTTGATCCATGTATAATTTAGATCATAATCGAATTAATTATTTCGAATAACAATTTGATTGTTATTTTTTTTTCGAAAAAAAATTGCATTTAAATCCAATTCGATTCATTCGAAATTTGTTTGTTATTGAATAATCAAAAACAAAAATAAGTAAAAGAAAGAAGAAATTTTTTTTTCCCCCAGTTCAATTCATTCATTCAAATGACCATGATAAAAATGGCCATAATAATAATGTCGGTGATCATAATATTGGAATCAATTTCATTTTCTTCCGGTATGATGATGGCTAGCGAAGTAATTCGTCGTTCAGATTTTTATCGTGATTCAAATTATTCATGTTCAAAAGATCAAAATAGTTTTCTATCAAAAATATTATCAATTGCAATGATTAATGATGATTTATGGATTTATCGTATTGATCATATTATTGTTGTTTATACTGATACAATATATCGTCATTATGATCCATTTAAATCAAAATTTTATCTATTTGATGAAAAATTATTAACATTTCGTCATCAAATGCATTCATATGTAAAAATGTTATGGCCATATAATAATTTGTTAAGTAATAAATTACCAATAATTAATGATACTGAAAGAAATGTAACAATGACAATGTTTCGTAGTGGTCCAATGTATAATTTAACCATAAGATTTACAATTAGAACACCTGAAATTAATAATGAAAATACATATTCAACATACGATATGTTTGAATTTCAACCACAAATTGGTCATTTTGTTTGGAGAACATTTGTACATGAAATGAGTGAACATCCAACTATAAGAAATGTTAGTGAAATGGCATTATTATCAATATCAAGTATATCATTTAGTGAAAATTATGTTAAAATGATTCAATGGTATAATGTTAAAAAACCATTTATTATATTATATTTAATGAATTTTTCACTTCAAATGGTACGTGTTGGTTTTCTTTGTCATAATCAAGATAAAAATAAAAAAATAACAATGTATATTATAGAAGATTGGAAAGATGATTGTAAACCACCATTTCAACTAATGAATTCAATTAATTTTGGTTTTACAATCGGTGATCATTTATATTTTGTTTCAATAAAACGTGATTATTATTTTAATATAGATAAAAATGTATTATTTACATTTGAAGCTGAATATCGTATTGAAAAAAGTGGTTCATTTAATGATCTATTTATATGTAGAAAACCAAAACCAGATGAATGGCCACCAGTTAATCCATCATACAAAACTAATCCAAATATACCGTATCGTATTAAAAAGCCAACATTATTGAAACAAATTTCTACATTTATAAATCCATTAATTACGATCATATTTATTATTTTAAAATATTTACTAATCACATCTATTATCAAATGTTCAAATCATTATAATAAATGTTTTGGTTGGTGTAAACGTAAATATCATCATAAAAGTATTGATGACAAGGATGATGATGATGATATAAATACCAATAGTACCGAATGAAATTAAATCAAAAAAAAAAAAAAAATCAGAACATTATTAATCTAATAATAATTGAAAGAAAAATAAAATAAAAATTTAATTTAATTAAAAAATTTAAAAATTTAAAAATCAATTAAATTTATTTGAAAATTATGAATTCAAACAACACTTTACTTATTGTGTGTATATATAAAGTTGCAAAATTTTCAACTAACGAATGTTGAATNCATATTTATTATTTTAAAATATTTACTAATCATATCTATTATCAAATGTTCAAATCATTATAATAAATGTTTTGGTTGGTGTAAACGTAAATATCATCATAAAAGTATTGATGACAAGGATGATGATGATGATAAAAATACCAATAGTACCGAATGAAATTAAATCAAAAAAAAAAAAAATCAGAACATTATTAATCTAATAATAATTGAAAGTAAAATAAAATAAAAATTTAATTTAATTAAAAAATTTAAAAATTTAAAAATCAATTAAATTTATTTGAAAATTATGAATTCAAACAACACTTTACTTATTGTATATATAAAGTTGCAAAATTTTCAACTAACGAATGTTGAATTTTTTTGATCACCGAAAAGCAACAACGAAAAAAAAAACTGAAAAACAACGAAAATGTTAACATTTATTGTCATCATTATTGGAATGATATTGTTTAACAATGTAATTTGTTTGGAATTATCCGATGAATATAGAAATCTAAAATTTTTTGAAAATTCAAATCGTACATGTTCATTAGGAACATTAAATAATTATATTTCGAAAATTGTATCGATGGCTATTTTTAATGAACAATTATGGATTTATTTTGATGATCATGTTGTTGGTATTTATGATAAATTTATTGAAAAACATTATGATCATATAAATTATCGTCTTTATTTATTTGATGAAAAATTTATTAATCTAACATCCTATTTAACTGATGATAAAAAATTGAAACAATTATGGCCATATAAGGATGATGATAGTGATACAATGGGTGAAGTTTCACTTACAATCTTATCATCAAATGATGATCGATATGAATTAATACTTTTATATTGGCTATCAGTGATTGAAGAATATGAAAGATTAAATGATGGAAAAAAATTCATAATAATTAATACATATCATCGTTTTTTAGCCAAAGGTAATCTTAATCTTAATAATGATCCGGATAATTATAAATTTCAAATTGAATATAAAAATCGAAATTTAAGTATAAATGCCAAATCAATGTATGAAGAAGTTAATACACAGATAATAAATCTATCGATTGATGGAAAATTATTCATAATATTATTAACATTAAATCCAGTCAATATGGTAACTATATTTAATGATTATGAAATGAAAAATACGTTTGGTATATTATGTACAAATGATAAAAAATCCAGACAAATTTATATGATACCATATATGGTTGATTTATTAAATGATTGTCAACCACCTACAAATCAATTAGCAAATTATGTATTTGGATTTAATATTGGTGAATCATTATATTTTATATCATTGTTTAATAAACTTGTTTTACGTGTTGAAAAACGTTTATTTATTTCATTTCAACGAAAATTTACGTTAGAACAACCACGTTCATTGGAGGATTTTATTGCCTGTATAAAACCGACAATATGGCCACCACCAAACGAAAAAGATATATATGGTAATTATACAACTCCTTCAATTAATAAAAAAATAAAAGTTTTTAATGAAACGGATGATAAACAATCGAATTATTCTGGATTTTATCATATAAATATTGGCTATCGACCTAAATCTTCAGTTAATTTATCAATATCATCTTTAATAATGTTGATGTTGATCAAATATATAAGCTTAATCCTAATCTATTTTAATGCTTGCCATTATTGTCCAGATATCTGTTTAAATTTATGAATATTTTCAGATTTTTTTATTTATTTTTTTAATTTAATAATAAAAACAGGATTACTTGTACCATCTAGTGGCCATCATTCTTACTTCTTTTTGTTTTGATTTTGTTCACTAGAATGAGCCACTATAGAATTCGAACATTTTTACCGATAATCGCTAAAAAATAACGATCGTGGCCAAATTGATCTGAAATGATGAAAAAAATTCTGTTATTCTGTTGTCCAACAACATTCTGATCAACTTGATGATCATCATAAATAAAATAAATTTATATCCATTTGATTTTGATTTTTGTAAAGATCCGCCTAAACAATAAAGGAAAATATTTCAATTCATTAATTTTTAATGATGATGATGATGATGATCGAAATGGCGGTCAATCCCGATAACAATTCATTCATTTTCATTTCGAATAAATCGAATCGAATCAAGTGAATCAAGGAAGATCATCAGCCATTGTGATTAATCAATCATTGCCAATGGCCAATACCATCATCATCATCATCGGACGGACAAAACAATCGATTGAACATCCGATGATAGTAATCGTATATTTTCATTTTTTTCCCCCCATCAATTTCCATTCGATTATCTTGAACATGATGATGATCGAAACCACACCATACATTTTAATAAATACGGGTCAAGATTGCGATCATCATCATCATTGTCATCATAAATAAGATGAAAATGAATTATTGTTGGCCCGATGTTTTTTTTTCGTTTGATGGCCCAGGTTTATCATAAATACAATCCGATTTGATCCATTCCATCAAATGGAAAAGCACCATGACCACTGGTTGCCAGCAACAACAACAACAACAAAGCTAAGTGTAAGAGGAAACAAGAAAAAAAACGAGGACATTGTCCCGCCAATTCATTTCCAATTGAACAATCTATATAGTGATCGATTCATTCCAGAGACACAATGTTCATCAACAAAAAAAAAATCATTCGATCAGACCCGATCTTTACATTCATTCATTCATCCATCCATCCGTTTGATCATTCAAAATAATAATGATAATAATAACAAATATCAACGACGATGACGACGATAAATAATTGAACGAATGATGCTCGTATTGTGATGATGATGATGATAAGTGTTGAACAACAACAACAACAACAAAAAAACCATTGATTTATTTGATTGTTATTGTGTTTATAAATCATTTTCATCTTTTCAATAATGATGATAATCACAAGAAGATGAAGAAGAAAGAAAAATTGAACGGAACAAATGAAAAGTTTATATATGATTTGATGATATATATGATTGTCGAGATGACCGAGACCAAAGATGATATCAATAATGATTATGATTATTATAAATGGGCAATACTTGTATCTTTTGATCTACTTATATTGTTTGATATGATCAATTCTGTTCTTTCAATCCATCCATCCATCCATCAATCATGATGATAATGGTGTTGATAAAATGGTGATGGCCAACCTTTATTTTGTTTATCAAAAATTGAATGATTATAGCCGGAAATATCATCATCATCATAAATATGAAGACCAACCTTTCAAATAATAATGTTTATCATCATATGATGATCGATGAAGATTATGAAGAAAAAAAACAAAAACACAATGAAAGTAGATTTTTGGGCGCAAAATATTTTCAAAAACGAAAAAAACGAAATTTGCTTCTGTAAGCGTTTGAAATATATATGTTTCAAGAACAAAGTTGATGATTTTTCTCTTTTATTTTTTTTTTATTTTCTTTGGTTCAATGTGAAATGTTAATGTGATAGGAAGTTGATGATGACCATTCGATGTTGGAAGCCAAAAGATTTTCAATGTTGCATTTGGTGAAAAGAAAGAAAGAAAAAAAATTTCCGTTTGTAATCAATCATTTCATTACTAAAACTAAAACATCATTTACATTGACCTATGTGCCTAAAACAAACAAACAAACAAACAAAAATAATAATAATTAAAATTTCAAGGATTGGCCATATTTATTTATTTACAAATGAAAATAATGATAATAAGGTATTAATTTGTTTAAAATTAATTATACATTTTATGATTTTTTTTTGTTTCATTCAAAAATCTTAGGTTGAAAAAAAAATTGGCGATTATAATACAGATTCACGAATAGAATAATTTCAAATTTGATTTCATTTTACATTTAATAATATTTATCTAATGGATCAGGTCAAATATATACGAAAATTGAATGAATTGAACAACAACAAAAAAAAATTCACATTGATTCGATCATCAAATCACACCATCATGTCAAATGAAAATGTTGAAGAAAACAACAACAACAAAAAAAGAAGAGAAAAATTTGTTCCAGATTTTGTTCCAAATATTTTTTTTCTTTTTCCCCCTCTTATTTCGATGTAATTTTTTTCAACAACGATCAATGGAAAAAAAACAAGATGATGATGGTCATCATAATCAATCAATCAATCAATCAATTTATTATTATTATTATTATTAAGAAAATATGGTTAATGATGATTGTCGACAACAACAGGTTGAATTCATTCATGTTGTTTTGTTTTTACTATCATTATTAAACACATATATATCAAAAACTCATTGTAATCAATGAAAAATATCTATGTGTATTGAAATTGAATGAATAAAAAGTACCTGGAAAATTTAATTGAATTTTGTTTTGTTTTGTTTTTTCTTCAATTGTTGTTCCTGAAAAATTATGGTCATCATTCCGATATAAACAACGACAACGACGGCGATCATTGATTATCCGTGATTTGATTGGAAATCATTATTTTTCATCCTTTATCATCAATGAAAACAAATGAATTAATTGTGAACAATATTCCTTTTTCAAAAAAAAATCAGTGATAATTTTCACTATCATTTGATTTTAAATCTGAATTTATTGAATTTCCGTTTAGTTTTCTTTTTCACGAATGAATGGAAGTCAATAACAAACAAAAAAGAGAAATTAGATGTTGCTGTCGTTGTCACAATTCGTACAAAAACCGATTTAAAGTTGAAGATGGAAAAAAAATAAGAAAAAGAAAAATTCAAATTGATAAACACAAAGCTTTTAATTCGACACCGTTTGTCCGAAATGCTGTCCGAAAAGAAAAAAAAGAAAAAGAAAAATCAAATTCAAATCAAAAAAGAAAGTGAAAAACATATATATTGTAATGGGAATGAAAATGGAAAATTTATTTGATTCTTATTTCGATGATGATTATGAGAAAGGTCAAAGCTGTAAATTTTTTAATTCTCACCTAAAAAAGAAGAAAATAAAAAATTTTCCTATTGATTCGGGTCAAATGTGATTTTTGTTTTCTTGTTGTTGTTGTTGTTGTTGTTCTGTACATATCATTCGGTAAGTATCACTTTAATAATGATGACCGATTATTAATGTCCTTGGATGATGATGAATTGAGAAAAAAAAAGATCTACGAATCCAATTTGATTGTCATATCGATGATGATGATGATGATGACAAATTATATTTGAATTTTAAAAAAACACAATTTCATATCTTTATATAATCATAATAATTATGATTATGTTTTTTGATTGATTGATTGATTGATTGATTGATTGTTGTGACCATGATGATGATCGAGAAAAAAAAACAAAAAATCATTGATTTGAAAAATGTACTTAACAACAACAAGGTCAAGAACATTTTGTCTTCTTTATGATTTTCTAAGAAATCAGAAACAGATTCATCCAAAAAGAATCCTGTACAAATCAAAAAGAATTCTATATAATGACCAACAGACTATATAACTATTATAAAACACTACTACTACTGTTATTCATAATCATCAAAAAAGAAAAAATAATAATAATTTCATTCCGAGAATTTGAAGAAAAACATCAAAATGATCACCATCGATAATGATAATGATGATGATGATGATGATGAAAAAAAGAGAAAAGAACAAAGAAAAAATTATCCTTATTATTTCTAATGATGTTTCTTTTAGTTTTATTTTTTATTTTGATTATAAAGTTCACACATCTGTCAGTGTTTGGTGAAATGGCATCCGTACATTCATTCATTCATTCATTCATTATGTCTGATCATCATCATCATCATTCGATTTCCTATTGTTTTTTCATTTTCATTTTTGATTTTAAATTTTAAAATTTTTTTTTTTGATTATAAAATAAAATCCTATTTACCATTGTTATTTTGTTTGTTTGGATGATTTTTTTTTTGGCTGGAAAAAAAGTGAAAAAAAACCGGGCTAATATATAATGATGATGATCAAAACTAACTAGAAACGGATCAAACAAACAAACAAACAAACAATGACAACAACAGCAACAACAAACAGATCTTCTCGAATAAAAAGGTGATGATTAGAAAATGAGAAAAGATGGTTAAATTTGATGATAATGAGAAGAAATGATTTTTTTTTTGAAGAAAAAAAAGAAGGAAGAATTTATTTCCTCGCTTCTGTCCAAATGATGATGATGATGATGATTATGATGGTGGTGAATGGTGGTGGTAACGAATCGATTATGACAACATCCACAATGACGACTACAAGAAAAAAACAACAACATTATTTTACTTAGACAATCATTTTAAAATTGTTTAGATTTATATGTTGTTGTTATCGATCAAGTTCCGGCAGTTATTATCCTGTATTATTACCTATGTGTTATTTTATTTATTCGAATTGCTGATCCAAATTCGTATGATTATGATGATAATGAAGATGATTGGTGGATTTTTTTTATGATGATGGTAATAATACCGTACAATTTCGAATCGATTTGATTTTCTTTTCGATCCTCACGATCCCATTACTATCAATAATGATGGATCATTATTGGATTTCTTTTCCCGGCTTTTTTCCGGTATCGAAATGAAAAAGAGGGGTAGTGGTCGGTTTGTGTGTTTTGGTCGAAAATGTTGAATTGACAAATGATAAATAAAAAGGTCACCGAATGAATTTTTTTGTTGTTGAAAAAAATACACAAAAATTTAACATTTAAATAATGAAATTTACATAAACAATTTGCATTATCATTATTCATGATTATCATGAATCGAATTTTTTGTTTGGAATTTAATCTTTTGTTTTCTTCTTCTTCCAGAGATATTATTGATAACCCAATTTCTTTTTTGTCTTTATATTTTCAAATAAGGCTGAATGAAGATGAATTTTTTTTCTCTTTTTTTCCCCAATAAACGTGACAATTTTCACACAAACTGATTGTGGATTTTTTTTCACACATTATTTCTTATTATTCAATATTCAATATAAAAAAACACAAAAACAAACGTTAAATAAAAATGATGACGATGATGATCCATAATAATAATGATAAACATATAATATTATTGGAATGAACAAAACGATGATGGTAAAATGTTGATAATGGTGGCGGTTGATTTGATTTGATGAATGTATGACATCGATTATACAATGGATGACCGAATTGTTTTTTGTTGTTGTTGTTGTTTTCAAAAATATCTGGGATCAAGTTCATCATATTTATGTGAAAATTCTTGATGATTATGATTATCATTTTTATTGAAATGAAATATTGCTGGTCTCATCGATGATTATGTTTGTTTTTCGGAAAAAAAAGTATTGGAAATTGATTTTTTCTATAGTTGAAAAATCAAAAATCACATCACCACATTTATGAATAGAAGGATTTTGAGCCAGAAAAAAAAACATTCGAATTTTTTTTCCTTCCGTATATATTATTCGATTATTATGATTTGATTTGTACCATTCATATTTGGAAAATTTCAACAAGAAAAAAAAATTTCCAAACAAACTGGGAAAAAGAACAGGAAAAAAATCCGAAAAAAAAAGATAATAACAATAATAATTTTCTCGAATCAAACAATATATCATTGATCAATTGATCGGATAAAATTGATTCATCGTTTTGTAAGATTTTGTTGTTGTTGTTGTTGTTGTTGTTGCATTCTTTTGTACTTCCGTCATCGATTTTGTTGTTATAGCTCGAATGGAATTTTAATTATTAATTTATAATTTTTCAGACAGAAAAAAAACAACAACAAAACAAATATATCTTTGATTTGAATTTGTTGTCAGTTTTTGATCAGTCGAATATTTTTGTTCCTAGGTCAAATTCTCAGTATGTTTCACAATCACAATATTATAACAATAACGGATATTTTCTTTTTCAGTAGAAAAAAAACTTGTCATGAAATATTATCAAATAGTGGTGACATAATAACGATGAATGATGATGATGATAATGATGATAATGATAAATTCCCGTGACATTCAAATTATGTATTATTACAATTCATTAACACCATAATAATGATGAAAGTAAAAAGTTTTATTTGTTGTTGTTGTTGTTGTTGTTGTTATTGTGATAATGAATATCGGAAACTTTTACACTCGGCCACTACAGATTTATCAAAAGTTTCAAAAGCTTCTTATCATCATCTTTTTTTATATAATAATAATCCATTGTATTAAGCGAAACAAAAAATCCATTTTTTTCATTATTATCATCATCATCATCATGATGGTCTTATCTAACAATGATTATCACTATTGTGAATCATGGTCAAAATGGATTTGATGATTGAATGAATGACGTTTGCGGTCAAATCCGTTTTTTGTTTTCGGGATTCATATTTATCTTGATGTTAAAAATGCATTTTTTTTGTTGTTGGTAGATGAACACGATTTTGAAAATATTCGCTGAAAAAAAAAATGATTTAAATTTGATTAAAATAGATGAAAGAATCATAAAAAACAAAAACAAAAACAAAAAAATGATCCAAAACTTCCGGTTTCGAAATAAAAACATTCGAATTTCAAACATGTCATGATATTTATGAATATAAGTTGTCAACATTTTACTCATTTTTCGAATGTTCGGTTTGTTTATCCATCCATCCATCCATCCGGATATTATCATCAGTTTGATTTAACATTTCTTCTTTTTTTCTGTTCAAATATTATGGTCCATTTTAAATCTTTGTTTTAAGATTATAATCATATAGTATTTATAGTGGACAACGACATTATTATTATTATTATCATCATCATCGTCATTATTTCATCATTATAATCATCACCATCATCATCATCCAATTTTTGATTCGATTCGATTCAAATAAAAAGAACGAAAGAAATCGGTAATACCGACCGAAAAAATAAAATAACAAAACACAATGACAGTCATCATTATAATGATTTACAAACAAATCAACTGATCTAATCAAGCAAAACAAAGAATGAACCAAAAAAAGTGCTGGATTCATATTCATATCCTGATCCTTTTTTTTTTGTTTGGATTTCCATCCATTCTATTCATTTGTCCGAAAATTTCGGACAACATTCGTTGGAAATGTAAGATTTCTTTTTTGAACTCTGAACCTCTAAGGTTTTGTTGTTGTTGTTGTTGTCCTTGTTTTTAGCATGTATTTTGCATAGAAGAAAAAAAAATATTTTCGCATCCATATACACACCCGATGATCGACCCGATCAATGATGATGATGATGATGATTGTATAGATTGATGGATCATCATCATCATCAACAACAACAACAACAACAACAACAATGATGATGGTCAAAATATTTGAATTGAATAGGATGATGGTGAAGTTCAATTCCTGATTTTTGTTTTGTTTTGTTCATTTCTTCTCATTTTTTTTTTCGTCTCGAAACTCTGAATTTTATTTTTCTCTTTCTCGCAATCACTTTTTTTCTTTTCTTTTTTTCTTTCTTGGATCGTTCATTTTTGATTAAACATATTTTGATTCTTCTTTTATTTTTTTGTTTCTCTTCAACAAACATGTCAAATGTCAAAGGGTTTCAAAACATCATATGTTTTGCATATGAATTTTCCGATGAAGAAGAATGAATCTCTTTTTTTTTTCTTTCTTTGTTTTCTTTACACATCACATCATCATTATTTTTATTATGTGTGTGTTTGTCCGAAGAGTGAAAATTTATTTTTTTCAAAGAAAAAAAAACGGACGGACAAAGAGTTGACCAAAAACACGAATTGAATCCATCCGCCCATCAACAACAACAAAAAAGAACAATTCATTTTTTGGATGAATGAAGAAAAATGAGCAAGACAAAAAATGATATAAAAATGCGATCAATTTCGATCAGTAAAACATCCATCACATCATTCGATAAATTTTTTTGCAATCTGTTTTATTTTATTTTATTTTATTTTGTTGTTGTTGTTTTCTGGTTTTTTCAGTTTCCTGTTTTTTTTTTTCAACCAGTGTAATTTTTTTTCGTTGTGTTTGTTTTGTTTCTGTCTGTAAATCTTTTCAAAAAAAAAGTCTTTCAAGTGTGATCATTTTTTTCAAATTCATATTTTAATTTTTTATATAAATCACGAAAAACGAAAACGAAAATGTTGTTCTACAATCGATTTACTTATTGTTTGTTGGCCATTGCTGCTATTGCCATTATAAATGTTAATGCACAAGCTGGTTTCGAAGCTATGGATGGACAATTTAAAGAAGGTGGTAGTGGCCGAGAAAGAATCCAGGCAGCTGTACAAACAAAACATACGGTCGAAATGAAACCCGTTGATATTCCATATGAAGATATTGAACCACAGGTATTATTCAAATGAACAAAAAAATTCAATTAAAATGTCAACGTTTTTTTCTTCAAATCTTTATATTCTGAAAATTCTTATCATATGTTTGTTTTTTTTTTAAATTTAGATAATCGAAGTTGAAGGTGGTGCTTTACCATTGGAAATTCATTTCAAATCAAGCTCATCACGTATCCGTGTACATCAAACACACGAAGCAGCTGGTGCCGGTGAAGTTGAACAAACATCATCGGAAGAGGAACCACATCGACTTATTCATGAAGTTAAAAAACCAATCATTCAAGAAGTTCGTGAAATTATTACACCATACCGTAAAGTTGTACAAGAAATTCAACCTGTTATGGAAGAAATTCATACAATTGTTGCCAAAGGTGAAGCGCGAAGAAATTTCGATCGTACACAAACCAAAACACGTGGTAGCCGTGGTTCATTGGCATCACCATCGGCACGTGCCCAATCGGCTAGTAGCTCTGGCAGCTCAACATCGCCATTCTAATTGCCATTATAATATTAATGATAAAATTATTATTTATAGTGAAATGTATCCGATACATAATAGTATCCTTATAATTATCATCATTGTTATTGCCATCATTTGTCATTATATTGGTCATAGCCATCATTTATATCATTATTATCATCATCATAATAATTCATCAAAATGATGATTTTCCATTCACCTCCCACTTCACCCTTTCCACCTATTCACAAAAAAAAGAACGATTTTCAACGACAACAACAACAACAAAGACAAGTAGATAATGAATGCATGACTGAATGAACTAAATCTTGAACATCATCTTCATCATCATCATCATCATCAACAATAAACAAACAAACTAATGATCTTCTCAATTGTATGGATTCTATTGGTAGTAAAATAGTAATTTCCATCAATTTACATCATCATGGTGGTTTTTTTTAAATCATAAGGTCAAACAAATTATGTTTTAGTTTTTTTTTCTATTTTAATTTTTCTTTTATCCAAATATATTATAAATATATCAATAATCAATCTATAATATTGACCCACCTGCACCTATATCATTAGTTTTGTTTGGTTCATTCATCATCATCATCATTTCTTTTTTCTTTTTGTTTTTTCTGTTTGAATAATATAAATCAAAACACATTCATTCTTTTATGTGGATGTGTGATTTTTTTTATATAAAAAAAATTAATTTATAAATTGTTATTGTTGTTATTATTATTGTTGTTTTTTTAAGAATACTTATTTCTTTCTCTTGTATTTGTTGTTGTTATAATCAAAAAAAAAAATTATTTTAATCAAAACTACTTTCTTATTAGATTAGAATAATAATAATGAAAGATATATGATCAAAGTTTTTTCGATTCAATCTAAATAATTGAATCTTTTAATTTATTTTGTCTATTATAATGGTTATTAGTTTTTTGTTGTTGTTGTCCAATACAGAATAAGATTATTGGTGCCATTATAATGATAATAATAAATGTTAATGAAATAATAGTGATGGCAATAAAATTATAATTATGAAATTCTACTTGAATATCTTCAAGACATGAATCAATAGTCCAATCTAATAATGATTGTCGAGAATATTGTGGACAACGGCAAAGACCTTGTTTGGAACAGATCATTGGTACGAATCGATTAAATGATTCAAGATAATCATGATGATGATGATATTTGTTTGATTGACCATTCGAACAATTAATAATTTTCGATTGTGTTTCAATAGGAATAAATCGACGACAATCAACATCATGTTTACATCGATATCGACAAATACGATCAATATAATCATAATCATACATTTGATTTTCACAAAAACAATGATGTTCACGACATGTTACACGAGGATTTTGTTTCAAATAAAATAAAAGTTGTCGATGATATTCATCCGTACAATCATCTTTTATATTATTCATACCGATCGATACGTTTGAACAGTGTGATATTTTCGATAGTAATTGATTACAATCTTGATGATTGTTACATCGATTTGTATGATTAAATTGAATTTCGTTAACATTCGTTGCAATAAATTTGAATGTCAATGATAAAATTAACAAAATTAACATTCGATACATTTTTTTTCAAAGAAAACGGAATAATACTAAAGAATTGCAAAAAGAAATAAACAGGAAAAAAATTGAACATATTTTAATATAAGATTCTTTTTAAAAAAGAAATACAAACATTTTTGATATCACTCATCATTGGGGTTACTATGGCGATTTCTTAAACAAATTAAATGATTTAACGATTTGATGTTGATGATGAAACATTGTCATCAATCAATGAATAAATAATTTCTACATTATTTACAAGAATTGTTTTATTATCATTATTTGTTATAATCATCTTGATTAGGATGAACATTGTTTAATACATCGATCCATAAAAATAATTTAATTAAAACAATTATCAATACAATTAATGATAAAATACATGACCAATTGAATGATTTGGTCAATGATAATGCAACGATTTTTGTTGGATATATCATTTCGAGCATTGTGGTTTTTTTATTTTTCTATTCTTAGCTTTGTTCTTTTTAATTTCAGAAAATAAATTCAATAAAATCCAATTCGAATGATGAATTTCGAATACAACCTGTTGATTTTTTATAGCATTACATCATATTTGAACAGTGATCACGTGTGTGTGTTTGTGTTTTGGCCAGAATTCTGTCAACGCGTCAAATAAGAAATTCTTGGCTTGTTTGTTTTTGGATCAAAATTCCAAAACAAAACAAAACAAAATTTACAAAATAAACCATGGCTATTGGTGTATATTCATTGCTTGAAGCAACATTATTGGTTATCAATGCTATTGCTATATTGAATGAGGAACGATTCTTGGTTAAATGTATGTTGAATTTTTTCTTTCTTAAAAAAAAAGTTTTTAATGTTTGTTTTTCTTTTAAACCAGTTAGTTTAGATCGAAATTCATTAATGTCATCGGCATCATTAAATCAGGCAAATATACCGTATGGTGGTGGTGGTTTTGGTGGCCAACAATCCGCAACAATATCACCGACGACGATGTCACCGAAAATGCAAATTCTAAATCTATTGCATTCCATACGTACAGTTGCACGTTTACCATTAATCGCTATCAATATTGTTGTTATTATTTTTAAATTATTATTTGGATAAAATATATAATAATAATTAATAATTCTCGAATTTTTTTTTATTTTCATTAAGAATTTCTACATATATTAAAGTATGATTTTTTGCTAATACAGTTTGAAATTTGTTCTAATATTTTTTTTTTAATTCTTCGTTAAAACGATTTGCAAATGATTTCGAATAAAATAGATATCAATAATGATGATGATGATGATGATAGATTATCGAATATGAACAGTGTATTGACAAAAAAATTCGATAGTGTAATGGAAATGGTGACAAAAAGTTATAAACGAATACAACCGAAAACAAATCGTGATAATTTTGGTCAAATGCATAGTGAAAGTCCGGGACGTATTGCAAAACATTTAGTTAGTATTACGGAAAATCTAGATTATTTTAATAATTCATCAAAAACATTTGAAGATCTACCAAAAAGACCTGGTTGGCGTTGTCCAACATCATTAGTTAATAAATCGATGACTAAAAATTTGACAACAATTGAACCAACAACATTAACAACAAATGTCGATAGAGAATTGGAAGTAAATTCAAATGAAAAATTTGAATCAATTACAATGATTAAATCGGATACATCTATATCAACGAATGGTCCATTAAAAGAATTTATTCGTAAACAAAAACCAAATTTTTGTCATCAGCCAAAAATTAAATTTAAACTTGATCCAAATCTTATAATTGAAGCAGCCAAAAGAGCCGAAATTCTTGATCAGCAACCAATTCGTCAACCATCATTATCATCGATTTCAGATTCGGAAAAAAAGAAACCAATTAAACAACAACAACAACCGAAAAAATCAGCATCAAAAGAAAAATCGACAATGATAAATAAATCGGATAAACAGCTAAAATCTCGTATGATAATTGATGAAAATATTGGCCCATTAATACGTGAATCATTACAACGGGTAAAAGTATTTTCATTAAAATCAGATATACAAGAAATTGAATCATCGATTGATTCGTTAGAATCGGCAAGAATGTCAATTGAATTAACTGAACAACAAAAAACTATTGATTTAAATTTGAAAAAATCGAAAAATTTATAACTAAAAAAAATCACCATTGTCATTATTATTTGTACTTTGTATGACATTTTTTTTCTACTTTAAAAAAAATCAAAAAATTGATAAAATCAAAAGAACATTTTTTTATTTTAAAAAAAAATCGATAATAATCTTGACTTCTTTAATTTGATACCAGACAAAGAGATTAGGGGGCGCCTTTCTTGAAAAATTATTTTTTTTTTGATTGATTTAAATCAATCATGGTGTAAATAAAATGTCTATGATGATGGTGATGATGATTAAGATAAAAGGTTGATTGATTTGGCAATTGATGAAAAAAAATTTTTTTTTTTCAATTTAAGAAATTAGAATGTATTTATTTTTGAATGCCATGAATGATGATGATGATGATAATGAAGGCCCATAGGCATATCAATAGGTTGGTGGTGGTGGTGGTGAATGGTGGGGGATGGGAAAATTGAAAGGAAAAATAAAATGTTTGAATTTTGAAATTTTTCAACCAAAAAAAAAAAGACACAAGACATTGAACTGAAATGAAACAGAAATTTTGGCCTAATTTTTTTTTTTGCTTGCCAGAAGATATTTTTCGAACCGGAAACGTTATAGTTAATATCTGTGTGTGTGTGATGTTTACGTGAGAAAATATGGATAAAAAAAGTCGGCCTGATTGAGAAATAATGTTTGGCAACAAACAAAAAATTAGCCAGAAAAAAATAATGAACAAAAATACAAAGGAAATCAATGAAGAGAAAAATGTTTGATGATTTGAGGCATTGAAAAAATGAATGGTACATTTTAATCAATTTGATTTGATTTGAATGATTGATTGATTGACAGCTCTGAATAAGTTGTTGTTGTTGTTGTTGTTCTCCTACGATGATGATATGATTCAAAATCCGTAAATCAAGAGTGAGGGTAATGCAGATTATTTATTTTTAATGTGAACAAAAAAAAAAATGTTGTTGTTGATAATGAATTTGGGGCGAGGTTCAATATTTGTGTTTTTGAAAAAAAAATTTTATTTTATTTTTGGAATTTTCAAGGTTAATAAAAAGTTTAAATTATTTCAATCAATGTGAATCAATCTTTACTATGGTTTTTAGTATTTAAAAAAAACAAAGAGTATTAAAATGATTTGAATATTATCCGTAAAGAATCTTCTTTATTTTTAGCCAATTAAAATTAGAATCCATTAGCCGACGTAGTCGATGATGTTGTTGTTGTTGTTGTTGTTGATGATGGTTGTTGCTTTTTTGATGATTTTACCGATTTGTTTGATTGAATTTTACCTGATGTGGGTGTGAATGATGTCGATGTCGATGTCGATGATGATAATGATTGAGCCTTGTTATTTTTAATCTTGTTACTCACTTCTTGTTGTTGTGATTCTTGTTGTTGTTGTTGTTGTTGTTGTTGCAATTTTGGTTGTTGACCATTGACTTTTTCATAATCTTTTATTGCAGATTTATTTTCGTTTTGTTGTTGTTGTTGTTGATGAATATTATTATTAGCAACAACATTGATTAAATCATTATTATGGCCATTCAAATGATGATTGACAGTTATTTGATTATCAATTTTTTTATCCATCATCATCGTACTATTTGAAACAATTTGATCAACAACAGCGGTTACTTGATCTTTGAACTGTTCTATTTCTGGTTTTGTTGATTTTATTTCAACAATATTGTCTGTTGAAAATTTTGATTTGTTGTTTGTTTGTTGATCATTAGATTTTGATGAATCATTATTAATGGATATCATTTCGATTGAATTTTTTTCAATAACATTATTCGATACATCGGATTTAATTACTTTTTTATCATTGGTCAATGATTGTGTTGAAACAAATGGTAGTTTAATAAATCCTGGCTTAAAACGATCAACAATGGTAATCATTCTAATGATAAAGATATGTCCTTTAACATAATGTTTTAAATGTTCATTTAAATGTTGAATAAATCGCCATAAAAGATCAATTATTGTTTTAACATCTTTTTGATCATCTTTTTGATGATGTGGTTCAGGTAATGGCATTAAATATTCCAATTTTGATTCCAATGATAATAAAAATTGATTCAATTTATCATAAAATCCATTTATAGTTATCAATTGTGTATATTGATGACCAATAGCCATTGGAATTTGAACAACATTATCACTTACAATTATTGATAATTCAAACATTTGTCGTAAACGTTTATCGATCATATCAAGACCATAACATGCCATTTTATCGATCAATTCCACTGCAGAATGATTAACAGAAATAATAAATATTAAAATTAACAAAAAACAAAACAAAACTTACCAGGTTTTCTGGGTACATAATGAACAATTTTTATGGCAAATAAATTAACACCATTTTCTACTTTACCGATTACAATCGATATCATATTCGAACTAGATTTTATTCGTCCATAATTATTTTCAACAAAAATTTGCATACGATTAATGATTGGAATTTTTTCCTTTAATCGTCGAACAATAGCCATATGAAATAATGGATGCGATAAATCATTTTCATTATTAGATTCGGATGGTTTTGCTGGAATAACAGAAGTACCGGATAATTTTGATACGGATGATGGTGATGATGAAGACATGATGATGAGTGATTCTGAGTAAAAATTGAATATTTTTTTGGTTTATTAAATCAAATGGATGATGATGATTTTCGAAACAACAACAACAAAACTAGACTAAAAAATTATTAATAGAAAATCATTAACAAATTTTTTTAAAACACACAAACAAACAAACAAAAAACCCAAAATGGTACGTTTCGATATGAAGATGATAATTGAACTGACAACAAATCAATCACTGTCATTTTATTTTGTTCTGTGATTTTATGGTTGTTGATGATGATGATTGGACAGATCAAAAAAAAAATTATACGAAGACAACGATAATGTTGATGAACAAAAAAATTCAACCAACAATTTTTTTTCCCCGATTGTCAAACAGATAATACACACACAAAAATACATAATTTATATTAGGGTAGTGGTAAACATCGTAAACATATTTTTTATGATTGATAATTTTTGCTTTTCAAATTTGGTAATATTATTCATCATGAGTATCAATGATGATCGATGACCGAAATTTTTTTCTATTATTGATGTACTCATAATTCATATTGAATGAAGAAGAAGAAGAAGACGAAAAAAGGAAAAGGATGTCTAATCATCCTATATGTTTGCGCCAATGATTCGATTTTTTTTTGTTTCTATACTTTGAAAACAAAAATCAAAGTCACAACCTCATTGTCGATGTTGTTTGTTTGTTTGAATTGTCATTTTTGATTTTTGATGTTGATGATTGGTTATTCACAATTAATCAAAAGTGTGAACAAAAATTCAGACAAAATGAAAATGCAAATGATATTTGAACATTAATCCTTTTTTTTCGATATGATCGATGATTAAAAAAATATATTTTTAGATTTATTATTGTCATCGTCTTGTTCCGTTGATCAATGGCCATTTATTGTCCAAAAAATGGATGCGTCATTCGATGTTGATGATAATTATAATGATCGAATGATGTTCGAGCAAATGTGCGAAATCATACATTGACATTTTTTCCAAGAAATTGATGGATATATAGAAAAAAACAGCTATATTTTCATGTCATGAATAAATTTAATTTGATTAATTAGATCAAACGAATATTATATGATGATGATGACAGGTGGAAAAAAATTTGTAAATTTTCGTCATATCATTTGGATTTTTTGTTGTTGTTGTTGTTGTTTCAAATGAAAGATTTTGGTTTTCGAAAATCAGGTCAAACAATAGGTCATAGATGTCCATTTTTTTCGTTGTTGTCGTTGATGATGATCATGATTGACAGAATACTCAAAACTGTCAATCATTCAATGATTATATATCGTGACTATAATGATGGATAATTTATCATCAAATAATTTGATTAAATTACCATTACCGATGATAAAATCACAACAACAACAATATCGAAAATTATTCGAACCATATTGTATTGTTTGGTGTTCATTACCATGGTTATCATATTTTATACCATTGATTGGTCATATGGCTATAACTGATTCATATGGAAATATTTGGGATTTTTCCGAATCATATTTTGTATCCAAGAATAATTTTTCATTTGGTCAACCAATAAAATTTTTACGTATGGATCATAAATGTTTTTCAGATCATTATCATTGGGATGAAGGTATTCAACGTGCAGCCAATATTTATAATCATAAAATGGTAAGCAAAGATCAAGAAAGGAGACAAAAAATCCGATTAAAGTTTATTTCCAATTGATTCATTTTCACCTGAATTTTGGATTGAATTCAATCAGCATTATATATTATGGTCAAATTGTCATTCATTTGTATGTGAAGCATTGAATCAAATGTCATATAATGGTCATAATAATCATAACGTTCAATCATTATTATGGAAATTTTCACTAAATTCTCATTATGTAAGGTTGGTTTATTATCATTATCATCATCCTTATCCTTGATATCCTTACCGTTCATATAAAACATTTGTTTCTTTTGTCGAATGAATAGCATCTATTCGTTTATAAAAATATGGTCAACATGGTTAATTATCATTACCATTTTTATATTAATTTTTTTACCATCATCAACAACAACAACGTTTTGATTGATGCGAGATAATTACAACAACAACAACAACAACAAAATGAGAACATTGATTTTTAAACTTTGATTTTTTTAGTAAACTTTTATTTGATGTTTTTTTTTTTATAAGAGAAAATTTTTATTTTGGAAACATTTTTGGATTAAATGTCGATTAAATTAATAATATTCATCCGGATTTACAGCTTTAACTTTTTTAGCCAATTCGTCCAATTTTTTAATCAATAATTTAATACTTTCCAAAGCAAATTCATAATTGTATCGTTCAAACATATTTAAATCGGTACGTTTAGCTTCCATTTCGAAAAATTTTAATGCACCTTTCATAAAATTTTCACCAATAGTAAGTTCACGAAGAATTTGTTCTTTCAATTCTTTGCTTTTGGTTTTTTCCAATTCTTTGTATTGTTCACTAAGATGAAGTAAACCTTTTTCAACTTGATCGATTTTTGTTTCCAATTCTTCCATCATTAAACGATCGAATGCCATACGCCATTCATCTTCTTTTTTGTCACCAACAATAAAACCTATTTACCGATTCGAAAAAAAAATTGAAAAGAAAAATTATTCAGGTTATTCATTTTCCAAACAAACAAATAAAAAAATACAAACCAGATACGGCAGCAGCCATTACAATGGCAGCGAAAAGGGTAATGATGAATTTCATTTTTGAAAAAAATTTCTTTTTTTTTGGATTCGATTTGAGAAAAAATGTATTATAATGATAATGAACGGTTCGATGTGATCATGGATTGATTTATATATTGATCGATCAATCAATCTTTGATCGATTAATCAATTCAATTGGATAGATTTTTCTAGAAAGACCCAAAAATGTAGATTGGGTATTGCACTTTGGTATCAATATGATTTTATTTAAAAAAAATAGTAATCATCTTCAAATAGCCAATAGATCCTATTGTAATCCACTTGTAATTTCAATCATCAATTGATTAATCCAGACTACTTTTCCAATCATTTTTTTGATGGAAAATAATTTAATTAATTAATCAAAAAAAAAATCTTATCAATTAGATTGATGAATAAAGTGCTTTGTTTTGGTTCGTTATTGTTGTTGCTGTGGACAAAACAAAGTGCAAATCCTAAATCCACTATATAAATCGATGTATTATTTAGTCAGAAAAAAACTCAATCTTTTATCCATTTATAATTTTTTCTCGAAAATAAAGATCCCAAACCGTTAAAAAAAATATCAATCATGAAATTCATCATTGCTTTCTTTGTTGCCACTTTGGCAGGTAAGTTTTCATTTTTTTCAATTAATTGATCAATTGATTCATTCATTCATTCATTCGATTTTTTTTATTGTTCCAAAAATTATCCAGTTATGACTGTTTCAGGTGAAGATAAAAAACATGATTATCAAAATGAATTTGATTTCTTATTGATGGAACGTATTCATGAACAAATTAAAAAAGGTGAACTTGCATTGTTCTATCTTCAAGAACAGATTAATCATTTTGAAGAAAAACCAACAAAAGAAATGAAAGATAAAATTGTAGCCGAAATGGATACCATTATTGCTATGATCGATGGTGTACGTGGTGTACTTGATCGTCTTATGCAACGTAAAGATTTAGATATTTTTGAACAATATAATCTTGAAATGGCTAAAAAATCTGGTGATATTTTGGAACGTGATTTGAAAAAAGAAGAAGCACGTGTTAAAAAGATTGAAGTTTAATTTAATTGAATTAAAAATTTTCTTGATTTTTTTCTTGTTGCCTTCATCAATTGACAAATAAAAATGAATAAAGAATTTTGAAATAAATTTTTTCTCCCCCCTTTTCACTTGCAAATGAACTGATTTATTTTGAAATTTTTTTGAAAATAATATTATTTCTTTGATTTTCGAAATATAGTTCACCATTCAGCCCGGATAACCTTGATGATGATCACCTGTACGATTTTCTTCTGCTAAAACAAAACAACAAAACAAAAAAGAATAATTGTTTTGAAATTTATTTAAATTTATTTCAACAAACAACACACCTGTTGACAATTATGCAATTACGAAATTAAGGTTTTTGTTTTTCGATAGTAAATATCGAAAAATATCGATATTTTTTGTCTTTACTATCGATTTTTTCGATTTTGTTTATCCGATCATCATCATCATCATCATTATCATCCGATTATTCGATACAAATTTTGAATTTTTGGTTTTGAATTTTCTCATTTCTCTATTGATGATTTAAATATATTATTGATAGAATCGTTGTTGAAAGTCAAGGTCAACAATTGTATTGTATTGTCATTTTGTTATTTTATTGCCCAATCTATCGATCCATCTATTAATCAATCAATCAATCAATATGTCTATAATCGGGTTACGGACAATTTATTGCTATATTTTTTTTTCTTCTTACAATGTATGTATGATTTATGTGTGATCTATGTCCTTATTGGTTTATTTTCAATGTTTAATTTTTTTTATATTACATAATATAGCCTTATGTATGTAATTATTTTCTAATTGAAAATCAATTTAAAATCGATCAATTAATTATTAAATGGAAATAAGGATGAAGAGAAAGAGAGTGAAGAAAATGGTAAAAAAAGATTTCAAAAAAAAAATTTCTTCCATTCGAACATCAATGTTTTTGGTTGATAAAAATTTCTCTGAAAATTATTGCGGCTATTTTATTTTCAATGTTACATTATCAACTGTATACAGGACCTATTTCAATCAATGATTTGATCTAATTATTCAATGTATGTTTAATGATCTAATTAGTGTTGTTTGAAAATCATTCAACAACAAACAATAACAGCAGTAGCAAACAAAAAGATTATAATTCAACTCTTTAGGGCCAAAGAAAAAAAGAAAACATCATTCAATGGCGGTCACGATGATCCTGATCAATGAATATTTTCGGTTATGATGTAATCAAGGCAACAACAAAAAAATGAAACCGATAACATTATTTGCCCGAAAATTTTTCCTCGACCATTTTCATTTCTTTTCTTTTTTTATTCAAACGATTAAATCAATCAAGAAGCAAACAAATAAAAAAATAATAATGAACCACAGCCCCTTTCATTCATATAATGATTTCGACAATACACAATATAACTTGATAATGAAAAACAATTTAACAACGAAACGATGAAATGATTAAGACAATTTCGCAAAAAAAAAATCAATGAATTAAATCAAATTAACTTTGATGATGATGATGATAATAATAATAATTCAGAGGAAAAATCCTGGCCATATACTACTATTCAAAGAGAATATTTTCTTTTCAAAAAATCAAATGTTTTGACATTCGAAATTTATAATTTGTTTCCAAAAAAAAAAAAAATTGATTTTGAAATTTTCTTTTCCCAAAATTTTTTCCTTTCGCTTTCACTTCATGTCTGCAGACCAAAAAAACTATACTTTATTTGGACTTCTTTTTCTTTTTTGATTTATTACTGATTATTGATGATTTATTATTATGTCACCATCACCAATGATCGAAATGAGACAATCTCCTTTTCTTTTCTCCATTCATAATTCAAAAAACAAGAAGGAGAACAACAAAAAAGAGCCAATGAACAATGTATCATGGACATTATCGATTGGATCCTTTTTGATTGTTTTTTTTCTTCTTTTCTTTTCTTCTTCGTTTGTTTTTCTTTCTTTTTTTTGTGACTAATTTCAATTAAAAATATATCAGTAAATGAATGAAAGATTATTATTATTATTATCATGAATAGTAATTATAGCCACCACCATCATAATCATCATTAATTGGACGACAATCAGAAGAAAAAAAATGAGGAAAAGTTTTACGATATATATAAAAACAGGTGACATTTGAAATTTATAATTCATTACATTCGATCATTTGATCAATCATATATTTGTTTGTTTTGGTTTGTTATCTTTTTTTATATATAAATTTTTTCTTTAAAAAAAATGTTTCGGGTAAGTTTTTCATCGAATATAATACCCGATCATTGGCGAATATTCATTTTTTGTTGTTGAAAATATAGTTAATATTATCAATCGGTTTTGTTTTCGTCGGTGTTGCTATCGCTAAACCATATGGTTATCATGGAGGTGGTGGTGGCCATGGATATGCTCATGTTGTACCAGCAGCCGTATTAAGTCATCATCATGTTAAATATTATGAAGTTCCAAGGTAAGATTTCCTTACTTTTTTTGGTTATTCTTGAAAAAAATTGTATTCTTTTTTTTGTTTGTTTCTTAGCCATGGTTATGTAAAACCAACAACAATCGATGTACCACCAAATCATATACCAATTAATTTCATATTCCGTTCAGCATCCAGTGCGATACATGCTGAACAAAAACATATGGGCTCACCGGGATCATATCAACAATCATATTCAAAAGATGAACCACACGTTCTTAAACATATGGTTACAAAACCAATTATTCAAGAAGTACATGAAATTATTTCACCATATCGTAAAATTGTACAAACAGTTGAACCAGTTAAAGAGGAAATTAAAACAATTGTTGCACGTGGTTCACATGGTTATGGTGGTGGTCATGAAAGTGGCGGATATGGTGGCGGTGGCGGAGGTGGTGGACATGATACCTATAGCAGCGGTGGTGGTATGGAATATGGCCATATGGAAAGTGGTTATGGTGGCGGCGGTGGTATGGAATATGCCCATTATTAATGATGATGATTATTACCAGAAAACAAAAAGATAGGAAACAAATGTTCCTTTTTTTTATATTTTAAATCATCAACGATATCTACTTAGATTTTTTTTTTAAATTGAAATTTTATTACTTGAATCAAATATTTATTTATTTATTTATTTTATCATAATTAACAATCGACCAATCGAACAAAATTGAATGGCTAAACATTTCGAAATTTTAAATTATAATTTTCATCAACATTCAACCTTACAAAAAACAGAAAATTCATTCAAAATTGATGTGATCATCATCATTATCATCCATTTTTTTCTACTTATGGAGTGATAGATTAATTTTATTGTCCAAAATATGTTTTTTTTTTTTAAATTCAATTCAATATTTTTCTTGATATGTTAATTGATAGCAAAAAAAGACGATTTTTTTTGCATCGTTTTCACACTTGAAAAAAAAGTGAAAATTTTTCAAATAAAATTCAATGATTGTTTTTTTGTCCCTGTTCATAAAATCACAATTGTTGTTTTTGTTCTTCTTCAGTTACTGTTGCTGTAATATCTTTAGTATCATCAGATATCGATTCATTTTTGTTTTCAGCATCATCATTGTCAATAATTTTTGATTGTTTGTCTGAATTCAACATCACATTATCACCATCATTATTATTTTCAGTAATACCGAAATGTTTTTTTATAAATTCAATTAGATTATATTTTGAATATCGATTATAATCAGGTAATAATGAAATACAGGCAGCTTTACATAAAACATTAATCTGTATAACTTGATCCGGACGATCTAAACAAACGTACCAATTTGGTCGTCTTTCGCGTACAATTTTTATTATTGATTCTTGTAATGTTCGTTCGGTTAATGAAGAATAATTTCGTATACGACATTGTATCAGATATGAACAAACGTTTTTGGATGCTAAACTTTCGAATAATTCATCGAATATTGAAACAATTTTATCCGTACGACATGTTCGTATTACTGGAATAATTCGTTGAATATATCGACAATTTTGTCGTCGATTTTGTTCAAGATCTTTCCATAATGCTGTAGATAAGGCTTGTGGATCAATTTGATCATCTTGTATCCGAATAAATAATAGATTTTTACAACGAGTTTTTACTTGTAAAAAACGTCGATTAGTTTTTTGTTCAGCTTCCAATTCGGCTTTTATACAAGCTTCAATATCATTTGGATCAGGATGTTCGGCTGTGGTGGGATAAAGCTGATCGGATATTTCATTCAATATATTATATGATTCTTGTAAACATTGATATTCTTTTTGATTACAAGTGACAAGAAATCCACAATGTCCATTTTCAAGTTCAATACGAATACGACCATTTTCTTTACGTTTATTATCTGATTGTTTACGATAATATTGTTTCTTTTTCTTTTTATCACGACGATTTTGTTTTGATTGTTGTTTTTTTACATTATCCATATTGAAATTTCCAAATATCAGGCAACAAAATTTCCAAAACCAAAAAAAATAAACAAAACATTTAAATGTCTCGCAAATAAAAGACCATTGACAGTGGAAATAGTTTTTGGCTAATATTGACAACAATAATTTCAAAGCACATGTTTTCGATTTGGGTGTTAATAGATAGAAGAAAAAAAAACTTGGTCGACTGAATATAACCAACCAAACATGCCACACAATTAAGAATACACGTGCACATCATTGTGACTTCAATAATAATTATTTTGTCGTTTTCCTTTCTTCACTGATCATAGTATTTAGATTTTACTAAAACATTTAAAATTAATTTAACTATAATTCCATCAAGATGACCATATTATCAAATATCGATAATCATAATGACGATGATGATGATGAAAGACAAGAATTGAATTCTGAAGAAAATATCGATATAGCAGCTAATAACAACAACGACGATAATGATGATGATAATGATAATGCTGATGAAGAATCATGTTCCTCCGATTCTGATTATCTAGATGATGAAGAAGATGATGATGATTATGATGATGATGAAAATAATAACAACGATGATGATGATGACGGTGATGACCAAAGTACAAATTCAACATCAAAACGAATATATGTACCAAATATGACAAAATTATCGTCAACAGATAATGTTGAACAATTGGAATGTGATTATTCTGCTTATGTTCTTTATCATAAAGCTGAAACAGGATTTCCATGTCTTAGTTTTGATGTTATTGAAGATCAATTTGGTTCAGGTGAACAACGTGCACAAACATTTCCAATGACTACATATTTGGTTGCTGGTACACAAGCCGATAAAGATCATCATAATCGTTTGTTGGTAATGAAATTTTCCAATATGAATCCAATTAATAATAAAAAAGAAAAAGATGATGACGATGATGATGATGATGATGATGATGATGATGATGATGAAGAAGATGAAGAAGAAGAAACATTACCCGATTTATCTTGTACATCGATTCCACATTCCGGTTGTGTTAATCGTATCCGTTGTCGACAGATTGGTGATAAATTAATTGTTGCCAATTGGTCGGATCATGGTGCCGTACATTTATGGGATATGAGCGATGCATTAAAAGCATGTGATGATGATGCACAACGTATAGCCGATTTTAATAAACGAAATATTCATACAAAACCTATTTATTCATTTAATGGTCATCATTCACCTGGATTTGGTTTGGATTGGTCACCAGTTGATGATGGAAAATTAGCTACTGGTGATTCAAAAAAACATATTTTCATATGGAATGTTTCGAATGATGGCTGGAAAGTGGATCAATTACCATTAATTGGTCATGAATCATCTGTTGAAGATATACAATGGTCACCAAATGAATCGACAATATTAAGCTCCTGTTCTGTAGATCGTACTATTCGTATTTGGGATACTCGTAATCCACGTCATCAATCGGCTATTACTATTACGGATGCACATCAATCCGATGTAAATGTATTAAGCTGGAATCGGGTGGAAAAAGCATTCATATTATCAGGTGGTGATGATGGTGCTATTAAAGTTTGGGATCTACGGCAAGTACGTCGTCATTCTTCAATGAAAGCATCGAATGGTACATCATCAACATCAACAACAACGGCAAATGTTGGTTGTAAACCAGTGGCAACATTTAAACAACATAATGGACCAATTACATCGGTTGATTGGCATCGAACTGATGGTACAGTGTTTGCAGCAGCAGGTGAAGATCATCAGATAACACAATGGGATTTATCTGTTGAACCGGATGAACAACAACAACAACAACAAGATGATGAAAAAATATTGGCTAATAAACGACCTAAAATTGATACATCAATTACTGGTAATGATATTAGTAGTAGTAATAAACAACCAAAAGAAATGGATGATGATGGAATTATTGGTAAACTACCACCACAATTATTATTCATACATCAAGGACAAAAAGAGGTAAAAGAAATACATTGGCATCCACAAATACCCGGATTATTGATCTCAACGGCTGCAACTGGTTTCGATATATTTCGTACAGTTTCCGTTTGATCCATTATTGATTCAAATGATTTATCCGATTGATAATAATGATTCTTTAACCTTTCATTTTTTTTATCAATTATCACAACGATATTCTAAATTACTTTTTTTTTATTTGTGGAAAAATTTTCAATTTAAGATGGACGTTATTGTTTGTTTGTTTGTTTGTTGTTTTATGTATGAGTGCTTGCTTGTATTTTTTTAAAAATCATTTTTTCTTTAAAAAAAGAAATTCAAAACCCCCCTATTAATCACATTATATTCGTAAATTATTCTATCTACTTTAATTCAATGGTTCAATAACATATTTTTTCAAAATAAAAAAAAAGAATGTTTGAATTTCACCAGAAACAGTATCCGTTTTGTCGTTCGAATTCGATTTGATAATCATCATTTTTGATAAACTAAAGAAACGTTGTCATCGAGCAAATGCAAATTAAACAGATTTTTTTTTTTTTGAATAAAAAATACACATTGACGATACCAAGGAAAAAAAAATTTGATATTGATAACAAACAGACTGGATGGAAATCTGTTGAATTCGATACTTTTTTTTCTGGTGATTGATAACATTGAAAGCGAGTGAGTTGCCAGATTAGCAACCGACAAAATCGTTGGACGCGCCCTATTCGACGTTATTTTTTTCGTTGTTGTTGTTGTTTGATTGATTCAGTTTGTCGATTTTATGACCAATATCATTTTGTTTTCGGTTGTAATCGTTACTTTGTCAACCAAAAACTTAAATTTTTTTTTTTGAATTCATTTTTGTTGTTGTTGTTGTTTTTGTTGAAATTACTTGAATTTGAAGAATTTTTTTCAAGAAAACAAAAAATGCGTGAATGTATATCATTACATGTTGGCCAAGCTGGTGTACAGATTGGTAATGCATGCTGGGAATTATATTGTCTTGAACATGGAATTCAACCGGATGGAATATTATCACCAATCGATTCAACAACAACAACAGAATCATCGTTATCATCGAATGATTCATTTTCAACATTTTTCAATGAAACTGGTAGCGGTCATTATGTACCACGTTCAATTTATGTTGATCTTGAGCCAACGGTTGTTGATGAAGTACGTACAGGTGAATATCGTCGTCTATTTCATCCAGAACAATTAATAACTGGTAAAGAAGATGCTGCAAATAATTATGCACGTGGACATTATACTGAAGGCAAAGCATTAATTGAACCAGTTATGCAACGTATAGCTAAATTAGCTGAACAATGTTCCGGTTTACAAGGATTTCTTATATTTCATTCATTTGGTGGTGGTACTGGATCCGGTTTTTCATCATTATTAATGGAACGTTTATCTGTTGAATATGGTAAAAAATCTAAATTAGAATTTGCCATTTATCCGGCACCGGCTATTTCAACCGCTGTTGTTGAACCATATAATTCAATATTAACAACACATAATACACTTGAACATTCGGATTGTTCATTTATGGTCGATAATGAAGCTATTTATGATATTTGTCGTCGTAATCTAAATATTGAACGTCCATTATATATGAATCTAAATCGTATGATTGGACAAATTGTTTCATCAATAACAGCATCATTACGTTTTGATGGTGCATTAAATGTTGATTTAACTGAATTTCAAACCAATTTAGTACCATATCCACGAATACATTTTCCATTGGTTAGTTATGCACCGATTGTATCAAGTGAAAAAGCATATCATGAACAATTTAGTGTTGCCGAAATAACTGGTACTTGTTTTGAGCCATCAAATCAAATGGTTAAATGTAATACACGTAATGGTAAATTTATGGCATGTTGTTTACTTTATCGTGGTGATGTTGTACCAAAAGAAGTGAATGCTGCTATTGCAGCAATTAAAGCTAAACGTACTATACAATTTGTTGATTGGTGTCCAACTGGATTCAAAATCGGTATCAATTATCGTCCACCAACTGTTGTACCAAATGGTGATCAAGCTAAAGTTCAACGTGCTGTTTGTTTATTATCAAATACAACAGCTATTGCTGAAGCATGGTCAAGATTAAATCATAAATTTGATTTAATGTATTCAAAACGTGCATTTGTTCATTGGTATGTTGGTGAAGGTATGGAAGAAGGTGAATTTAGTGAAGCACGTGAAGATTTAGCTGCACTTGAACGTGATTATGAAGAAGTGGCTGCCGAATATAATGCCGATGATGATGATGATCATGATCAGGATGGTGAAGAATTTTGAGAATTTTTTTTTCAATTTCAATTTTCAATTTTAATTAGATTTATTTAGTTGAATAAACAAATAATATACAAATGTAGATCGAAATAGAACAACAACAACAACAAAAAAAACCTGAAAATATTTCTAATGAAAAAAAAAATAAAGTTTTGCATCCTGAAAATCATTCATTTCAATCCTTTATTTTGGATGTTAGTACATTTATTTCGTAGACGATGATGATGATAACAGTCATTTTAATGAGAATTTTGTCTATGTACGGACTGTTTGACGACCCTTGGCCCTTTTGAAAGTTGTAGTCTACATTTTTGCATCATCAAGTTATGTTTACGCTCCAGTTTTTTTTCCCCGTTCGATTTAGTGTTTCAACTATGTTTGCTTGTTTTAAATGTAAATCAAGCAAGTTCATCATCATCTTTTTTTTCATATTATCAAGCTTTATTAGATGAATTCGTCAATTAGTTTTTCGGATTACTTCGATGGTGATGCAACAACGAAGATTTTTTTCCAAAATGATTTAATTGACTTCACCAATTCATCCAATTCCAGATGGTCTAGATTCATTGATTTGATTTTTTTTTCGGGTTGTTGTTTTTTGTTGATATAAAATGAAATCATTCGAATCTTGGCAATAGATGATATAGATCATTCATTTGGCTGAATGACGACGATGATCATGTTGATGATGATGAAATGGACGATTATAATAATAATAATAATCAGAATTGGATTCTACAATCATCAGCAAATAGGATAGGATTGCCTGTTGTTGATGATAATGAACAACGAATGGATTCTTGGCCAATTTCTCAACCACAACAACAGTATGTTACAGAAATTTTTGATTCAACAACAAATACAGTCAGTAGTAGTGATGATAGCTGGTCACAATATTCATCATCATTGAATTATTATCAAAATTGTTTATATGGTGGTCAGAATTTTGATTATCATCAAACAACAACAACAACAACAACTATGACAATGATGACAGATAATATTGATCAATCTAATAATCGACAATCACAACAACGATCATCATCATCTACCATACGTAATCGTGATTTAGCCAATGACCAAGAACGGAAACGAATGCATCGTTTAAATGATGCACTATTTCGACTTAAAGAGGTATGAAATTTTTTTTTTGTTTACAGACAAAAAAAAACTAATTAATCATTTTAATTACGAATAGATGATACCGGATGAATTTCGACAAAAACAACGAATGTCCAAAGTACAGATATTACATTCGGCAATCGATTATATTCGATGTTTAGAAAATATTTTATATCAAAATGATAGAGAATGATTTTTATTTTTTAAAAATTTAAAATTTTCAAAAATAATTAAAAAAAACTAAATTATTTTTTCACATTGACAATCATTATGACATTTATGATTCGGTGTCCAATTACCAAGGCTTGATGTTGCATAAAAATCCATTGGATATTGATTTTTCAAATCAATTTCATTCGAATCAAGATTTTTGACAACCGTACGAAATTCAAATGGTGTTAATAATGGTTTGTCAACAAAATCTGCACCCCAATCAATGGATAAACGAGGACAGCCAATCTGTATCCAACATTCGATAGTATCGCCACCAAGTTCATGTAACATTTTCGGATTGATTTCGGATATTGCAAACAAAAAAACAGATGATTGTATTGATTTTTTTCGTAATAAATTTTCTAAAGCATCGACAATTCGAAGACTACCTTGACGGCCAAGTGTTCCAACTATAATTCCAATTGATTGATTATTACGTAAAACTTTTTCAGCACGTTCGATTGCTTGTGTTCGTTGCTTGATCATTTGATCATATTGATAATGTTCATGTGTCATATCTTTACTATATGGATCATAACGATAAGCTGGTAATTCAGGATTGGCAATCATTAATGCTTCTAAATGAAAACGACCATCAGCTATGAATATAATTGTATTTGCATCATTTGATTTTAATTTTGGTGCCGTACAGCCTAAAATTTCACCCGGTGTTAATGGACGTGATTGTGGAATATAAACATTGAATGAATATTTTTCTCGTAATTCTTTAGCGGCCAAATGCGTGGATCGTATAAACTGTATGGTCGATGCTAAACATATTTGATGTTCGGTGGGTGTAAAATTTTTAACAACTGTTTGAATAAAATGTAACAGATCAAATTTTATATCAACAAAAACATATAGTATTGATATTCCTGATGCCATTCGATTGATTGGCACCAAACATGAATGGCCATAATGCACGAGCATATCACAATCCATTTCACGTGCTTTCATATCATCTATACAACATGCACCATATGCAACATCGGCCATAATAATAAATTCAACATCATCCGTAAGAAATTCTCGTAATATATCGACAATAGGTATGGCAAAAATAAAAAGACCATCAGGAAATTGTAAACAAATACGTTTTGAACCATCTCGTCGTATACGCCATATTGTTTTATGTATTTCGAAATTATAATTATCCGGTAAAAATTGTGCAATACGTTGATTAAGTATTGGATCATTGATTATTTCATCGGGAATTTGATTCGGTTTCATTATGGATGATGAAAAATGATTGTTAAATGAAGAATTTTAATTAAAATACCATGTGACAAACTATATTCATAGACGATGTTATTCCATTTAGTTTTGTAATTTTTTATTCAAGAAAAAGATTTCTGATAGAATATCATAGATAATAATTAGAATTAATTAGATTCACAATAGATTGATAATACGAGATATATGACCAATTTTTAAATGTATACGATCGATACGAATAAACAAGATTCGATCATCATCTTCATCATTGAAATAATTTTGATTCAATTTATCACAAATTTTTTGAGCTTCATCAACATGTTCGGGCGTAAACCAAGCTATACTTGTATGATATATGAATTTTTCGAGTTGACTATCATCTACTGGAACAATTTCGGATCGATATTTACGAATGATATGATGTATTGATTTGATTAAAACACGATTTGGTGCCAATGGTGAATGAAGTTTTTTCAGACTAATTTCATTGTCACCCATTTCATTATCAATATCATCGTCAGAATGAGTTTGACAAATGGCTAAAAAATATCGACTTTTATCACTATTTGGTAGAATTCGAACGTTATTCAAACAAAGCGAAAATGATTCAAATGATTTGATCAATTCGGATAATTGACAAAGTAATGGTTCAATTTGATGATATTGTACAGCATAATGTCCATATACGAAAGAAATGTGCCATTCATTTTCGAAATTAAGCCATTTTTCTACAAATTGTTGACGAATTTCTTGTAGAATTTCTGTATTATCATCCAAATGATAATAGATATGTATGACAAATTGATTTCGTATATTTGGAAATATTCTTGAACGTTTTTCAATAGAATCATCATGTGATTGGTTTTGATTATCATCATTTCGCGATGATTCATTGAATAGAGACAAATTCTTCACTGATGGTAACATTGCCTTTTTCGAACGATAGAAAAAATCTGCATGTGATAAAATCTCGAAAACAAAATTGTCACTATTTATATCCATATACAAACATTCCGATTTCTATATCTACTCAACGAGTAAATGAATCCGAAAAAAAAATTCGAAATTGGCCGGAAATTATAATTTGGAAAACAAAAATTGATTCTTTTAAATTTTTTATTTTATTTAAAGTTTTTTTTTGTTCAACTAGTATTTAACGGAAAAAACTATTTAGATATTCTTCAAAATGTTTTGTTAGGCGAGAATTCCTGTATGTTTTTTGTATATAATTTTTTGTTTGTATACAGGAAAATGAACTGGTTTCATTTCACAACACGATTGCCTACTTTTTTACATTGACTTTTTTTCAAAACAATGTTGAATTTTCAATGGTGGTTATTTTTTTTTAAATATAGAAAAAAAAATCAATGATGACCTTCAGTATGATGATCATCATGATGTTCAAGCTCCGAATAAACTTCTTCTTTAATTTGTATATAATTCAATAGATCACGTGGTGTATTGAGTTTTTCGGCATCGGCATCAGGTATTTCGAAATGAAATTCATCTTCAATAGCCATTATTATCTCTACATGATCCAATGAATCCAGTCCCAAATCTTTGTAGAAATGTGAATCAATTGTTAATTTATCTGGATCAATTTTATCGTATAACCTTAATACCAACATTATACGTTCACGAATAAAATCAACAGTCAATGTTGGTTTATGAACATTACGTTTAATCATCATCATCATCATTGGTTTAGTTTGATCCATATTTGTATTCAATTGTTTATTATGGCTATTATATGATGACCAAGTTGACATCAACATCATTGGTGAATAATTTTGTACGGAACGATAATTGATTGATAATGGTGTTATCAATGATTGTTGTTGATTATTCGGTTTTATTGGCAACCAAAATCTGGACATCATTGATGATTGTGATCCTAATGGCAATGGCTGTGATCGTAGAATCCAACGTATCGATTGTGCCATTTTTTTTGAAATGATTTAATTTTTTTTAAATAACGATATGATAATTATTTTTTAAAATTGAAAATTGATCCAATCCTCAATATTTCACAACACATCAGATGATCTTGGCCTTTTTCTTTCTTTTTTTTCACTTTCACATTTGCCTGTACAAACGAACAAACGAATGAGACACAAACACGAGAGAAAAAAAGAAAACACACACACACTCGTGTGTCCATTCATTAAGAATGTTACGGAATTTTTTTTTCAAAAATTTTTAATTTAATTTTTAATTTTTAATTTTCAACAAAAAAAATAATATTAGGAAAATTCTTCCGATAATAATTTACGTTTATTATTACGTTTCGAAACAACATTCTGCATTCGTTGTATTTCTTCATCAAATAATAATTCCAATGGATATTTTAATCGTGCAGCATTGGCTAAATTTTCGAATGAAATTTGCATAAAATCAAATGCAATAACAACTTGTTTTTCAATATAATTTGCCAATAATTCATCATCAATTAGATTGATTGGTGCCATTTTTGCATAACGTTGTGAAAAATGTGTTAACACTGTATATTTTGCATCAATTTTTCGTCCAACATTTATTGCCTGTGATATTGTTGAATGTCGTTTATATTCAGCTTCTTGCCAAAGATCATCATTCATTGTTGCTTCATGTATTAACATATCACAATTTTTACCAATATAATCAAATGAATCTGAATACATTGAATCACCGGAATAGGCAAATTTTTTACCACAATTTGTTTCAAATATAATACCATAACTTTCAAAACAATGTGGAACTAATACGGTTGCCATTTCTTTTAAATCAATTTGTTGTAATAATTTTTGTTTTTCTTCATTTTGATTTAATTTTTTTGTTATCTTATCGAATGATAATGTTTCACATGCAATTCCACAAAAACCTTTGGAAATATTTTCAAAATTTTGATCAAAATAATTAAGAAATGATAGAATTGAATATGGTGCAATAATCCATAATGGTTTTGATTGATCAGATAATTTTAAACGTTCTTTTATCAATTTAATAAGACCAAAATGATGATCAGCATGATAATGTGTAATGAACACAACATTAATACGTTGTAGTGTTTGACGATAATGATCATGACCAAAAAATCGAATCATTTGTAAAATAGTTGATTCACCACAATCCAATAGAATAGATTTTCCCTCATTTAAATTGACTAATATACCACTGGTATTACGTTGTTTACCCGGTGAACTGGAACCGGTTCCAAGAAATAATACATTCGGATATGACATTTGTTGTTGATTTTTTATTGTCAATGTTTTATATTCATTAAGACGATCTTTAAATTCTTGTTGTTCAAGAATTTCTTCATGAATTTTTTTCACATCTAACCAACAACAATTTGAATCAAGAATTTCAAATTTTTTTCTTGGTCGTATTTGATATGTAAATAAATTTGGTATATTTTCAATAATTTTTTTACATTCAAAATTGAATTTTTCATCAGTAGCAATACAAGATTGTCGTTCGGATAATGATCGAAATATTTCATTATCAAGTAGATTTAATTTGATTTGTAATTCAGTTGATGAAATTAGACCAAGATCATAACAAGAATTTTCATTTAAAATTAAATGCTTAACATTCGAATCGAATGTTTTCAGCCAGCTCTGATAATTGGAATTATTGGCAATCATAGCTGGTGTCATATGAACAACTAATTCAATCTGTTTTCCCATTACATATGGGTTGAAATTTTCAATTTTTTGATAAAAATCATTCAGATAATCGTATTGTGGACATTCTAATATCACAATAGCTGCACCAGGTTCAGGTGGTCCAAGAACATCATTTGGCTGAATAATTTTACCATCGATTTCAATTGTTTCACCATTTTTTAATGCAGCGAATTTCGGACCCGGTGGAATGTTTAATTGTTTACATTTATCAATCAATAATCTTCCAATTTTATCTTTAGCAATAAGAATATATGCTGTCGATTCTTTATATGATAATGAACGAATAAGAAAATCATCATCATCGATTAAATCGATGACCGTATCAACATTATCGGTTATAACATGTTGAAGTTCAACTTTACTAGCTGATTGTAGGAATTGTCGATACATTTGTATGATCTTTGCAAATCGTTTTGAACCATGAAATCTGAATTGATTTTTTATCTCGGCAACCGTCAATACAAGACCGAAAAAACCTGACCAATTTTCATATGAAGTACCAGTGAAAAATATGTTTTGAAGTTTGCCCAATTTCAAATATCTTTTGAATGATAAAAACCAAAAAAAATAATTCAATTACAGAATTAATTAAACATACTTATTATGTTCGATGATCATTCTTTGTGTACCTTCACCACAATTAAATAGGTAATTAATTTTATCCGACGTAACAATTAATGATGGTTGCATCATAGCACCATTTCCCATAACAATCATATTAATACGAGCTGATACATTATTGCTTAACATTTTACGATAATTATTTTGTACAATAGTACGTGAAGATAAAAAACGAGATAAACGATAAACAATTGACATGGAAAATTAATTTTTTAATTTCAAACTTTCAATCCACAGAATAATTCTTCACATGAATTAAACACACACACACATGATTCACGTGATATGAATCCAAATAGAAATTTTACGTTTAGATTGAAATAGTTGACATTCGAATATCAAATCAAAAAAAAAAGATTTTAATTTGAAAAAAGAAAAATTTTCTCAAACATAATTAATTACAAATTTTTTCATTAAATTATTATCAATAGCAACAATTAATTGTCCATCATCAATCATTAATTGTGGTAATGTTTTAGGTAAATTTTTTTCAGTTTGTTCAGCTAAACTTGCCATATATAATGTTTGATCGGAATCATTTTTCATAATTGTTCGTATTGATATAGATGTTTTAGACATTTGATAATCCAATACAAGTTGATCAATTAGATTATCTAAAGTTAATTTTTTTGAAGAAATTTTTAATGGTATTGGTAATGGACCACAAATAGTACAATCACGTTTACGTTCTGCTGCATATGTATACGTATAGATTCCATCAGAATTATTCAGTACAAGATAATTATTAAGAAATGGTGCAGCTGCAGTCATTAATTTAAATACTTCAGTACAACAAGCAGCAGCAATAATTGCATTAGTCGATGCTACGGCAGGTATTATATGTTTGACTACACCTTGTGTTAGTCGATAGGTAACACCTTCGATACCGAATTCAATGGCACGATCCATAGCATGTTCATATACCCATTGTAGATGTGCCGGATCATCACCATCTAATTCTATTTCACCAAATGGACAATCACGATTCCATTGAATAAGTTTAACGTATTCGATGCAATGTTCCGGAAGTCTTGGCCGATGTGTTAATGTACAAAGTGGATAGGTAATCTGTGGTGGATATAGATCCAACATACATTCAACACAAGGATTATCAGCACTTGGTATAATAACACGAAAATTTCCTTTAAAACCTTCGGTTCCACCATCTACTAATGGAATAATATTGATCATTTCGGCCGGGTTTTCGGGCGATGGTTGCAATAATCCAAATAGCATGGTATTTAGCCAACGTCTTGGACCAATAGCATCTAAACCACTTACAATTACATTAAATTGATAATAAAATTGTGGATCTTTTTCTTCAATTTTACAGAAATGAGCCGTAACATTACAGCCGGCAACACGTTTATTAATGAATTCGGCAGCCACCACTGCTTTACTACGGCCAACATCTTTGGTACGGAATAAAAATTGACGATTTAGATTCGACATTTCGATCGTATCACAGTCAATAACATGAATATCAACAAAACCCATCATGGCTAAATCTTTAAGCATTTCACAACCAAGACCACCGGCACCAACAACAAGAATTTTTGCTTCTTGTAATATGGTTAGACCGGCTGTTGAATCAAATCCAGCCTGAACAAATGGGCCAGTTCGGGAAAGAACTTTGTTTAAATGATTCCATTGTCGTCGCGTTGATGATGAAACTGGATCAATTTCCATTTTTTTTCGGAAAATCAAAATTTGAATCAACAAAGAAAAAAAATGATGATGAGCTTAACTCAAAACATTCTTTGAAATCAATTTTGGACGTTGTATATGAATGAATTTGGCTATAAAACGGGCATGATTCGAGTTTTTTATTCTTTGATTTGGATCATCATCATCATTCCTTTTTGAATCAAAATTTGAATATTTTTTTCAGTAATAAAAAAAATAATGTCAAACATTTCACAACAAGCTACAAATGAACGATCACTTCGTTCGGTTTTCGGTAAGTTTTAATGATTATTTTTCAATCGATTATTTTTCATTTATTGTTGTCATAATAGTTGGTAACATTCCATACGATGCAAGTGAAGAAAAACTAAAGGAAATCTTTTCTGAAGTTGGTCCGGTAATTAGTTTTAAATTAGTCTATGATCGTGAATCGGGTAAACCAAAAGGATATGGTTTTTGTGAATATCGTGATCAAGAAACTGCATTATCGGCTATGCGAAATCTAAATTCCTATGAATTAAATGGCCGTAATCTTCGTGTGGATACGGCCACAAATGAACGTTTTAAAGAAGAGATAAAAAATCTACAAATGTCATTATCGGGATCAACATTTGAATCACCATATGGACAAGAAGTTGAACCGGATAAAGCACCCGAACAAATAGCAAAAGTGGTCAGTTCATTACCACCGGAACAAATGTTTGAAATTGCTAAACAAATGAGACATTGTGTTCTTACAAATCCAAATGAAGCACGAAATATGCTTCTACAGAATCCACAATTAGCTTATGCATTACTTCAGCTATTAGTTGTAATGCGTGCTATCGATGTTCAAACCGCTTCATCTATTCTATACAAACCAAATCCACCACCGATACCAATTCAACCGGCGGCAAATATTCAACCGGGAATGCCACCAGCTGCACATATGGCTATGCCAATGTCGCAACAACCATCAATGTTACATCCAAGTATTTTTGATCCAAGTATTGTAGCTAATGTACAACAACCACAATCGATGGCTCAAAATCCATTTGATCCACGATTAGATCCACGTCTTCGACAGCAACAACAACAACAAGTTCAACCACCTACCGAAGCATTTGATCCACGAATTGTTCAACAGCCAACACAAACTGTGGCTGCTTCAGTTCAACCTCCATTGGATCCACGATTACGTGTACAAATGCCTACAGCAACAGCCGCTACTGTTAATCCTGTAGCGGCACAAAATTCTCGTGGACCACCATCTGGTCCGATAAGACCTACAGCAGGCGTCATATTCAATCAACAGTCTCAACATTCATCAGCTGCAACAGCTCAAGTTCCAACATCAAATCAACCACAAGCATCATCATCATCATCTACATCATCATCAACATCATCATCGACAATACAAACAGCTAATCAATCAGAACAGGAAAAAGCACAATTAATTATGCAAGTTTTATCATTATCTGATCAACAGATAAATATGCTGCCAGCTGATCAACGACAATCGATATTAATGTTACGACAACAATTACAGCAACAAAATAAATGAAAATGATCAAAATTTATCAATCACTTTACACATCATAATCGATAATAGTAATTGATTTTTTTTTTTTTAATATGATCAAATTACCTATTTTGTGTGCTTGTGTGTGTGTATTATTATTATTATCATCATCATTAATAAGAAATAAAATTAATAATTATTATGATTAACTTTTTATGATGTCTGCCTGTATGTGTACCCAATATCAAAAAAAAGTGTTTAATTTTCATTTTAAAAAACGAATAACGTTTATTTTTATATAAAACTGATGATGATAATATACCGTTATACTAGTTGGCAACATTAACCGATTCCATATAACAAGATATAGAAATTGACTTTGTCACCTTTGATTATTATACACCACCATCAAATCTAATAATGATACTGGTAATGGTTATATTAGTATAGTTGATGATAAATTTTTTGTTGTTAATTTAGCTTGTATGATTTGTGGTAGGTGGTGTTAAGACACAACAAACATTTATACATACGAATCATCAGGAAAAGATTGTTTTAAAAAAAAGAAATTTCAATGTTTTTTGCCGTTGCTTGCTTTGATTGTGGCATGGATTTTTATTTTTCATCATTATTCAGTGTGTACGCATGTACTCAGATTGTTTTCGTTTCGTTCGCGTTTTTTTTTGTTGTTTCTTGTTGGCCATTCAATATTCGATACATATGTTGTTTTTTTTGCTGGGTGACACAAAAAAAATAAAACAAATTCCCCACTAATGTCACTGAGTTCAATTGAATAATTTCATTCTTCGTTCTTTTTTTTGTTTGGTGTTGGGCTAATTGTTGATAGATGTTTATACAGATGTTTGTTTTCAACTGTTTTTAGGAAGAACAATGTTTTATAATTCTGTGTATTGATTTTTTTTTCATTGTATTTGTTTGATTCGGTGATTTATTTTTATTGAATCGGAATTTTTTTTTAAAGAATTTCAAAAAACAAAACAAAATATAAATAAATCGAAATTATTTATCCACAAGTATCGATTGCTATTCGATTCGAATTTAAACGGAAAATTTTTATATTCGTCCATCATTTAATCTTATTTTTTTTTTGTATTTTGATTGTTTTGTTTTTTGAAAATCATAATCATAATCTAAATTGAAAAGAAGAAAAAAAAATGTTACGATCATTAAGAAATAAATTTGTTTTGGCTAAACAAATAGCCAATGCTGCAAATAATAATGGAACAGGTGGTAATCGTGTTGGACGAAGATTCTTAAATGTTCATGAATATGTTGCAATGGAAATATTACAGAATGGTGGTGTTAAAGTGCCAAGATTTGGTGTGGCCAGTACACCTGAAGAAGCTGTTGAAATATCGAAACGTTTAGGTGAAAATGATTTTGTTGTCAAAGCACAAGTATTGACTGGCGGTCGTGGCCGTGGACATTTCAGTAGCGGTCTAAAAGGTGGTGTTAAATTAGTTTATACACCTGAAGAAGTTCGAGAAGTTGCGTCAAAAATGTTGGGTGAGTTTTTTTTGAATTTGATGTAATTGATTAATTGGGTTTGTTTTTTCAATTCTGACATAAAATAGGACACAGTTTAATTACGAAACAAACAGGTGAAAAAGGAATGATATGTAATAAGGTTATGATTGTCGAACGTCTTTATCCAAGACGTGAATATTATTTTGCCATTATGTTGGAACGTGCCTATCAAGGTCCAGTGATTATTGCATCAAGTCAAGGTGGTATGGCTATCGAAGATGTTGCTAAAGAATCACCTGAAGCTATTATTACAATGCCTGTTGATATTGTAAATGGTCTTTCGTTAGAAATGGCCATGGATGTTGTACGTAAAATAGGTTTTCATCCTAATAGTCATGAACATGCTGCCCAATTATTGATAAATTTATATAAATTATTTCTGGATAAAGATGCCTCTATGATCGAAATTAATCCAATGATTGAAGATTCAAATGGTCAGGTTTTATGTATCGATGCTAAATGTCGTTTTGATGATAATGCTGAATTTCGACAAAAGGATATTTATGAACAAAAAGATACAACACAAATTGATGTACGTGAAGTTGAAGCACAGGCTGCAAATTTAAATTATATTTCATTGGATGGTGATATTGGTTGTTTAGTTAATGGTGCCGGTTTAGCTATGGCTACAATGGATATTATCAAACTACATGGTGGTAGTCCGGCTAATTTTCTTGATGTTGGTGGTGGTGCAACAGCACAACAAGTCAAAGAAGCATTTCGTATTATTTCATCCGATTCCAAAGTGCAAGCTATTCTGGTCAATATATTCGGTGGTATAATGCGTTGTGATGTTATTGCCGAAGGTATTATTGCTGCCGCACAAACACTTAAGCTAAAAATTCCTATTGTTGTACGTTTACAAGGTAATTTAATCATTTTATATCTATCTTTTCGATTCATTTATTGTTTTATTTTTTTTCATTTAATCAAATAACCAAATAGGTACAAATGTTGATGATGCAAAAGCATTAATTGCATCATCAAATCTTCGTATTTTGGCTTGTGATAATTTAGAAGAAGCGGCAAAAATGGTTGTAAAAATGTCGGCAATTATTGGATTGGCAAGATCAGCATCGGTTGATGTTAATTTTGAATTGCCAATCTAAAGAAAAAAAATATTGTTAAAGAATAATTTAAAAATTCAAGATATTCATGGCAAACTACGACATATATACCAACACACACAAACATTTATCATCCCACCAAAACAACACTGATTGATTTCAATTCGATTCGAAGAATTCTGATTCGATTCTGTTCGAAACATCTATCCCAAAACCACTCACAAACCTTTGACTTATGAATTATGTTTGATTATTATTTGTTTTTTTTTCATTGTTTTATTCTTTTAATAAAAAAAAAATATCCTACAAATCATTCACATACATACATGCACACACACACTGACTAGATTTTGGATTGAAATCTTTTGTTTGCTTATTATTATTTGATTATTTTAATTATCATTATCATCATTGTTGTTGTTGTTGTTCACTTGTATCCTGAAACAAGCAAAAAAAATTGTCAAATTATAAATTATTTTATCAAATTTCAAAAAAAAATGAATAAATTTTTTTTCAAAAAACAAACAAAATTGAAAATATATTCTCATTACAAAAACGTACATTTTGTACGGAACATGGATTGTGGAAGTAAATGGAGCACAAAAGAATAAATGTTTTTCGTGTTCGAATTTCGAACACGAAAAAAGTAAAAAATTTTCCTCGAAATCATTTGACCATTAATTTAATTCTTAGATTTCTCTTTTTGAACAAAATGTTATTCTCGATGTTTTTTTTCCGTTTTGTTGTCGTTGTTGTTGTTTTTGTTTGAATGATCCGATAATTTTGTAAAATAAAAGAAGCATGAAAATTATACATCATCATCATCATCATCATAGTAAGCATCATTTGAACACATTTCCTGTCTGACAAGAACTCTTGTTGTTTACTTTACTGATGACCAGGAAAATCTTGTTTTGTTTTATCATCATCATCATCATCAAAAAATCATTTGGGTATATTATGTATACAGTGTTCTTGAAATGACAAGAGGATTTTTTTTCCATACGAAACAACCACCCTATATGTTTCAGAAAAAAAAATCCGGTTCATACTATTTACGGTACTGATAATATCATATATAGAAATGGAATAAAATTCAAGAAATATCTCAAGAATAATAATAATAATTCTTTCGTTAAATGTTTTTCCATTCATTCATTTAATATATAAACATTGTATATTTTAATCAAAATAATAATAACAATGATGGAAATGAAAACAAAACAAAACATTCTGGTTTTTCGGTTTGTTTTGTTTTGTTCGGTTTTTTTACGGCTGGATCCACACACTAAACGCCCACTCATCAATAATAGCAACCATAATATATTCGAATGTTGATGATGATGATGATGATGGTAATGGATTCTATATTCTATCTCTATTCGATTACAATTTATAAACATAAAACAAAACGAATGATAAAAAAAGAAATTGTATTTATAATTTTAGTTACAAACAATCACTGTTGTGGAATGAAATTTTTCGTTTTGTTTTTTTCTTATGAATCCAAAAACAACAAGATTTGAAGGTTTGAATTCGATTTTTTATAAAAAAATTTTTTTGGGTTAACTTGAATTTGATGAAGTGGAATATGGGCAGTGAAGCTTACATTTCAACCGGCGACAAACAAAATTATGCCAAAAAAAGCGAAGTTTGTTTAAAAATTTTGTTTTTCTCATATCATGGTTGAAGAATTTTATGGTACAATCCGGTTTTTCAACATTAATTACCATCATCATTAAGACATCCAGAAGAAAAAAAGTATTTCACAAAAATATACGGGAATTCACTATATTCATCACAACAGCAAAACAACAAACAAAAAAAATTTCCATTTCAACTCAACTGTGACTGTGGTTTATCAAGAATATTGAGTATATTTTGTTTCTTTCAAATATTCTGTGACCATCATCATCATCATTATTCCGAAAAATTATTTTCCAATTTTCTTTCTTTCTTTTCTTTCTCACTATTAATTCCAAAATAATTGCATTCATTTATTCATTTGTCATCATTATTCTCTAACAAAAAAGAAAATATGAATGTGGTTCATATTTTCTTTTTATCTAGGTTAATTATTTTTCAATCAACATTATCATCGTCATCAAAATAATGACGATGTTGGACCTAATGATCAAAGAATAATAATGATAAAGAGATGAACCGATCTATATATAATGTTTGAAGATGATAAACCAAATTGATGTAAGTATATAATTTGTTTTTTTTATCCTCGATTCTATTCAGATGGAATAAAAGATCTTTGGTTGGTTGTTGATGAAAAATCAATCGATCGATCGATCGATAAATGGATTTCAATTGATCACATATCAAGAATAAAATTGAAAAATCAAATCGAATCATCACATTATAATTATGGTCCGAATGGGCTTCAAAAAAAATCAAAATGTGGTGAATCCAAAAAACTTTTAATTTGTTCTTGAAGATGGATGTCGATAAATGTTTTTTTCTCTCTTTCTCTTCCTTCAATCTTTGAAAAAAAAGAAAAACTTGAAAAAAAATCATTTTGAAATATACAAAAGACTTTATATGTGTGAATCGGTTATCTGACTAAAAATAAGACATCAACACAAGAATATTGATTATTATTATTGATAAGAATTTATTATCAATCAACTCATTCAATTAATTCAATAATAAAAGAGTCAGTGAAAAAAAAAATTCACCGATAAATTCAACCAAAAATCAACCAAGTGAAACAACAAAAAACACGAATTCGAACCAAAATTGATTCATTTTCCATTATCATCATCATCAATTATTTTTTTTGTTTGTCTACCAAACATACCAACACAGACATATTTTGAATAATTTCCCTCAACAATATCATATTACATAATTGAAACACTAAAAAAAATTAATTGAATCAAATAATGAGAAATAAATTAATTTTGATTCATTTTTAATTATAATAATGAGATAATTATGTAACAAAAACTGATAAATCTGATTATAACTAGCAAAAAAAAACTATTTATATCCGATTTGGTTAATGATTGGTTTGAAATGGAAATATTCGGTTTGAATAATTGATATTTTCTTTTCTTGGTTCAATTTTTGGCCAAATTTAAATTCCTTTTAATGATTCATGAAATGGAATGGGATTTTATTTTATTTGAATATTTTTTTTCGAACGATTTTGTTTCATTTGACAAACCAGAAAAAGCATATGATTATTCGATTTGCGCATGTAGAATCTGTAGAATCTCAAGCAAATTAAACTTACCTGTATGTGTATATAGTGCGTTTTTTTGGGGGGTAAACTTTAGGTCTTTTTTTCCCATTTACTTTATTTCCTGGAGAGAAAGAAAAGAAAAAGCATTTACTTTATTTGAATATTATTATTTAGGTCAGTAACCGAGAAAAAAAGATTCTTCATTTCTTTCTTCTTCTTCCTGTTTTTTTTTTAAAAACATAAACAAGAAAGACAGACAAAAATAGTCAGGTCAGGTTTATTTTTTTGTTTTCCTGGCCATCAACGAAATTGGATATATATCGAGTAAATGCATTTTAAATGCCATTTTTCATTATTATTATTGACATAATAATGTTTACCATCATCATCATTATCAATGTTAACAAAAACATTCGTGGACAAAATACCAAATGTTGTTAACATTGTCGAATGTCAAATACACACACACACTTTCGCACAAAAAAAACACACACATATGGATGTCCACTTTAAAAATTCTCATGCAGTAAACAGAAAAAAAAATGTTTAATGGAAAATTAAATATGAAAAATTTGGATAAAGTAAACCATTGATGGGCCAGCCTGATGGATCGGTCGGTCGCCGAATGACATTAGAATAATTCCCACTCACATATAATCAACTTGATTTTTTTATATTCAAAAACTTTAACTCACATCCGTTGAAAACGGTAAATTATTTGAATCAACCAAAAAAGTTTATAATCATCATCATGATGAGAAAATTTTCACACATGGTCGAGTTTTGTTTTTATTTAGTTTCCAACGAGTTAAACCACAGAACTTTACCCGGAAAAAAATTTGTACAAAAATGATTCAAGATTATTCTTTAGTTGAGTGACTGTGTGTATAAAATAGATTACATAAGAAAAATCCAGGATCCATCAAATGGACAACAGTATCGATAGTAAATCGATAGTTAATATGTAAAAAAAAACATTTATGGTCTAAATTTATTGATTGATGATCCATTTGGATCAAAAGTTTGGATCGATATTTCTCTCTCCCTAATTATAATATTGATATTTTATATTTCCATCAACAACAATGACAATACTAACAAGATTGTAAATAACTAAATGAAAATCGATATCAAAAAAAAAAAATTCGATTTTATTCGACCTATGTAACATTTTATGTAATAAAAATATAGATGATGACCTCGACGATATGATGTCTAGATAAAAAAAAAAAAACATTATTATAATTACTTTGAACCAAGTGAAACAAAAAACACCCACAAATAAAATCCATATTGAAAGTAAATAGATAAAACATACGGTGATAATAGTGATGATCCAATTTATGATCCTAATGTATTATTAGCATTAGTATATTTTATTATTTGATCCATAGGGTTTACTTTTTTTCCTGTTTAAAATTGTCATCGTCTTTGTTGTTGTTGTTGGGAATTACAATCGAAAACAAATAAAATGATATATACAATGTACACATGCACACAGAGAGAGAAATAAAAGAAAACGTAATAAATTACTTGGACAAACATAACACACATATATTAATAATATTCGTTAACAAGGAAATCTTGAACGATGGAGAATTGGATGCTGATTTGATCTTTTTTTTTTCTACGAAAAAAAAAATCTAATGTCATCAAAAATTTTTTTCACGTTTATAAATAAAGTCTGCTTTAATTTGAAATTTAGTGAAGAAAATTTTTTATTAAAAAAAAAATCATTCGATTCGATTCGGAATTTTGATTTGAAAAAATAATGTTGCCATCAAACAGTAGGCATATTGGAGAAGAAAAAAAATGGGCACCATAAGCAAACGATTCGCATGAATAATTAATTGAAATTTTACTTTTTTTATTTGCTGAAAAAAAAATATTTAAATTATTGAAAAAAAGAAAAAATTTTTTTTCTTGTTCCAGTTATTCTTGACTGATTTGAAGATTTACCAAGATTGACTATAGTCATTTTGTGATGAAAAATTTACGAAAAAATTTTTTTCAATCATTTTTTTTCAGTCATAAAAATTCACATCATTATTACGTAATTGAATTGTGTGTTTTATAAGTTTCAAAAGAAATGAAATGGTTTTTTTCATTCCTTTTCCTTGTGCAAACACATGCATAAATGGTGATCCCATTAGACAGTCATTTTATTTTTTTATTTTAACCAAAATTGATTTTTCAAATAAAAACACCATACACACACACACCTCCACGAAATTTCTCATTCTACTTTCAAAGAGTTTTTCGGTATTATTATTTTAGTTTTAGGGAACCACCTTTATTAAAGAAAGAAAAAAATTTCTTATCTTTTCTTTTGTCAGATGAATGATAACATTGCTCAAAAAGAAATGAAGAATCAAGATAGCAGGATAGATATATTGTTTCATTTTGTTGTCTGGGATTCAATTTCTCGGTATACTGAAGACAAAGATGAGACAAAAAACTGAAAATGAAAAAGAATCCAAGACAAAATTCTTTACAACAAAAAAAAACAATCTTTGCAATGACACTTTAATATTGTATAATATTTTTGTTCCCGGGCATCACTTATTTTACACATCAGTTATTTTCTTTTTTTTCGTCAACGAAAAATTCTTCTGATTTTATTAATGAATCATTTTTTTACAATTTCGTTTTCTTTCTTCATTTATTTAATTAACTTAACCATGGTGATCATGATTATCATCATCATCATCCTGGTTGTTGTAGAAAGATATTGCTGAACTAAAAATATAAGAAAAAAAAACCCTGTCCATAATAATCAAATCAAATCATTCGAATCACAAGTTGTTTAGTTGATGACGTAATTACACAAACAAACTAACCTTTTACATTAGTTTTATTTGACCGTTATTTTTTTTTTAATTACAAACGGTGAATCCATGTATTTTGGTCCAACATTTTTTTTTTTTGGTTTAATGCTAGTCTGTCTCATCCAAAAAAAGAAAAAGAAAAGATCCGGATGTATCTTGTTATTCGACCTTCGTAGAATCAATCTTTCTCACTCACAGACTGACACACATACACACAAACACATTCCCCCACTTATTACCCATTAATGGCCACTCTCAGATCTTATTCTTCTTCATCATTCTGAATTTGAAAAAAACTAGGAAAAAAAAGCAAAATTCCACACACACACCAACAGTGTGTACATGTACCATGTCTTCGTCGTTGTTGTTGTTGTTGTTTCCGTGTGATTCAAACACAGGAAAAAAAGAGAGGAAGCGGTATTCCAAATGAAAAATAACATATGTATCACTCTGACTCTTTTTTTTTCTTTAACGAAAAATTAAATTCTCGGTCACAATTCTGTTTCCTTGTTGTTGTTGTTGTTGTTGTTGTTCCTATGTTATCTATTTGGCTGTTGGATGCCGAAAAATATGAATGAATGAATGATGATGCTCTCTGGGTATTTTTCATTCTCAATAGCCGCCGAATGATTTACCAACAAACTACCACTACAGTGAAATTTTTTTTCTTCTTCATTGTTGATTCTTCAATGGAATTTCGCTGTTGTTGAGATTTCTATTCAGAGAATAATAGATTTTAATTAACGGGCAAATGAAATTCAATGACAATGACAATGATGATAATCATGAAGATAGGTTTCATTATCTAGATGTGGAAAGAATGAAAAAAAAAGACCAAGAATACGGAATTTTCTTCTTTTTCTTTTCTTGTATGGACATTATCTTCATATTTTATTTCATTTTTTTTATTTCATTCATTCACAAATACAACAACAATCAATTAATTAATATTAATGAATATCACCACCACCAGCACCATTCAATGCTAATGCTTGTGAACGTTTAAATGATGCTTCAATTGCACCACATAAACCGGATGCTGCTTCATTTTTATCCAATATCATTTGTCCAAAAATAGCACCACCAGATGGACTACTTGAATCATCTTTTAATTGTGTTGCCATTAAACCGGTTGTTAATATTGTTTGTGATGTTGATTGTGCAACTTTTGCTGCAAATTTTACGGCAACATTTCTTGGCATACCGGCTTTTACTGCACCATCAGCAATTGAATTTATAAAATAATAACACTATATTTAGGAGAAAAAATAGATTTTTTAAAAGTTATTTTGTAAAAAGAAATGAAAATATACATACAAATGCTATACCAGAACCGACTAATACACAAACAGTATCAAGATGATTACCGGGTACAAATTCTAATGTTGTAATACGTGTTAAAATTTCACGTACAATATTTGGAAATTTTTCACTATCCGGTTCAGTATCAATATAACTATGTCCAATACCATAAAAAATTGAATGACTAATAACACAACGATAAAATTTTGCCGTATATTTACCCGGATTTTCTGGATTTAATAAACAATCTTTAATTTGATCAATATTAAAACCAAATACTAAACTAAATATATAAACAGGATGACGCATATTTGGTATATAATTTGTTGTTAATGCTGCCGGTCTTGTACCACCAATTTTATATAATGAATGTATAACATTTGGTGGACAACAAATAAATACAATATCACAATCAAAACGACCAAATATATCGATATTTCTTTTCGATGTATGTATAGCTGGATAAAGAATTTTCATTGTTTCAGTATTGGTTGTTGTTGGTGATGAAATATATATACGTTTTGGATCAACTTGACCACGTACCGATAATAAACCGGTAATAATAGATGTAGCCAATTTACCGGCACCAATAAAACCAAGACGTGCAGTATTTGCATCAGCACCACCACGACGTGTTTTTTTTGTTGGACGTGTTCCTGATGTAGTAGGTTTTGACATAATTATTCTTTTTTTTTTCTCTCGGCAAAACAAACAAAAAATTCAATTTACACACACAAAAAACAAAATTCAGAAATTCAGATAAACTTTTTTTTAGTTCAAACAGTTTTTTTTTGAGAAATATTTTGTGAAAAAATACAAGAATTTTTATAACAACTGTTAAACAATCAATCAATCAAGGGGGAGAAAACAAAATTCAATTAAATTTATCAAATTATCGATTATCGAAAAAGAAAACAACAACTTTTTTCACAATTCGAACATATGATTCGACTATTTTTTTGGCTATAATTTTGTTTTTCTCGAAATAGTAACAATGGAAAACATTATCATTGTTGCAGAATGTTGATGTTTGGACTATTTTCGAGGACAAAAATCGATAAAATCGATTTTTGATTGGGAAAAAAATTGAATTTTTTTCCCAAAATGTAAGTAAAACTTTTACTTTTAATTATGATTATTATTTGTTAGACGAATGGGAAGAATCGTTTTCTTTCCATTCACAAAACAATAACAAAGAATTTTGAAAGCCTAAAGGCTATTTGAAATAACAAAAATTCATTTTGATTTGATAACAATGATGATGATGATGATTTGAAAATGAATGGTTTTTTCCAATTGAAGAAAAACTATAAAGGTTTCGAAATTTCATTTTTCGTTTTTGGAAATAAATCCTGGTGAAAGAAATCACACCTTCGGGGTTTAAAAAAATGTTGAAACTTTTCAACAACAAACGGAAGAATCTAATTCAAATATTTCCTTGTAATAACATTGTCACCAAATTCTGAATGACTTGATGATTGAAACAAACCAGAAAACTCCAAAAAAAGTTTCCATTTTTTTAAAAAATAACCCAGTCAGACTCTTGTTACAATGGTATATCATTATTTTTTTCATCCATCAATGATTTTTTTTTTCGTTGAATGAAATAAACTTTCCATCAAAAAAAAAATGATCGATTTCAAATTCTGTAAAGAATTTCTTTTTTTTTTAAAAAACCCACATATATTAATCATCAATCAAATGATCTGATGATGTCATATTGAACTTTTTCGTATTGAAGAAAAATAAAACCATGCATGTAATCAAAATTCTTAACCAGAAAAAAATCCAATGTTTTTTTTCAGTTTGCATATTTGCAGATCAATCTATCCTGATCGTTCTATATAAACATAGATTGCTAATTTTCTTAAATCAAAAAAAAAAACAGAAAATCAAACGCCAACACACACACACACCCACAGAGAGAAATATTTCCTTATCTTATGAATATTTGGTTTTGTTGGCCATCAGATTCTTTTTATTCTCTCTCTCTCTTTCCCTAGTACATAAAGATAAAGATTATAAAAAAGTAAAATCATTTAATGATGATTGCAAAACGAAGGAAATGTTTTTCTTGAGAAGAAGAAAGAAAGTAAAAACATCATAAAATATGGCTGAATAATAATAATTATGGTTATGGTTATGATCGATAAATAAATGAGAAAATTATTGGACAATAATATTCTTGTTGGTGAAAGCCAAACGATTCTTAATTCCTATATATAAAAAAAACTACATAGAATTAGAATTAGGAAATTATGCAATTTTTATATGGCGAAAATAAACTATTTCGTTTGAAACGATGAATATAGAATATTCTGTGAAAATATTAACTACTACTGCTACTACTGCTGTGTTGGTTTCAAGATTCTATCATTTCTGATCATTTTGAAATATAAAAAAAAGATAACATTGAATAACACAGATTCATTTATAATCGGTTATTGTTTATATAGTATTTGAATTATCGCATGCGTATCTAGCAACAAAAAAACCAGAATCCAGAATCCATTATCCAAGAAGTAAGTTCCATAAAACTGCTTATACGCATACACACAAATACGCAAAAGAAAACATATATAGACGCAGATGGCAACAAAAGAGAAAAAGTTTCATCAGAATCTATGTGAGAAACTAACCGAACCAAAATAAACTGAAAAGAATCGAGCCCAAAACAACAGCAGCAAAAAAAGACAGTGATTGAACAGAGAGGAAAGATATGTTTTATTTTTTATTTTTTTTTTCATTTCGACCGAACCGACCGAAAAGAAAATGAAAATTTTCGTTTTTTTCCAACGCTGTCCTTAATTTGCTTGTGTGTTTGAAATGGTGAAATATTCTTTGAATGAAGAATAGAGTTCTGTAGTCACATAACTGCTATTACCGCGTATATATATCCGCACACACACCACAATCAACCAACCAAACAAACAACCGAAAACACCACTACTTTAAGAAATTAAATGTAAAAAAAAGAAAGAATGTTTGGAAGATAGAAAAAAAACTAGATCAAAGTTTCAAACTAAATAAAAAAACATCTCTATATGGTGGTGGTGGTGGTGAAATTGACAACAAAAAAAAAACAAATTTCAAAAAAAAAATCATTTTCCAAAATGAATCTTGTATCATCAACATCATCACAGTGAAGAGAGGAAAGAAAGAAACGAATCGAGAACAAACAACTAACCACACACACATCACATCTATTCTATTGAATTTCATTTCATTTCATTCATCCTTTGTTTCTCTATGTGACTTTAATTTCATCAAAAAAATAATTTTATGAATACAACAGCAGCTGCCGCATCATTTCAAATATCAAATCAAATAGAATATATACACTGTAGATAAATGTTTTGAACAATCAAAAATATAGAGAAATAACAAAAATCATCACTTTGAAAACGTCCGCATTGAAATGAATTTTTTTCTTCTTTAATGATCCAACAAGGTCGTCTATATCATCATCATCATCATTGTTGTTCAATTCAAATCAATTCCAAAAAATTTTTTTTATTTAATCTAAATGTGTTCTGTTCGTGAAACGAAAACAGAAAAACAAACAACAACAACATTCAAAACGATAAATGAGGAAATTGTTAAGTTAGTTCGTTTTTGGCATCTTGATGTTAGGAAAACTTTTTTTTTGTTTTGTTTGTCTGTTGAAGAAAAACATTGAAAAATTGTTCGGTTCTGTTTTCTATCACTTATTCGTTTTGTTTTGTTTTGTTTTTTGCTTTTGAACACAGTGTGCGTACAGGTGAAAATTTGTAAATTCAACATTTTTTTCTTGGATTCAAAATGAATGTTTGAACAAAGAAAAAAACAAACAGTGAAAAAAAAAAATTTGAAAAGTGAATTCCAAATTAACAACAACAACAACAACAATATTGATTATTGAGAAAATGTTAAACAAACAAACAAACAAACAAATGAAATATTGAAATTATTTTGATGAAAAAGTTTAATGGACCCGAAGAAGACCGTTTTTCGATCTAAATCAACATTGTTTGTTTTGTTTCATCTATCCATTTATCCATCCATCTAACTATCTCATTCTTTCATCATCATTCACATAGTTTCTTAGTGTGTGTGTGTGTGTGTTTGTGTCTGATTATTAATGATTATGGATAATTGGAAATAAATAAAAAAAAAATCAAATTAAAAATGATGAGAATAAAAAAATTACTAATGATAATATCATTATCATCAACATTATTAATAAAATTAATATTAATATTTACATTATTATCAACAACAAATGTTGATGCAAAATGTCCATCAAAAGCAAATTCATTCTGTTTACAGATTGATGGTTTTGATTCAATATTATTAGATGGATCACATTTTACAAATATATCGAAAGTATTTAGGCAAATTGCCTTTCTATTCGATGATGATCATGAATCAAAAGAATTAGATCAATTTATATTGATTAATAATTTTAAGCTTGAAAAACTTGATCGAAATGTATTCTGTGATTTTCGTTTTCGTCATATTGTGATTCGAAATTGTACACGTTTGAATAAGATTGATCGTGATGCATTTAATGGTACGGCAAGTTTTGTAAAATCAATTAAAATTGATTATATTGGTCTAACTGAATCAAGTTCGGAAGAATTTTTTGAAGCATTAAATTCATTGGATAATCTTGAAGATCTTGAATTAAAAAATCATCGTTTATTGAATATAAGTGATTATACGTTTAGACAAAAACGTTTAAAATCATTACATCTTGATGGTCCATTGGAAGTAATCAGTAATAATGCATTTTTTTATGCAGATAATTTATCAATATTAAAATTAACAAAATCGATTCGTCGTATTAAACAACATGCATTCCATTTTCGTTTGACAAGCAATAAAACATTGGATCTATATTTGGATGCAAAAATTGGTTCAATGGAACGTCGTGTATTTCTATCAACACAACGTCCATTAACAATTAATCTATTTCTAAATAAAATGTCAAATTTTGAGGCTGCCATATTTAAACCTGTATTAATGGAACAGATCAAACATGAGCTCATTTTACATGGAAATCCAAAAGAAATGCGTAACCCTTGTCAATTATTATGGTTATTTCGTAGTAAACATCGTTTTAAAGGTGTTTTTCAATTTAAAGATGAACCATTAATTAATGAATCATATTTTGATCAATGGCGTTGTTCAAATCAAATGATACATGGTCATCCATCATCATCAAGTGGTGGTACAATTGTAATGGATAATAATAATAATAATGGTCAAACAAATGATAATGAAATACATGAAGAAATGAATAATATTGATCGTGCCGGTATGGATCAATCACATAATAATGCTATTTCATCAATAATCATCGATAGTCCAAATATTAGTTTTGCCCATATAATGATTATTATTATAACTGCCATCCGATTATTATTACAAACATGATCAGAATAAATTGATGATCGCGGATGACAAGTAAAAGAAACAAATATGTTTTTTTTTCTTTTTCCTTTTCACTTTGATTGATCAACAATCGTTATATAAATATAAATAGATTTAACGAATAATGATTATTATTATTGACAAATATCATGTCATCATCATTGCCATCATCATCATCATTGTAGTCAAAATTTTATTCTGTCAATCATCATCATCATCATCGTAATCATCTTTAACAAACAAACAGGGAGTAAAAGAAAAGAAACAATGTAAACAAATGAAGAAGAAGAAAAAAACATAAATAAATTCGTTCATTTCACATATTTATTATAAATAAAAATTACCTCGTTATATTTTATTCATCATTCATCATAATCATCATTATCATCATCGTCAACCAATGAATGACACCATTGGCCAAATATGAAGAAAACAAAATTTTTGATGTGACAACCGAGAGAAAGAGAAACAGAGAGAGAGAGAGAATCATAAAACAAACAAAAAACCAGATATTACACACCCAAACTAGACAAAAAAAATAGGTTTGACAATGGAAAAAAAATCCAATAAATATTGAATGAATCGATTGAACGAAGAATATTTGAAGAATTCGAAAAAACGAATGTCAACAACAACAACAACAACGAAAACAACAACGCCATCTATCTGTCGACCACCATTTCTCATAATTCCATAGTTTGTCGTGAATTTCTAATTCGAATTTTCATTTCTGTTTTGGTTTTTTTTTGTTTTTTCAAAATTTGAAATTTTGTGTTTTGTTTTGCGATGATTTTTCTATTTGTTTGTTTGTTTGTTTTTTGTTATCTAATCTGCCATTCATCACACACACACACCCGGAATATATTCTATTTCATTTCATAGACCGAATGAATGAAACAAAGAAGAAGAAGTAAACAAAAAAGTTCAATTCTCAACATATAACCCAATGACCAACTAAATTAACAACAATTTTAAAAACTGCCATTTACAAACAAACAAAACGAATCAATCAATTGTAATATCACTGCTATTGTTAATTATTTTTGAATGAAAACAAAACGAAAGAAGAAAAGAAAAAAAAATTCATTATTTTTGTTATCATTTTAATTGTTATTAATTGTTTTAGATAATCAATATTTTTTTTCATGATTGCCCTGATACAACCAACAATAAACAAAAACAAAAACAAAGTATTATTCTCATTATTGTAGAGAGAAAAACAAAAATTTATATTATTGTTATTGAGCACTTTTAAAAAGAATTATTTCATCCTGGAAAATCATTTTAAAACATTCATTCATTTTCACTTGACACCTGGAATACAAACTCACATCACTCAATAAAACAATTTGATATTATCAAATGAATAAAAACAACAACAACAAGTTTATCGTTTTGAAACAAAATTGATACATTTTTTTCAATCATTCTTTAATCCAGTCGAATGCTTTTGACACAATTTTTTCCATTTCGAATCATCGATCGCGGAAACATTTTCGAATCCATTTATCGAATGTACAATCGATGGACAAGACACATATTCTGTATGTGTGTGTGTGTGGAAATAGTTTTTTCCCAATTTCATTTTTTTTCGTTCGATAAATTCATGATGCTCATCATTTGTAACCGGGATCGGTTTATAAACAATTTTATTTATTAGATTTTTTTTTCTATTTGGAGGGGACCGAAAATCAAATGATTAAATGGAAAATAAAATCGATCCATTTCTTGTTTTTTTTGTATATGTTTTTGACACATTTTTTGTTGTTGTTGTTGAATTCAATCCCAAAAAAAAACAGATCGTAAAATGGCCATGAAATGTCAACAACAACAGTGTTTTTTTTCTGACAATGTGACAAGAAGAAAGAAAATATTCCGGTTATATATTTTGTTGAATGGATTATTTCCGTATTGTTTGGGTATTTGGCAAGAAAAAGAGAAATTATTCAATGGGTAAATTTCACAATTTTTGTTGTTGTCAATTTTTTTGTATGAATTTAAAATTTATGTCAATTTCTTTGATTCATTAGATTAATTGATTTTGGATGGAATTTTCGTTCGAAAAGAAGAATTTTTTTCCCAAGAATTTCTGATTTTTTTTGACCGCGTTCACTTTTCCGAATAAATTGAATCACATCCCGGCCATTTGTGTTTATCCGGAAAAAAAACAACAACAACAAAATTCATTTTGATAACACACCTGCACACATGAAGAAATGGACCAAATGATGATCCAAATGGTAAAAATGTGAAAGATAAAAAAAATTGGAACACTCACATCCTTGCCAAAACAATCAAGCAAAAAAATGGGACAGAATATTCTCTATATATGCTTGAAGCAACATAGATTCTATATTTTGAATTTGAAATCATCATTTGAAAATTGTCTGGGCCCGAAAAAAATATATGCTGTCTATTTTCTGTTGCAGAAATAACTTTATCATGAAATTATGATGATGATGGGCCTGGATAGAATTTATTCTGACAATTTTTAGACCGAACGAAAAAAAAATCCGCCGTTCTGGATGATGATGAAAAACAAATTGTTTTTGAATTAATTTTCAAACGACGACGACGACGAAATGTAATGTACCACCTGGAACATTTTTGATCATGAAATCAAACGATAGGCCAGGTAACAAGAATTTGAAATTATTGGCTAAAGTGATATGATTTTGATTTGATTTCGAAAGAAAATCATGTCCAACAAACGTGAATAAAATATAAACATTTTCTAAACAGAATTTTCATTTGAAAAAAATGTAAAATTCCTTAATGTCAAAAATTGAAAAGTTTTTTTTTGTTTAAAGTGAAAAAAAATGTTTAATTTTGAATCATTATTGATTGATATAATTCTTATATGGAAAATTTGATAATTAGAATCTTCGACCGAAAAAAAATACATATTTATAGAAAGAATATCACATGATTATGACGAAAAAAATAGAGAAAGAAAAAAAAATCAATTTTTGTTTTCTCATTTTGATTTTGATTTAAATGATTTTTTGTTCAAAAATATTGATTATTATAATCATAATTCCAATTTTTTTGTACATTCATTCCATTATTACTATACCATTGACCATTAACATTAGCAATATGTTGATTAAATTGTTCTTGTAAACGATTCATTGATTGTTGTAATAAATCAATTGATTGTTGATTACGATCAATTTGTTGTGTCATTCGTTTAAATTGTTGTTGTTGTGTACGAAATTGTTGTTTTATCATGGCCATTAAACGATCTTCAAATGATGATGATGTTTGCTGATTATTATTATCGCCAATCATTATCATTTGTCCACCAATACTATTATTATCATCATTTGATTCATCATCATTATCGATTCGAATTCGTTTTGTTGTTGTTGTTGTTGATTCGGATGATTGTAATGAATTATTGATTGAAACCATTGTTGTTGATTGTGATTCATCCAAATGATAATTATTCATTGGAAATGGTTGCTGTTGATTACCATTACCAAAACCAATACTATATTGATGTTGTAATATACGATCTAATTGTTTAAAATATTCCCAATTTGATTTAGTATTTGATTCAATTGCATTTAATTGACGAACTTCTTTAAAATAACGGCTTTTAAGTTGAGCAATTTTACGTCGTATTTGTTCAAGATTACGATCATAACCAGATGATTGTAAATCTTGCTGTATATTTGTATAAATCCATTTATTATATGTTGATGATGTTTTTCCAGCTACATTTTTTGAATATTTTTCCCATGATGTAATCATATAAACAGTTTCATTCGTACTCCATTTATAATCTTTTTTCACTGATATTGTTGCCGATGATGATGATGATGGTTGATCACCACCATTACAGCCATTAATAATATTGGATGTTGGTCCATCATTTTCATCATCATCATCATCAACGATTCGACTACCAGAATCATCATCATCATCATCATTGGTTAATGTAACACTATCTTCACCACCACCACCACCACAATCATCATTAATAGTATTGTTTGATGTCGAAAGAAATGTCGAATCAAAATCATCAAGAATAAATTCTTGATATTGTTGTTGATGTTGTGGATGATAACTCATGTGATGATGTTGCTGTTGCTGTTGTTGTTGTTGTTGATGATGATCGGATGCATCCATCATGATTTAAAGATCATCAAATTCTTTTTTTTGGCAAACAAAAATCTTTGCCTTTTTACAAAACAAAACAAACGAAAAAAATCAAACAAAAATCCAATCAAGTCATGGTTAATGTTCATTCAATCAATACTTACAGTGAATATTAAAAAAAAATTACTTTAAAATTTAGACAATTTCACTAATGAAACTTGAGTAATTTTCCAAAAAAAAAATCGATATATTTTCAATATTTTGGACTATTTGGATTCAACTAAAGTATATAAATGTTCCGGTTTTCTTAATGGTTGGATAAAAATAGGAGCCAACAAAAAAAAAAAAAACGAAAAAATTAATTTCGTTATTGATAGATGACACTGCTGTACGGACGAAAGAAATTCACATGCCGGTTGTGCGATATATACGCACCACACACACACAATGATTGTAATTTTTCTTCCCGAAAAAAAAAATTACGTTTTGTCATAGCAGTATTGTTGAAAGTTAGATAATCAATATTATCAATGTTTAATAATTCTATGCTACTAGCATTTGAAACAAACAAACAAACAAACAAACAAAATTCTTAGATAATTATAATGTGACAACACCATGAACGAAAACGTGTTCGGTTTATATCGATATACCGGCGAGCGTGTGTTTGTTGCGTGATTTGAGATTTTTGTTTTTGTTTCTTTTTCGATTACGGTTGAGTTCTATTTTTTTTTCTTCAATTTATTTGCCATCACCATGATGATATGATAAAGAAAAATATAGGCAACAAACAACGAATTAATAAAAGCAAGGAAAAAGAAAATATGTTGTCCAAACAGCGTGCGTATTTGAGTTTAATTAAAAAATAATAATCATCATTGTTGCTTTATTTCGTAAAAATGATAATTTTTTTGTTTTTGTTTGTGTCAATTGTTGTGGTCAAGTGATCATAATTTTGCATGATCTATTTCGAATGAATTTTTTTTTATCGTTTCAATTTATCTCAATATTTAACAAAATCCCCTGTTAAAAACAAGAAACAGTGAACAATCTAAACTTTGTATGATTTCATATTACGACAGTTTATTTTCATATATTGAATTGTGTGTGTGTGTGTTTTTTTTTGTGGAACATAAGAAAAATCCCAAATTTAATTTTATTCTTTTACCACATTATTTATCAATTTTCATCAAAAAATAAAAACTATTTTCACGCAAATCGACTGATTTGATTCGAATTTCTATTTTTTTTTTTCACATTGTGTTTGATGTGTGTGTGTGTGTGTGTGTGAATAAGTGAAGAATTCGAATCCTTTTTTTTGGTTAATTTGTTCGATTTCTTTTTCATCATCATCATCATCATCTTGTTTGGTTTTTTTTGTGTTTTATTGTGTGTGATTTTTGTTTGTTTCATCTTCATTTTATTTGATGTTCAACAATGGTCAATCGTAAACGTAAAGCAACAACAACAATTGATACTAATGTATCTACTATTGTTGATAATAATGATAATTCAGAAGCAATAAATAATGAATCTATTGGTCGTATAAAATCGAAAAATTCTAAATCAAAATCATCAACAACAACAATTGTTGATAATGGTGATGATCATGATGATCATCATCAACCATCGAAATCAAAATCATCTAAACGTTCGACACGTAGAACAACACCAGCATCTAATCAATCAACATCAAACAACAGTAATAATAATGTTGATGATGATCATGATCAAATTGAATCACAAGTTGATAAATCTAAAATTAAACGAACACGTGGTAATCGAAAACAGGTAGAATCGACTATTGCAAGTAATTCTGATGATATTGCTTCAACTAGTACAAATTTAGTCGATAATGTCAAGACTACGAAAAAATCGGCAAAACCAACTAAAAATGTTACATTCGATATCGATACCGTTAATATTGAAGAAGATAAAACAAAACAAACATTACGACGAAGTTCACGAACAACAACTAGAGCTTCAACAGCAGCCTCTTCAGCTGTGGCAAAAATTTCAACATCATCATCATCATCATCGTCATCTTCAACGACGGCATCAAGAAAAAAAACAACGGCAACAAAATCAGACACACCAATAAAGCAATCAGCACCATCATCATCTCGAAGTCGTGCAAAAAAGCAAGACAAACCTGAATCGATCGAACCAATCGAAAATTCTCAGGAAGATCAACATGTAGAAAAAGAATCAATGGTTAAATCGAAACGTTCGTCAAAATCATCAAAACAGTCCGAAACAAAATTTAAGAAAACGACGACAACAACTCAAAATGAGCAACATGAAGAAACCAAAAATGAACCTGAACCAACTGTTATCAGTAAAAAACGTTCAACACGTGGCGTAAAATCTAAGCCCGAAGTTGTTGAAAATGTTGTGGATAATGAACCAAAAGAAGTGAAAGAAAGACCGCGATCGACAAGAAAAACTGCTGCTGCTACTTCGGTAACTGAATCGTCATCTAAATCTACAAATAAACGAAGTACACAAAAACAGCGCAATAAGACAGAATTAGTCGATGAAATTCAAACCACTGAGCTTGAAAATGTTGAAGAAGAGACTAAAACAGAGTCATCAAAACGTAAATCGGCTAGAAATTTGACTAAATCAATGAATCAAGCTGCGGTTGAAACGGAACCAGAACAAACAACGTCTGAACCGAAAAAATCCGTAGCAGCAACAGCAAAATCAAAACGACCAAGACGAGGAGCTGCCTCGACTGTTGTGGAAGAGGTAATAAAAGAATCTGAACCAGAAATTCCATCGTTAGTACAAGATGAACCCGATTTCATACAACAGATACCTGTAACAAAACCAGAGACAGAAAATGAGAAAAATATTCCAAATCATTCTGAATCTGAAGAACAAATATCAGCCAATAATAATGTAGAAGAGAAAAAAATTGCTGAAGTTGTTGATAAAGTAAATGAAATTGTTGATGTTATAGAATCAGAAACGAATATTTCTCAATCATTATCATCATTAACAGCAGCAGCAACTACGGTCGCAAAAGAAGATACTGAAAAAATTGATGAGAAAGTTAATAATGAAACATGTTCGAAAGAATCAAAAATGCCAAAAAATCAAGTATCATTCGAAATAGTCGATATGGATGATAATGAAGAGATAGAACCAGATACGCATGTAATCGCTATTGACCATGAACAAATGATCATAGATGATGGATCACGATCATCGATGCCATCATCAATTGAATCGAAAGATAAACAATCTGATTTAGATTTGGATTCTACTATTATTGTCATTGAAGATTCTCAATCTAGTGATGGTTCCCTGCTACAACCGTCTATCGTTTCAAAGTCGATTGTGAAGCAAGAAACAAACGCACAATCACCAATTGAAAATGAACCAAAAACGGATATGAAGGAATTTCAGCCAATCACCGTTTCTAATGACCAAACAAAAATTGAGGTTGATATTAAGCAATCAATTTCGGTTGTAAATGAAGCTGAATCATTAGCTACCAATTCAAATGGTCAATCAATGGTTATTGAAGATGATAATGATGAACGAGGTTCAAAACGTAAAGTACCTGATTCATTTACAATTTCAAGTGAAGATACTATGCAATCACCTGTAGCGAAAAAGGCAAGATTCGAATTGCCTGACCATGGTGATCTATTCACAATGGGTGATCAAATATCGAAAGAATTAGGGCCACGTGAAATATATTTTCATGGACGTAAAACATTACGATCACAGCCAGCAAAAGTTCGTATCGGTTCATATAAAATCAAACAAGTTGCAATGGGGGCTTTACATACATTAGCGTTGACCGTCAATGGTCAGATTTTATCATTTGGTTGTAATGATGATTATGTTCTTGGTCGATTTATTACTCGTGAAGAATATACGAATAATCTTATCACTAATGGTGGTGATGATGATCTGGATGAATTAGATGTTGATGATGATGAATTTGAAGAGAAACTTTCTGGACGTCCATTACCGGTGAAAGAATTGCGATCAAAAACAGTTGTAAAAGTATCGGCTGGTGATATGCATTCGGCAGCATTATGTGATGATGGCAAAGTTTATGTTTGGGGAAATTTCAAGTAAGTTTTTTCCATATATTTTACTATTTTAACTTTATTAATGTTTCTTTGATCGATAGAGATGATTCGGATAAAGTTGGTCTATTTGTTGATTGCGAAAAATCTCCAAATTGTTCGGACTATTTACCTGTAATTTTACCGAAACAAGTCGAAATTGATATGAAAATTATTGATATTGCATCTGGATCTCATCATATCCTAATGCTAACGGAGGAAGGAAATGTATTCACATTTGGTGATGGTTCTAAAGGACAATTAGGACGTATTGTATCGACCGAGCTTAATTCAATCAAAACAAATCGTGATCTATTTTTACGACCGCAAATGGTATCGATACCTGAACAGGCAAAAATTGAACATGTTTTTGCATCACAATGGAATTCATTTGCCTTATCCACCGACGGTAATCTTTATGGCTGGGGTCTTAATAATTATTTTCAACTTGGTTTGAAAAATGATTTCATATCACAAGCAAATAGCTTAAATTCCGATTCATTATTTACATTGATACCGACACGAATACCGTTATCGTTTAAATGTAAACAAGTATCTAATGGCCAACAACATTCATTAGCATTGGATAATGATGGCAATGTTTATGCCTGTGGTTCAGCATTATATGGAAAATTAGGTCTTGGTGAAGATTTTATTCGACAATGTAATAATGATAAAAGTATTAGTGATTTTAAACAAATTCCATCAACCATTTTCAATAAGGAACGTGTAATCAAAGTTGATTGTGGTGATTTTTGTTCAATGGCCATTACAGAAACTGGAAAATTATATTGTTGGGGACAAGGTGGCCTACAGATTGGTACATCGGCTGATGAAGATCTATTTGAACCAAGACAAATAAAAAATGGCCCTTATGATGAATGTACACGTTTTATATCGATTTCAACGGGTGCACAAATGGCAGCAATGATTGGTACGATTATCAATGATGATGATAATGATAATGATTTACAAATGGATTAGAAATAATTTTTTTCACTTTCATATATTCATTGTGATTCAATTTCTTTCTAATTGATTTATTCTTTTCTTTGTTTTTTTTTGATGATCACATCTAATATATCAAACAAACAAAACAAATTGATTTGATGACATTATATTTGATTTGTTTGTTTACCATAAAATATATACAACAACCAACATTTACCCAAAATATAATATGCATATTCATCAATTATAAATATTTAATTTACGAACAATGATTATTAACCTTTGACACCTTTTTGTTCCATTATTATATGTTTCTTTTCGATTTTTTTTCACACACACTCTCTCTCTCTCCAATTCATTTATTAATTAATAATAATTATAAGAAAAAAAAGATATGAACAACAAACAAACAAACAAACATGAAAGAAATAATTTCCACATCCTCTATATTTGGCACGTTAATATTTACATTTACAAAAAAAATATATTTTCATATTTTTAAGAAAAAAAAATCATTTGAAAAAGAAAAATTTGTTATTCATTCATAATTATGATGACGATGATACTGATGATGATGATAATAATGATAATTAATGAAATAAAACAAGATTTAAAAAAAAAAAAAATAATTTTAAAATTTTTTAATATTTTTTTGTTTCGAACGTTATGTAAAATAAAATAAATCGATTCTGATCAATCGTGCTGCCATCTTGTTTCGATAATATTGATTCAAACATTTGATTCGAATTTTTTTTTTGGGAACTGCAGTGAATGTGAAACATTGAAAAATTATTTGAAAATTTTAAAAAAATTTCATTCACAAATTGTCAATGTTTCAATATCCTTGACAGATGTTTCTTTTCGATTCATATAAACAAATATTCATTCTCTTTTTTTTTTGTTTGAAAGAATTAATTTTGTTTTTTGTTTTTTTGTTCATCAATACACCCTAAAGGTAAGTTAAAATTTTAGTGAGAAAAAAAATGAAAAAAAAAATTTCCATCAACAACATTCACTATAGTTTGATATATTTTTCCAGGCAAACAAAAAATCATTATTGATGTAATAATAATGTAAATAAGAAAAACTGAATTCTAAACCAGCCGAACATTTTATTACATCAACCATGATGATGGTGAAGAAGAAGAAGAAGAATCTGTTTGTTTTCGTTTGGTTTTTTTATTTGTATTGTCATCAATTTAAATTGCCTGAAAGCAGCAAAAGTCAAACAAGTTTTACCATCAAACACAAACACATCATCATTGAATTAAATTATTAATAAAATTCAATTTTTATATTTTATATTTTGATCATTTTATTTATATATAAATATAGATTTGGAATCAATTTTTTTTGTTGTTGTTTGAAAAAATCTAATTGACACATTCTCATTGATCGATAGTCTATATGTGTAATATATGTGTAATTGTGGATATATAGGTGTATGGTAATGATCGTATCATTGTAAAGATTATTGTATTCTTTGGTTTGGTTTAACAGGTTTTTCTTTCTTTCTTTCTTGTAATATAACAATAAATTTCATTTTATAAATAAAAATTATAAATATAACGACTATATAAATATAATAATTTTATAATTATAATAACAACAAAATATAATAGAATAATAAGAATGTTTTTTGTAACAGAATTATAATTTGAAAAAAAAACAATAATTTTTTTATCTATTATAGGATGTTTAGGATTGAGTATTTTTATAAATGAAAAAATAAATAAACTTTTTTGTTGTTTTGTTTTTTTTAAAATTTGAACTTTGATAAAATGGATGGCAAACACACATACATACGAGACACAAGACAAGACAAGACAAACGGAATTGGAAAATTGATTTAACAAAATATAACTACACAAATAAATAAATAAAATAATCGATGATTGATTGATTGATTGTTATATGAATTGCGATTGATGAAATGCAAAAAAAAAAAAAAAGTTAAATCCTTTCAAGCATAAAACATTAATAATGGAATCTGTCCTTCTAATAAACCACATTCACGTGCATTATGATTTGCTTGTGCTGTCATTGCAGCCAGATCTTTTTCCCGGTTATCAACAAATGATAATGCACGTCGTAATCGTTGCATACGTGTTGGACGACGATATTCTTGTGGTGGTGGTGGCCGTGGTGGTGGATTTGGTGTTGTTGGTTCAGATATGGCTGTTGTTGTATTTATTGAATAATTATTTGTATTATTGGTTGTACTAAATTGATTATTATTAGTTAAACTAATATTATCCGAATTATTATCATCATGAAATGCATCACGTTCCCAATTAAAATTAAATATAACATTTTCACCACGATTATTAACACGTACTTTAGTTGCATATTGTCCTTCAGTACCATAATAAAAATTAACTTCATTTGGTCTTGTATAATAAAGATGTGGATGTAAACGTGCACGTACTAAACTAGTTGATCGTGGACTTGGTGTTATTGTTGCTAATACTTCATATTGTACATTAGCTTCAATCTGTAATGGTTCATCAAAATTCATATTAATTATATGACCATTACCATCATATTTGAGCAACATTGTATGTTCAATACGATCCAATGGTGAATGCCATGTTTGATTATCATAATCAGCACGACGTACCCGTACCCATAGATTTAGATAAAAAGTACATGCTTTACGTGGTGCATATAGACCAACACCAGCTAACCAAACACGTTTATTAGCTAAAAAATTTAATGAACGATTTAGATATCGATTTGGTAATGTATTTTCAAATGATGCAAATCGATAAACATTATGTAAACGACCAGCTAAACGTTGAAATGCTCTTGGTTCATTTGAAAATGTTGATGGTGCTTCAGCCATCATATTTGATGTTCGTGGCCAATTACGTGAACAATGAACTAATGCACGTAATAATTCATCTTCCAAAATACCTTCAGCAGCAACTATTCTTTGTAATTGTTCTTCACTCATCAATGGAAATCGTATCAAATTTAATGCATCACCAATAATCATTCTAACATTAGCACGATTTGGACAAATTCCTTGTCGTAAACAATTTTGTTTAGCCCAACGTGTTAATGAACGAAATATAACAATTTCATCGGCACGTAATAGATCATCGGATAATATATCAGCTAATGATTGTTGATCAAGACGTAAAAAATCATTCGATAATAATATTGATTCAGCATAATGTTGCATTGATTTTCTTGCTACTTTTTCCAAATCTCGTAAGCCATATATACGTGTCGAAATCCATATAGCTAATGATGATCGTTTTGATAAACATTTATGTATATAATCAATACATTGTCGTTCTAATGTTGAAATTTGATAACGTTTCGATGCAATCAATATACCGACAACATTATCTTTATTCAATTTTGCACTATCCGTATATGCATAACGAAGAAATTCTAAAAATGATGATGGCTCAATATCATTGATCTCTAAATCACGTTCACATTCAATCAATTGTCCGGTAGTTGGATCCAAAAGTATTTGCCTAAATACTGGACTTGCTGCAATCATTATTAAACGATGAGCTGGTATACGAAGTTTTCGTAATGGTGATGTTGGTGATGGTGTATTGATCGTTGCTGTTGTTGTTGTTGTTTTTAAACCAACAGATGATGATGATGATGATAATGATAATGGATGCGGTCCAATCAAAAAATGCATATCGGCCATTTCTTCACATGATAATAATCGACCAATTCTTACCTGTAATGATTCTATTGGTTCTTGAAATATTTGTTCATCAGCCGGTGTCGTTGCCCGTGTACTACGATTATCCATTGTATAACCATTATTGTCTAGATTCATACTACCACCATTACCATTATTGTCATCATTTTGATGATGATGACGAAAACGATCAATTTCTTCATTGGAGAAACGAAAATTATTCAAATCGATAATCATTGCATTTTTCAAAGAATTTGAAACCGGAATCAATGAACTAACAGTATCACCACTAGCAATTGAATTTGCTTTAATCAATTGATGATTATGTGGATTCGATATACAACGATTTGTTTGTTTATTTTTATTTAATTTTTTATCATTTATAGATGATATTTTTGTTGTTGTTGTTGCTGCAGTTGTTATTGTTGTTGTTGTTGTTGTTGTTGTTGATGAATGATCAGAAATAGCCGATGATGTACGATAATATTGAGCTGTATAATCATCGATCATTGATTTTTCCGAATTATTGCTAATATCCGAATTATTTTTAGCAACAACCATCATCATCATTTTATAATGATCATCATTATTATTATCCAAATAATTATCACACGTTTTGTCATTAATTGTTTGATCCATATCTAATGATAAACCACGTTTAGGTTGTTTTGTTATACGTTTAATCAATGGTGATTGATTATTTTGCTGTTTTCGATTATTTAAATCACCATTTTGATCATTATTCAAATCATTTTGATTACGATCATCATGATGATGATGATGATGATGGTGGTGGTGATGGTGGGGATGATCCAGTTGATTATTATAATGTTTTGATATTGTTGAAGACGTCATTGCTGTTGTTGTTGTTGTTGGCAATACTGTTGTTGTTTGTATTTGTTGAAATGGATTCATTATTATTACAATGATTATTGTTAATTAGAAAATTCATATTTAAATTCATTATGAATAATAATAATAATTATAATAATTATAATTTCCGTTACTCTATGTGATCATTATCATAATGCTGATTTTGATGAGAAAAACTTTTCAACAACAAAAACAAAAATAATGACGACAACAAGAATGCTTAATTAATTCTCGATGATTGAATCCAAATCTATTTGTTCTTGTTCATTTTTAATTGGAAACAATAAATGAAATGTTGAATGGATTCATTTTTGTTTGGATTAAACAATAACAAAAAACAACAAAAACAACAACGACATAAGGTAAATATCTCAGAATTTTTTTCTGGTTTGTTCTGTCAATCTAATGTTTAATTATCACCCGAAAATAGTTTTTTGAAATAGTTTTTTTTTGAATATTATGATATGTTTGAATGAAAACATCACCGAATTGAATAATAAAAAAAAATCACTGATTTTGAAGGTGACCATCAACCGATTCAATCAACCGAATACATCCATTCACTCGTAACAAACAACAACAACAAAAATTGGTCATTTTTTGTTTGTTTACCAATCAAGAGAAAAAAAAATCACTTGAAAAATAGATCAATTTTTTTTTTTGGTTGTTGGTAACAAACCACTTGAAATAAACCAAAAATAGCCCCAAAAAATTTGTTAAATAAACTTGAAGATATTGTTTTGTTTGTTTGTTTGGATGTTGAAGAAACCAAATAGTATCGAATCAATCAATAATTAGATACTGAAGAATAACTGAAGAAGAAGAAGAAGAAAAAAAAATCTATATCGAATGTCAGTATAATCATCGACCAATGATAATTATAATGATAATGGTAATGATGATGATTATGATGATGATGATGTTGGTCCGCATGTCTACCACCCACACACTCACCAAACATTCATTTGAGCATCTACTTTTTTTTTGTTCCTTTCTTTTTGATTCAGTAACCAATTCAGAAAGAATTTTCACATTGCGCACAAACAAACAAACAAAAAACATCAAGAATCGACATTGAAAACAAGAATTTCATTCATGATAATTCTATATAATCATCCATAGGTTCTTAGTTGTCATCGTTTCAAATTCATTCATTCATTCATTCATTCATGTTGTAGAAGTATTGAATTTTTGATGTGGTTATATATCTATGTGTGCTTGCTATCTGTTATTTTTCTTGTTTTTGTTTTCGACTAGAATTCAGTTTCATTATCGAAAGAAGAAGAAGAAGAAGAAGAAACATTGAGAAAAAAATTCTTCGAAATGCTCAGAATTTCATTTTACATTTATTTTCCATTGATCCATAGGTCCATTTTTTTTGTGCTATGGTCCTTGAATAGTTATTGTTCAGACAAAAGCAAAAAAAAACTGATACTGATAATGATGATTATAGAAAAAAAGGAGAATATTCTGTATAGCAGTATATATTTGGTTTTTTATGTTGAAACTTTGCTGATATATAAATGTAAGAATTTCAGTCCAAGGTCTTTGGAATGAAATAAAAATGGAATGGGAAAGAACCGAAAAAAAAATGTTTTATCTTTTTTTTCTTGTTTCCATTCATCCTGAATATATATAGTATATACGAACTAGACAAAAAAAACAATAACTGTTAAACTTTGATCATCAATATGATCATGAATATCGATCATCGATGAATATCAAATATATAAGAATATTCTTATGTTTGCTTTTTTTTAAAAATTCTAAGAAAAGAAAATAGATTTCCCAGGATATTTCCAAATCATTCATCATTTCATTTCATTTTTTTGATCCCATTTTTTTTTCATTTGTTTGTTTGTTGATAGTGGGTGTTAATGAACGGGAAATCTTTGTTGTTGTTTTTTTTTTGTTTAAACTGAATTTCCGAGTAATTTTAAATTTTTTTTTTCAAATATAAAATTTATATTGGATCGATTTTTGTTTTTTTTGTTTTTCAAATTCCCTGCTCTAATGGTAATCGTACTGTATGTTTCATCGAATGATAAGAATTTATGGTTATAAATCATTCGTTTGATTTATTTTGTTGTTCTGTTGGTTGGTTGGTTACGGTAACACCGACTTACACCTTCTCAATTCTAATGAAAATAAATTGAAAAAAAGCTAATGTTAATTATAAAGAGAAAGTGAATGTTAACATTTCTTATTAATATTACAAGAATTTCTTGGAACAGCTGATTCTTATTATTAGAAAAGAGGATTTGTATTTTTTTGAAGTTATCAAAAATTAAATCTATCTAGATTTTTTTCTGAAATTAAAATGAGAAAAGAAAAAACTTTTTTGTCAATCTTATTACCAGTAGCAAAAAAAAAAGAAGATTCTATGCAATCCAATTATCAAATGTAAAGGAGAAAAAATTTGATTGCAAATTGAAACAAAACAAAATGAACAAATGAAATGTTTCGCCCCCCCAAAAAAAACAATGCACAATCAAATTGAATTAGAACAAGTGTACTTAAAGCAAAAACAAAAATCTAATAAAATATTGAATCAAATGATCTTTTTTCTACTGCAGTGGGGAAAAAAAATCATATTCAAAATAATAATGATAATTTACATTTTTTTTCTTTATAATATTTGAATTTATAAATTACAAATATAAATCTTGTTATCAAATAACAAATTCGATTTTTTCCAGAGTGTATTATATGAGAAAAGAAAAAAAAACCCACATCAACAACAACCAGCAACAAAAAAAAATCAATTCAAACAAAACAAATATTCTATGGTCGGAAAATTGATAAAATCATAATGTAAAAAAAACAAACAAACATAATTCTAGTTCATCTGATATCAATTTGGTGGATTATGGTGTGTAGCGGCGGTTGATATTTCAATTCAATTTTCAAGTTCATTTTTTTTTTAGTTTCAAAATTACAACCATAAAAAAAATATTATAAAAATAGAAAGAGAAAACTTTCAATCAATCATTTGGGATCCCACCATCATCATCATCAAAATCGACTACCTTTCATTTGATTTCAAAAGAAATTCAACCAAATAATTTGATTTCTTTTCTTTTTTTTTCATTGAATTGAATTTTATTCAAACGTAATTCCAAAAATAAATTCATTTCCAAATAGTAATAATAATAAAAAAAAAGTAAAAGTAAAAAATGTACTCATTCGAAGAATTTATTGTAATAATTCCCGGTAAATTATGTGAATAATAAATATTATATTGCTGAAAATTTACAAATGATTATTATTAAATATAGGAAATAATTTGATTTGAAAATTGAATTTTTTTCGATATTAACAAAATTTGTAAATAAAATTGTAGACCAAGATTTTGATGATCGAATATTGTCGTTTTTTTTTTGAAGCCTAAAACCATCAAAAACTTCGCCACCGGTGAACCATTAACTGATTATGGATTCAATTAACACTGATAAAAAAAAGTCCAATTATAATGCAACATTTGAGTGTGGTTTGCATGTAAATGTCTTAGCGACTGGAGAGCAAACCACACTTTTTCCCTCTCTCAATGTAATTGAAAGAATTTGTTGAACATTTTCGTGCAAGCTGAATATTAAACAAAAAATAAAAATAATCAATGATTCTATGAAAAAAATATATATGACTTTAAACCAAAATTACAATAATAATAACAATGAAAATAAAGGAAAAAAAACAAAAACAAGTTTCTAGAACCAAAAAAATAAAACATTTGCCGACACAAAGATATATGTAATCATTCCCACAATGACGAACAAGCGAGTGTGAGAGAGAAAGAAATCATTTGTCTACAGAATTCATATGTCATTTTTTTTTTCTTTTTTGAAAGTTATATCCAATACACGTCAATTTTTAAGCAAATTTCTAAGTTATTAAGACATTTTGGATTGTAAAATGTGCTTACATTTTTCATTTTTTTTTGTCATTCAACTTTTTGACTTGAAACCAAATGCATCTGAATTTTTTTTAAAAATCCAAAATTCCGCATGAATTGTTTTGTTTGTTCAATACTGAAAATAATAATGATGAATATTATTTTCAATATATTAAATTTTATTCGTCGATGGTTTTGGCCAACAACAATCGAATATTGTAATCAAATTGATCGTATAATTACTATTTTTGATAATAATAATAATAATGATAATCGTAAACAATATTTTCATTATTTTATTTATTATCTTTATTATGAATCATTTAAACATTTTTTTGTTTATATATTACCATTATCATATCATCAACGTATATTAATGTTTGATGCTGCATTATTTATGCATACAACACCTGAAACAAATATAATGTTAATGATCAATGTAATAGCTATTATTTATATATTTAAAGATTTTTTTTCAATCAATCATCGTCATATGAATATGATATTGATCGATATTGTTTGTCGGCAAAATAATTTGGAAAATCATATAAAAATGTTTGATACTTGTCCAAAATATCAATCATTATTAATAAAAAAATATAAATCAATAAATACAATATTATCGGCAAAAAATAAATTACTTTTATCAAATATGATAAGAAAACGTAATCATTTACATATGATTCGTCGTAATATGCAAAACATATTGATTATAATGGTTATTATTTATGCTCATTATCGTACTATAATCAAAATTAATCGTAATTCAGATTATTTTTTCAATCCAAACGAATGTTGGTGTTTAAATTGGTTAAAAATAATAATAACACATTTTAATTGTTTTACCTGTTTTATTGATGCATTATTCATATTTATAATGACAGAATTATTATTCACATTTATGATGGGATTTAGTTGGATGATATTTTTTGAATATGATGCTATTACCATAGATATAAATCCATTAACATTATCAATGAAAAAATATTCAAATCAACAATATTTAATAAGAAAATTTTTAAGAAAAAATTGTCATTTATTTAAATTTGTTGATAATGTATCAAGATTACATTCAAAAGTATTTTTATTATTTTTAATTTGTGTATTACCAACAAATATTTATATATTAGCATCATTAAAACAATTATATCAAAAATATTATCATAATAATACTACAGTTAGTAATGATTTATTTTTTCAAACATTATTTTTTATAATTTGTTGTTCATTACAAATAACCGGTATGTTTGTTATACATTATATTTGTACAAAATATTCAAAACATATACATACAAATGGTACAAAACAATTTATGTTTCTTAATACTATTATGAATAATAATGATTTGTTTAATTCTAATCATAATAATGATAATGTTGAAAAAAGAGAAAGACAAAAAAGAAATTATGATTTAAATTTTCATTGGAAACAATGTTTACATATTGAAAAATTTCATACAAAAAATCATTATGGTTTTACTTATGGACGTTTCGGTGTAATCAGTATGGTTGGTTTTGTTCGTGTAAGTTTGATTTTTGATTTTTGATTTTGTTTTTCAATTAATTTTGTCTGTTTTTTTTACCTCTTTCAATACCAAAAAATAGTTTCTAATGATCTATGCTAAAATGACAATGGTTACATATAAAATGACTAATTTATAATAAGAAATTGAACTTCAAATCAAATCATCATATAAGTCTGATATTTTCATTTTCATTTTCATTTTTCTTCTTCTAACCGTTAGAATCTAACGCCTACACTCAATTACAAGGAATAAAAATGAATAAAATGATAATTCGTTTATCATCATCAAACAACATTATAATTTTTTTGAAACGAAACAAGAAAGAAAAACAGCAACAACAACATAAATGATCCATAACCACCATGGTTACGTTTTATGAATTATATCTTTTTTTCTTTTGTTAATTGTTATTACCATTGTTGTTATATTAATTTTCTGTAATTTTATATGTGCGTAGTAGGAAAACTACAAATAAAGATTAGGTTAAATTTAAATTTAAATCTTTTTTTTTCTTGAGAAATTTTCTTCCATAATGGTATCGATTTTTGTATCTTTTCGTTCCACCATCTTCTTTGGCATAATCCTTGATCCAAATGGATTTGTTGTTGCATTGTTTAGTTGCCTTTTCATTCATTTGTTTGGTGTTCGGTGAATCGCATGATTCAAATGAATTTTCAATGAATTCAGATTGAATTTTGAAAAAAATAGAAAAAAAAACAAAACAAAACCAAAAACAATCATGTTAATAATAAAAATATTTTCCATACTAAGAAAATGGTTTTGGCCAAATGTTGTTGAATATTTTAAACAAATCGATCTATTAATAAATGGTTTACATCGTGATCATAATATGTTTATAATACGTTTTCATTCATTTATTATAAATTATTTACGTTGGGAATCATTACGTTATTTAATATATTATCTGGCACCATTAACATTTGAACAACGTTTATTAATATTTGATCCTAGTATTGTATTAAATATGACCAATGAAATTAATATAATTTTTTCATTCTTTTTTTTATTATTATCATTGTTTTATCAAAATTTTTTTGCTTTCAATCATTATAATGAAAATATGATTTTGATTAATACGATTAGTATGAAAAAAAATCCAAATAAAACAATATTTTCAACAATAAATTTATCAACATTTGAACAAAATTATCGAAAACAACGAAAACAACAAAATGAAAATATAAATTTTTCTGAATTTATTATAAAACGTTTTCGTTTACATTTATTACGAAGAAATTTAGAGATGTGTTCAATGTGTAAGTAATTTTCTTTTTTTTTAAACATGGACATTAATGTTATTTTATTTTTATTTTTTACTTTAAAAATTACTTCAGTATTGTTCGGAATATATTTTCCATTACGACAAATATATTTACATTGGAATTATTTTTTCAATCCAAATCATTCAATATGTTTTGGTATAATGAAAGCATTGATTCAACAATCAATCGGTTCATCAGCATTTTTTGCCGGTTTAATAGTTTTTTATATGGCCGAATTATTATCAACATTTATATTAGGTTTTGAATGGATTATACGTTTAAATTATCAACAAATATCAAAACATTTAGATTATTGGCCTATTGATTATCTAAATATACGATTAGTTCGACAATTTCTTATTGATAATTGTCATTTATTTTTATTTATCGATAATGTTGTACGATCATATTCAAGATTATTTTTTATATTTCTTCTTTATAATTGGCCAGTTAATATATATCTAATCGGATCATTATTTCGTTTACATTTAACACAAAAACATAATCCTTATCAAGAATCATTTATGATATTATTATTTTTACAAGAATGTTTTGGTATATTTTGGATACATTATATTTGTACAAAATATTCAAAACACATTCATTATGGTTGTGGTATACGGAAATTATTTCGTTTGAATACGATTATCAGTGTTATTTCAACCGCAAATGAATTAAAACAACAACAACAACAACAACAACGACCGCAACAACCAAAATTATCATTATCATTACGTATACAATGGAAATTATGTCATTTTATTGAAAAATTTCATACAAATAATCATTATGGTTTTTCCTATGGTAAATATGGTATTATTGATTTGAAAAATTTTATTCGGGTAAGTTTTAACTTTTTTTTTACAAAAAACAAAACAAATTTCTATAAATTTTCTTTATTTTTTTTTTATTTTTTTTTGTAATTTTTATAATGAATTTAGTTTTTACTTATTTATTCCAAAATGGTTATGATGATATATAAAATATTTATAAAAACTTCAATGATGGAAATGAATTATAATAATGAAAAAATTTAGTTGAAAAAACTTTTATTTTAATAAATGATTTTTTTGTTTGTCAATTTTACCGATTATCGATTGATTGATTGATTTTTTTTTTTTTTGTTATTGCTGAAAACAATTGATTTATCGATTTGTTTTGGGATATTTGTGAAACAAAATGAGTTTTTTCGCCAATTTTGTTCGATTCGATAAAAAAAATCTGCATAAAAAGTATCGATCGATTGGAAATTAATGAATGAATGAATGAAGGAAGGAAAATGGTGGGAAAATTTTCGGGAAATTTTCTCAAATTAATTCGATAATAAGATTGATTTTGGAATAATCATCATCGAATCTGAAAAGATAAATCATGAATTTAATCTTTGAATTGAATCGATGAAAACTTGTTATTTTGTTGCTGTTGTATGGTTGTTGTTTTTTCTTTCTTTTTTTTAGCCAACAATACTAAAATCTAATGGAAAAACCAAGTAAGAAAAACCTGAAATCTTTCCTGTGGATTCATTTGGTTGTTGTCGAATCAAACTTGAACAACAAAAAAAAAATCGTGAACATTTACGCCTTGAAATTGTTAAAAATTTTTGGTTGTCTTTTGATTGGATTATTCTCATCATCAATCCATCCATCGTATTTACAATCATAAAGCACCGATATTTGTAAAAATCTTTTTCCCTTCGAAATCAAAAAAAAAGATAAAAAAAAAAACAAAATCTTGTTCTACAAGATACATGAATACACAAAAACACATACATCATACAATTTCTCTTTATGTAATGGTAATCATCATCGGATGAGAACAAATCATAACAAAACAAATCCATTTACTCAAATCATCATCATCAAACATCATCATCATTCGATTCGGATAGACAAAAGCAAAAAAAACAAAAAACAAAGTTCAAATTTGATGAACAACGAAGACGAAGAAGATGAAAACAATCAACAAACATTGAATAATTTTTTTTTTGAACGAAAACAAATAAGCTTATTATGTGAAAAAAAAACATTTAACGAAGAGTGTGTAAGTATACCATCTATCATCATCGATAATGTAGCCAAAATGTTGTTTGATTGTATCCAGTTTTTTTTTATTCAGTTCACCGAAATCAAAATAAAAATCTAAAAACCATTTTTTTGTCGAATATACTTTATGTTTTCTTCGGGAAAGCATTTCCTTCTTTTTGCAAAAGGTTTATGTCTTTTTGGCCATTTCAACGTATTCACAATAAGTTGTTTTAACGACAAACAATTTTTTCTTTTTTTGCCTTTCGTTACAGTTGAAATTTAACGTTTGGTTGATTTATTTTTTCTTCTTCATTTATGATCGTCTATAATGTCAGTGATGGACAACAACAACAACAACGAGAACATTTTGACTGAAACCAGATATATAGATTTTTTTTTCTTTTTCTCAAAGTGTGTTCATCGTTGCATATCTGCTGGTTATGACATTTATATAAGTTTCGTTTGGACATAATATTTAAATGTTATTCAGATGATTGTTGTCAATCTTGTTGTCGATCTAATCGAGAATATTTTTTTTTACTTCATAACTTGCGTAACAACCCGAAGATGGTTAGGAAAAAAAACCGATATTGACTATCGTCATCATCCTCATCATCATCGTCGACAAGATTTTTTTTTCCAAATGAAGATTGTCCACTTTATTATTTTTGTGTTAATTTGACGAAAAAGAAACATCGACCACACACATATCAATATCGTCATCCGACGACAATCCAAAGAAAAATAAACCTAATCTAATACTGAACATATTTTTTTCAACCGAAATTTTGTTTCTTCAAAAATCCACCATCATCATCAATGTTTTGGTTTGATATTTCGTTGAATCATCATCATCATCATCATTGTTGATGGTTTTTACTGTTTGTTTGTGTGTGTGTGGCTTCAATGTGTCTACACAAACACACACACACATCATACAAGGATTCAAATATCAGCAAACATACCAAACAAATTTTGAATTTCCTATGATCAACCCCAAAACATTTTTGCTGGTGATGACGATATTATGCCCTACTACTACTATATATTATCTACTAAAAACAGAATTAATTCTTCTATTTTTTTGTGTTTGAATTTCATTCAATAATACTTTGATTCAACCACCACGACGCCATATATAATCCAGATTATTTGATTTGAAATACAAGGAAATTCCACCTCCAAACATGAATAGTAGCAGTATACGATGATTTGATATTCTTTTCTGTTTCCACTTTCGAATTTATATATAGAATCTTTGAAGCGTGTGTGTCACATATTCTGTCTATTGACAATTTTTGTTGTTGTTGTTGTTATTTTCATGTCCTAATGATTATCAGCATCGAAAAAATCATCGTTTCGAATAACGATCATCTGCTTTAAAAAAACAAAAATTTCAAACATTAATCCAATATAGATCAATTAATTAATCAAATTGTTTTACTTTTTCAAATCAATCTGCTTTAATTTCATCATTGATGTTCACATTTCAATCAAAACATACCGATTTTGATATTGCCATATTGATTGATTGATTGATTGATTGATCTATTTGATCGATAAAAAATATTGAATGAATTAAATAATTATAATGATAATGGCTTGTGGATGAAAAGAATGTTTTGGTTTTATGCTTGATCATTATTATCAACGTCATTGATTTGTTGTTGTTGCTGTTAAATTTTGTCATTTCATAACTTTTAACTTTCGTCTTTTTGTTCATAAATTCTTTGTTCGGTTAACTTGTTTTTCAACAACAATTATCATTTGAAAAGATTAGATAATTTTCTTCGGAAACAAAAAAATAAATTTCCTGAAGAAATTAATTGGTTAACCAGAAACCAGAAACGATGAGCTCAAATTCTTCGAATCGTCCGATTGGATTCGCTATCGATGATATCGATAGTTCACAACAACAACAACAACCACGGCCAAATATTCGATTAACATGGATCGATAGAATATGGCGTTTTTTCTATTCAAAAGAAGAATTTGAAGCCTATCTTATTGAAAAAGAACTTAAACGTCAAAGTATGTTCAAAAAAACAATTTGGTTATTGATTTCTGTTTTTTCAACTATTTCTGTTTTTTATCTTTTTCGGATTCAATAGAAAAACGTGAACAAAAATTGGCTCGACAACAGGCACAAATGCAAAATTAACCATTCGTTTTTTTTCAATGATTAATCGTTAAGCGATTTCTGCTCCACTTTGTTAATGATAAAATCATTTGTAACTTGAAAATCGGGATATTTTATTTATTGATCTAATCAAATTTTTTTCTAAGTGTTTGTGTAATAAACATGTTTAATAAATTTTTTTTTAATCAACAAAAATTCATTTATTTGAGCTTTTTATAAAAGCGTGATTTGTGAAAATTAACAACCATTTTAGGTGCCTAAATTGATTGATTTTCGTTTCGAATAAAATCAATTTCTTTTAATCTTTTTATTTCGTGTTTTTTTCCAATGATATTTCCTTTTATTCGGTAATTCGGTTATGATGTTTAAGTTGAATTTTTTGTATCGCCATCTATCTTTATGTTCAATCACTAATAATTGAATATTTCCAATTCATTATCAATTCCGATTGATAGATGGCGTTAATAATTATTCGAATACCTTGAAACAGATTTTTTATCGATCAAAATTTTGATTCGATTCTCTCTTTTTGTTTTTGTATAACAACAACTAAATTAAAGATAAATATCTTCGAGGTAAAATATATCAAATGAATGGATTTAATGAAAAGGAAAGGTAAGAAAAACACTATAAGGAACATAACATTTTCTTTAAATTTTATCAATGACAGCATTCGAATGGATCGATGGATGGATGGATGGAGTTCTGTTTTTTTGATGTCCATGAATATTTTTTTCTTTTCTTCAATGCTACAAGATGAATCATAATCGAACATGAAAACATTGATTTCATTTGGGGATGAATCATTTATACCTGCGAAGATATTTTTAAAAAAACAAAAAAGTATTTCATAACTTCCAATGAAAACTCCATTAAATGCATCATTATTGCCATTTATCAAATGATGATTGTTTTTGTTGTTATTCTGAATTTGTTTTTATTGATTGATCGATATCAATATCTTGATCAATCAATAAAATCAATTTATATCATATGAAATGTTGTTATTTGTTCGCACATCATATTGATGGTTATTTTAAACGTTTTTTTTGTGAAAATAATTTTTTATTCATAAGAAATCTTTAAACATAAAAATTAACGAATTTTGAAAATTTTTGTTGAATACAAAGTAATGAATAAAAAATATTATGTAAAAAAAGAGTTATACAAAATTATACATGAAAAAATAATTGATTTACTCAAATTTTAAATGTTTCCATATTGATGATTGAATGAATATTTTGATGATTATTGATTGATTTATCGATAATATCAGGAAAATTCAATTTAAAACTTCGCTTTTCACCATCATCATCATCATCATCATTAATATTGATTGATTGTGTGCTTAAATCAAAAATTGAATCAATATTTATATTATCATCATCATTGTTATTATTCAAATGATGATGATGTTTGACCAAATTTTTCATTGATTTTCGAATTGATTTAAAAATTTTGATGATTAATAAAAAAAGGCAATCAATAATTATGATAAAAATGATGATAACGAAAACAGGATGATCAAAAGGTGCATATTTTAGCCATTTTTCATTAATTTTTGTTGATTTATTTTGTTGTTGTTGTTGTTCATAATCATCATCATCATTAATAACCGATAAATAGAATTTAGAATGTATTTCACCAAATTCATTAAAAGCATTACAATTATAGTAACCAATATCATCGATTGTTAATGGTTTGATTACGAAAAACATTTGTTGATTATCATTATCATTATCATCATTATCGATTGTTTCAATTTTTACACGACGTTCTAAAGCGGCCATAAATTTTAATCGTTTATCATAAGGTGATAATGAAATATTTGGTTCCGGTATACCAGATGCTGGACAATCGATTCGTATTGATTGTCCTAATTTTCCTGTTATGTTGACTGGTTCGGTAACAAAATATGGTGGCATATTGTCGTTTACAGGTACTTGATCTTCGAAATCGTTGTCAACATCTTCATAAACATTATATTCAGTATCAAAACATAATAAATTAGGATCAATATCCATAAATGAAATTTGACTAGCCAAACGCAAATTATTCGGACGACTACATTGTAATTGATTAGCGAATGGATCTCGAATCCATGGCGGTAATAATTTAAGCCATGAATATAACCATTTTATATGACAATCACATGTTAGATTTAAATTTGTAGCAAAAATATTTTGTATATTGATTAACCAATCGAATGATTCATCTTCAATTGTTACAATAGGATTTGATGATAGATTCAGTATCATCAATGATTCTAATTGATATAAAGTATTGACAGAAATTTTTTCAATATGATTCGAATTTAAAAATAAATTTTTAAGCGATTTCATTTCGATAAACAATTCACCATCTTCGTTAAATATATTGGATAATTCATTTTCAGATAGTTCCAATGATTCTAAATTTTTTAATGAACGAAAACCATTTGAATCAATTTCATTGATTGAATTGTTTGATAAATCAAGCCATTGTAATTGATTAAGATGAGCCAAAGTTGTTGATGTTATTGTTTGTAATCGATTTGAACATAAATTTAATAGCCATAATCGTTTGGATAATGGTTTGAAAGCATCCACATCAATCATATTGATCTGATTAAATTTTATTGACAGCTTTTCCAATGAATCAAGACCATAAGTCCAACCATATCGAATGTTTGTGATATGATTATAATCGAGTACTAAATATTTAAGAGAATTTAGGCCCCAAAATGCACCATCGTCAAGATTTCCAAGATTGTTATAACGAAGATCTAATACACGAAGTGATTTAAGATTATCAAATGCAAGTAATTCGATTTTAGTGATTTGATTTTTTCGTAATATTAATCGTTCAAGATTGATCATTGATTTACCAAACCAACTACGTTTGATTATTTCCAATCGATTATATGATAATTTCAATGTTTTAAGATTTATTGTTTCATTAAAAACATCCGAATCAATAGTATGAATCATTTGTTTTGATAGATCCAAGTCGTTGATTGATGAAAAATTTTTTCCATAAAAGCGTTCGAATAAATTTCGATCTAAATGAATTGGATTTTCGTTATAAATCTCTGTGGACATTGATTGTACGGTTGTGATGATGGTAATCATCATTATCAAACTGATTATAATCATTTTGATCGACATTTCGAATGTATTTTACTTTTCCAAAAAAATTATTCAAAAAAAAACATCAAAACTGAGCAAAACGGTTGAAAAAAGAAATGAATTTTGTTTTGTTTTGGCTATTTCTACCTAAATTTGCTCGATTTCTTTTTCCGATTTTTTTTTACAATAATTCTCAACTTTGGTGCACAAAAAAACCCAAATGTGCTCAAATGAAACCGAAAAAAAATGCATTTCCAAACAAAAGTGAAGAAAAAATGAAATTCTGACAACATTTTCATTTTTGTAAAAACCAACTATCAATCACAATCACCAACCATAAAAAAAAAGAAAAAGATGATGGACATTAAATGGTATGCAATTTCAAATTGACGTAAATTTAAATTTATTAAAATATTTATTTTGGCATTATAGGGACATTGAAAATATTTATTGAACAGCAAAATAACCCCATCATCATCATCATCATTGAATAATAAATCTGCCTACTTGTATACGCATACCAAAATATATGCTAATCAAGAAAAACTGTTTGGAAAAAAACAACAAAAACAAAAACAATCTTTATCAATTCAATCAAATGGCCTAAAATTCTTGCTTATAAAATCTAAAATGTTGTTTGAATTTAATTTATTCATAATAATGATGATGATCATCCTATTCAATCATCAATTCAAAAATTGATAATGATGATGTTAATAATCTGAACAGAACCGAAAAACAAAACGAATACATCTGGGTTGTTTTTTTCCCCTTCTTCTGAATATTAATCATTATCGATGATGATGATGACATGATTTATAAACATTTGACCAAACTATCATGACATCATTGAATCATCATTGAATGATTCATTCCATTCTATAAGTATTGAATATTTCTTTTCTTTTTTTTCAAAATAATTAATTCAATTTTTTTTTATTACCACCTTTTTTTTCCTAAAACATTTTTTATTTTATTTCCCATAATAGCCCATGGGCAATTTATTGTTGTACTTAATATTCGGAAAAGAAAAATTATTCTATGTTCATCATCATTATCATTGAATAGTACGTATATGATCATCATCGATTTATGATCATAGCATATGTTTGATTCATATGGGAAAAAAAAGACAAACGATTAACGTTTCAATTCGATCCGTGTATATGGATGTTAAGATGATTTTTTAAAAAAAAGAAGAAAAAATTCATCAAATCCAAGGCAAGAACATCTTCAACGTTGATTAACATTAATTTTTTCATAAATCAAAATGGATTTCAACAAATTGTTTTCGATATTTATTTTTTTTTTCTTGTATTAGGTTCCGAAAATCAAACAAATTGATCAAGTGATCAATGGATTTTATTTCACTATTGAGAAAAAAAAACAAAAAATCAATCACTTGACAATTCGATATCGGATCTGAAGTGAATCTTAATTACCTGTTGTTTTTGATGTTTTCGTTTAATTTTTCATTATTCACGACATGTTCCTCATCATTGATGATAATTATAATTGAAAAATTAATTTGTTACAAACATTTTGTTAAAATATTTTTCACATCTATTTTTATCCAAAATATGACCTCCATACACAAGAAAAACACGTGAATCTTCTTATCGATATTCGTATTCGTACACTCACCTTTTTTTCTGTATTGATTTCCAAAAAAAATGTTGATAGACTAATTCGTGATTTTCGCAGACTGACTGACAGAAAAAAAATGATTAATTATTTTTCCTTTTTTAAAAAAAGCCTGATGATTTTTTTTCTTCCGTTTAGTTTATGCCAATGTTGTTGTTGTCAAAGAATGGATGTTTTAAGATGAAAAAAAACCGAAACAATATCCATTATAGTATACAAACGAAAAAGAATAACCAAATCAGGAAAAAACATTACATTAACACAGACCTATATTATAAAGGGTTAAAATTGATTAGCCAAATTTTTTTTTTATCGAAAAAACTTACCAATTGATTATTCGATGTGTGTGTGATTATATATTGGATCTTTCTCAAATCGATTGACCAATCAATCGATGATAATCGATGATCACGACAATAATGATGATGATGATCAAAAAATAACAACTATGGAATATTAGATTTGAAAAAAAAACGAAGAAAATTTGCAATGATTTCACCTTTTCTCTTTTTTTCTTCATGTTTTTGTTTTTCGTTTTTTGCATAACTAAATTTTTGTTTTTTAAATTTAGATTGAATAATTTCTTAGTTGACATTGAATATTTGTACTTGAATATGTTTGCAAACAAAACATGATAATTATATAATCAATCGGGAAAAAACAACAATCGATTGTAATCAATCATTTATCCAATGAAAATCCATATTCGTTATAATTATTTTTGTTGCTGTTTTTGTTTTTTTTTGTATCGATCATGATTATGTCTTCTGTTCTGTTCTGTTTTTTCCCCTTGCCTTTAGGCTAGATAAAAATTTTTCTCAATTACAATTTTGTTCCTAAAATAAATTTCCTGATGATTGTCTTTTGTATACAAGTGAATATTTTGCTGTTCATTAAATAATTAATGTTAAATTTCTTCTTTCTTTTTCTAAATCATTTTTGTTGATCACATCATCATTAGCATCAAGATCAACAGGTGTATATGTGTGTGATGTGATTGTGCACGTGTACATGCATGTACGTGTTTTGATACATTTATATACAAGATTCAAGCTTGTTTCAAGGTGGTCAAATGATTGAATTTTTTTCTTCTTCTTCTTCCTAATTTAGATCAATGTCTTTTTTTGTTGTTGTTGTTGATCCAATGCTAATCGTAATGATGATGATGATGATGATGATAAGCCTCGAGCTTAATGATTAAAAAGGATATGCAGAAAAAAAAATCTTATCTAAGATCCATACGATTCCGCTATCCGTTTTCCACAAAAATTCAAATCTTATTTTTTTTATGTTGATTTTGAATTTTAATTACATTTTGTTTTTAATAATTAATAGTAAATGATGAACCACCATCCATAAATAATCATTTCAATGTCATCGTTTTTCTTTTCAAACATTCCAAAAAAGAATTGAGCATGGGGAAAAAAATGAGGTGCGAAAAAAAAATGTTTTGTTTAGTTTGTTTTAAGTAAAAAAAAATATAACCGAAATGATACCTTTTATTGTTTTATTATTATTGATGATGCAAAATTCTTATCATCATCAATATAACATAAGAAAAATTGAATCCAGAAAACAACGATCTATTCAATCAAACAAAAAAAAAACGTTATTTTACAAACGAATTTTGATAAAATTTTGTCAATATTTATTAATAAATATGTTTTTATTATAATGTGACGTCTTGATTTTCTTGTTGTTGTTGTTTTTTTTTTGTTTTGAATAATCATCAGAATTCATAATGATGGTGATATCAATTTCAAGGTGAAGAACGTGATTGTCATCATCAAAAAATTTCAACAACAAATATATTTTATAATCATTTCAAACTGTTCAAGAAAATTTCAAAAATCAATCAATAATCGATAATCGATAACAACAAACCTGAAAACATAACCATTCGAAAAAAATGATTCGATTCTATATCGACATAAATGGTTATTTTTTTCACATATACATTGATACGAGGGTTCAATTAGTGACCAGGAAATATTCATTTTAACATTTTTTAAAAAATCTGTTTTTGTTTTTTCACTATCGGAAATCCGAATCATTTTTTTCCCTGTTTGTAACATGATAATGATAATGACGATGGTAGTATGCTAATCATCAATCAAATGATAATCATTTGCAAATAGAAAACAAAATGATAATGAATATTTTATGTGTGGCGCAAAAAAAAAGGATTTTTTTTTATTATTATTATTCGAAAGGTTTCAATGTTTTTTGTTTGTAACTAGTAGCTACTAGCTTTTGGTTAATTATTCAGAATTTCAATTACATTTAGCATCAATTAAGTCGATTTTGTTGTTGTTGTTGTTATATTACCACATCATCAATCAAAAAAAAAAACAACAAAAAAAGAATGATTAATGTTTTGAATTCCAAAAATCTTGTCACTGGATTTTTTTTCTCTGTTGAGCGATTTTTTTTCGATATATCGATTGTTTTCATTGTGGAAATGTAAACATTTTGCTTTCCTTTTTTTCTCATTTGACAATGTCATTGTTGTTGTTGTTTTTTTCAATGTTATTGATCATTATCCAATCGATATGTAATGATAATGTTCATTTCCATTTTTTTTCTAAATGATATGATTGGCAAAAAAAAGATATTGTTTGTTTGTTTATATTTTGGGCCTGGTTGAATGATCGATCGTTCGTTCGTTTGTTCTAAAAATGTCTGGCTTGAATTTCGATATTTATCTAAATTTTTAATCAAATTTGTCTCGATCTTGTTCATCATCATGATCGTCACACACAAACGGTATGAAAACCTATATCACCTTGATCTCATAATTATTTCTTTTTTTTTTGTTGAAAAACAAATCCTCAATCCATTCACTTCACTTTACTTTCAATAATCATCATCTTTTAATGTGGAAGAATTAATTGATTTTTTTTCTTTACACAACTACAGAAGAAGAAAAAGAAGAAATTCAAAGTCAAACATCTTTTATCCATCCATTCATCTCCATGATAACACCACCGAAACATAATAATCAATCAATGTCCATCACCCCCCTCTGAATACAAGTATTTTTTTTGAATATTTTTCTTTTTTTTGCTACAAATTTTCTGTTTTTTCCATCTCATCCTGGGGAATTTCGAATGAAAGATGAAGATCAATTCCTTACTGGATATTAATCAAGCTAAATCAAGTAAAAGGAACATAAAAAAATGGTGAGTAAATTTCTTTTTTACTATTTTAACATCCGTGAAAATTGTGAAGGTAAAAAATTCATTTATCAACAACAAAAAATCATTTAGTAGCGGCAATAGCGAACATTACGACCGAAAAAAAAGGTAACATTAAATGATGATAATTTATATCAATGCCTTAATTTAGCTTTAGTTTTGTTTGAATTCAATGTAAAACTTGAATGGAGAAAATGGAAAATTGTACAACAACAAGATGGTGATGGTCATTTTGAATTAATTCTCTCCTCTGCAGATGTAAGTATGTGTTTATCAATCCAAATTTCATTTTTTTTACCTCTACCAACCAGGTTTTCCAGAAAAAAATTAAGGATTTTCACTTTTTTTTGAACAATTTTAGTGATCACGGGATAGCTAAGAATCCGAAATTATCATCATGGTGGCTGTACTGATTAATGATAATTTGAAATGATAATAATGATGATGATGATGATGGTGGTGTGGCCTAAAATATATTTGAAACAAACAACAAACTGCTATCATTTATTACGATCATTTAATATCGTTGTCGTCGTCATTGTCGTTGTCTTCGTTGTTTGTTTGTTTGTGTTGATCGATAGATAATGACGATATAGTTAGTAGCCATCAAAAACATTCGCATTTGATCATTGTCCATCATCGTATTCGAATCGTGTGTGTGAATTTGATTTTTTTTTTTTTTTGGCTTATGAAAAAGCCACAAATGTTTTTCCATTTTTATTTTTGAGATTTCAATCATGAAATTGATATGATAATCTTAACGATATTTATTCAACTTTGATTGTTTTGTTTTTTGGTAGAATTTCTAAATTTTTTTCTGGTTTTTCCCGGATTTTACCTAACAACATATCATCATAATTTTTTTCTCCCTAAATATTTTAAAGAAAATGTTTGCCAAATTACGTAAAACAATGAAATATGAATTAAATCATGGCCATATTCATCATGATGATAATGATATGATGAAAAATTCATCCACAAATAATCATTGTAATGGTCATTTAAATCATTCAATTAATACGATATTATCACCAACATTTACATCATCATCACCATTACCATCATCATCATCATTATCATTATCACCAATAGCCGTACTAGTCGAATCGGTTGCATTCAATTATAAACGTAATGTTCCTTTACTAAAAGATATTTCTGTTCATGTTCCAAAAGGTAAGTCGGAATTTTATTTTTGTTTTCTTTGTTGATTTTCTGGCTTATTTGGAATGAATTTTTTTTCCCTTTAATTATTTTCTTCATTTCTCACCTTGTTCAATTATTAGGATGTATATATTCATTACTTGGTTCGAATGGTTGTGGTAAAACAACCTTATTAAATATATTACTTGGCCGTATACGACCAGATCGTGGTAATGTTCGTATATTTGATCGTCAACCTGGTTCAACATTAAATCATCATATTGGTTATATGCCACAAGAATTAGGACTAAATCCATTATTACATATTGAAGATACATTTTATTATTATGCACAAGTTAATCATATAAAAGATAGACAATTTATACAGGAACAGATACGTATATATTTAGAAATGTTAGAACTTGAAGATCCAAAACAACGTGTTGGACAATTAAGTGGTGGCCAAAAACGTTTACTTTCATTGGGTGTTACTTTGATATATAAACCAAGAATATTATTTTTAGATGAACCTACTGTTGGTATTGATTCATTGATTAGGAATAAAATTTGGACACATTTACGACAATTATGTTTATTAAATGGTAAGTTTATTAAATTTTTCTTCTAACATTTCTATCATGAAAATTATTTTTGTTTTGTACAAAAAAAAACTAGAAACAACCGTTGTTATTACAACACATTATATTGATGAAGCAAAAAATTCTGATCTTGTTGGTTTTCTTCGCGAAGGACAAGTATTAGCCGAAGAATCACCCGAATTATTAATGCAAGCATTAGAATGTAAAACATTGGAACAGGTATTTTTACGATTATGTTTTGAAAAAATTGATCGTTATCAAAAACTAATACAACAATATCGAAAATCAATTGATTCCTCAAATAATAATAATAATAATGATAATACATTTCCTGATCAATATGATGTTGTTGATGATAATAATATTAAAACGACAAAAAATTCAAATGGTGTTATATTACAGCCAGTAATGTTTAACAACAATCATCATAATCATCATAATGATCATATTGGTAAAGTTCAGGAGAAAATATTTGCCTGTTCTAATCAATCAATCAATTGGGATCATATTAATGCACTTATGTATCGTGAATGGTTCTTTTTCACACATAATATTCCATTATTTTTGGTTTATTTATTGATGCCATTATTGACTGTTTATCTATTTGATTCAAGTTATGGACGTACACCACAAAATGTACCGATAGCAATTTATAATGGTGATGAAAGTAATTTTGATCCACATCTTTCGGATATTTTTTTACAAGAATTTAATACCAGTATGGTAAGAATGACATTTTATAATAGTGAATTGGATGCTGAAAAATCCGTACAATTAGGACAAAATGTAATGGCAATAGCTTTTCGTTCAAATTTTTCATCAAATATTGTTGCACGTTATTATGAATTTCATTCATTTGTTGATCAGAAAAAAGATGATTTAACATCAGTCAATGGTTCAATGTTATTATATATTGATCATTCAAGTTTACTTAATGTACGTTATGTAAATCGATCAATATTATTATCATTTCAACGTACTGTTGAAAAATTTGGTGAAACACGTGGTATTAATCCTCAGATATTTTCATTACCAATTGAAAAAGCTGGCTATATTTATGGTGTTTTGGAACCACATTTTCAAGATTTATTTACACCCGGTATTATTATTATTACATTATTGGCAATGAATGCTGTAAAAGCGGCATTAGAAATGATTTATTTACATCAAAATGGTTGTCTTAAACGTGATTTAAATCAAGGTGTACGACCATTAGAAATGATATTTACATTTACTATTTCATCATTAGTATCAATATTTTGGCAATCACTTATTACCTGTATATTTACCTATGGTATAATGGGTGTACAATTGGATGGAGATTTTTTAGCCGCATTCATTTTAGTATTTATAACAGCATCAGAAGGTTTATTTATTGGAACATTATTATCAGTTATATTTCCCGATCAAATTATATCAATGGTATGATATTTATCTTTTTTCATTATTTTTTTTCTCAAATTTTTATTTTATTTTTTATTTTTTTAAATATAGCTACTTTGTTTCACTGCATTGGTTATAATGTTTTTTACATCCGGTACATTATGGCCATTAGAAGGAATGTCATTAACATTACAAAAATTATTCATGATTAATCCAATCGTATTACCAGTACGTTCATTACGTTGTATAATGTTACGTGGATGGTCATTTATAAATTTTACCGTTTTAATTGGTTATATTGTTAGTTTTATGACATCATTAATATTATTCATATTATCGGCATTATTTTTTCATTATCTTAATGTTCAAATTACATAATTATTCAATTCTATGTTTTTTCTTCTTTTCGACTCTCTCTTTCCTTCCTTTTTTTTCCGTGATAATCAATAATGAATTTTTTTTTCTTTCACTGATCATTACCATTTGTAACATTGTGTATGGTGTGTATTTACTATTTTATATATTATAATAGGATTCAATTTGTACTTTTTGTTTTCAACTGGATAAAAAAAAACTCAACTGAAATAAATCAATTTTTCAAATTTTTTTACATAATGTTTTTTGTCTTCAAATTGTCATTTATCCTATCGATATATTCAATGTACATCATTGTTGTTGTTGTTGTTTTCGTTGTTATGGCAGGGCAATCATTATCGGTTGTATCTGTTGATGACGAGATTGTTTTGGTTTCATTTTCATATGACTATGATATTCAGGATTTTTTGATCGATTAATTTTAGTTTTTTTCACAGCATTTTTTTTACCGGGTTTGATTATTGTTGTTGTTGTTGATTGATTCTGTCGATATAATGTTAGAATAAAACATAGAATAGATATTATGATTGTAATCAAAGTGATTACAATTCTACCATTATTTAGAAAAAATGTTATTATAATAAGCAACATACGTAACCAACCATCTACTTTTGCTTGCTATGTTTTTTTTAGGAGAGGGGTAGATTGTAAAACAAAATTTCTAATTAAAAGTTTAAAAATCCTAATCATAAATGATAAACATACCACTGTAACTCTTGCATATGGCATAATACATTCATGTAATTTACTTAATGGACCAAATCTTGGTAAATCACGTAGAATAAAATTAAATTGAAATGATAATTTTGCATGTACAGGTATGCCTAATGTTGGTTCTAATTCAATAAAACTACCATGTTCAGACCATTGTGGCCGTAATCCATATACATCATGATTAAGATGTGGTGAACCAACAAAATGTGGAAAACTAAATGCAAGTGCTAAACCACCAAAACAACCAGCCAAATCAGTATAACCATCACATTCTTTTAATTTACGATCACCAAAACAATAGCAACGATTTTCAACTAAACGCATATTGAAAAGAAATGGCCATACTTCATAACGAACAGTACGTAATCCATTATTCCAATGGTATCTATTGTAATGAAAAAAATATTGAAATTCACAAATAATATTTTATTCTGGATTACCCTTTTCGTATAAATTTAATACGACGACAAAAATGTTGAAAATAAATTTCGAATGATTGACCCTTTGGATATTTGGAAAAAGAAATCGAATCAAAAATTTCATTTTATTCATATAATGAATGAAAACAAAAACAAAACAAACCTGATCATGTAAACCAAAATGAAATATATCTAATCCTTTAATTAGATTACATGGTGATGCATAATTTTCATAATGTCTTGAACCTAATATACTACGAACTTCATTCATTTTATGATGACCAGGACGATTAAAACGATAATGTTCCAATGGACCAAACCAATGACCCATAAATAAATCCATAACACCAAATGAACTATTAACAATTTCATAATTACCAAATGATTCCCAAAGTATTGTATAATCTGGAAATGGTATATGAAATAAACGTAATGATGCAGCTAATGAATCGAATACGGTAACAATAGAAATTTTACGACCAAATAAAACTTCTGATATAGGAATTTCTTCAAGTAAATTTTCACCAAATGTTCGCATTATTATATGTATTGCATGCTGGGTAATTGGATAAATGAATCGGATTTTAAATTTATCCAGCCAATAATTTGTCCATCCTAATGATGCCTAATAATTTTACAAACAAAAAAAAAAACAAATTTGATTTTTGTTTTTGATTTCAAAGAAAAAAACAACATTACCACTATCGGTACATTCACCGTTTGCATACGAGTATTTATTGAAAATGGTGATCGTTCCTGATCAAAAGTTGCAAAAAATTTTTCATGAAATATTACAGTTTGATCAGTCCATGCGATAATTTCTCGTTTTCGATCAACGCTGTGTTTTCCGAAATATCAATATTATAAAGTGATTTTGTTTATAAAAAAAAAATTTATACTTGAATACAAATGGACCAATTTCACGAAGATTAGCCGGTGTACCTTCCAAAAATTGTTCACCATTACGTAATTCAAAAAAATAAAGATCTGTTTGTACTGGAATCGGTGCATTATAAAAACCAATTCGTAATAACATATTGTCTGGATTCAATTGAAATTGTGAATTAAGAACTGAAATTTTTTTTAAAAAAATAGAAAAAATGAAAATAAGAAATCAAAAATTTGCAAAAATTTCAAAATTAATATTTACGAAAATCTCTGATTGGAATAAATAAAAACCAATTTAAAATCGAAACAAACAGAATAAAAATGCCTAAACGTAAATAAAATTTATTGATATTGTTTTTCGATTCAATAGAATCATCATTATCCCTAAGAAGTGTTTTGGATTTTTTCTCTGGTTTTTTATTATCGTCAAATGTTTGATATGGAGGTGGTGGTGGTGTTATCGGTGGCGGTGGTGGTAATGGTCTTTTTGGCAACAATAAAGGTGACCGTTGTTGTTTTGTTGAATGTGTTAACAATGTTGATGGTCTTATTATTATTGATTCATTTCTTTTAAAAAGATTATTCGATATAATCGGTGATGTATGAATATTTCCATGATGATAATGTTTATAAGGAATTTGTGGTTCACTTTGAAATTTTCGTATACAATGTTGTTGTTGTTGATGTAAATTTAATAATTTAAATTGTTCAGGTGTTATAATCAATAATTCTTCATTATCATTATCTATTGCTGGAATCGTATAAATTGGTAATGTTGTATTGGATTTTAATTCGGTTGTTGAATTATTCATTATTTCAGAACGATATTATTAATTTGTAATAAAATTTATGAATGAAATGTTAATTACAAAATTTCTTTGAAAGTCTTCAAAATCTGATGAAAGAATGAATGCGAAAAAAAATGATAAATTTATTCTTCATTCCGGTTCTTCTTCTTCTTCTCCATATGCTGGCAACAGAAACAAAAATGAATAACGGATATTTAAGTGGAAACAAAATTTTTTTTTCCTTGGAATAAATCGATTTAAACTTTTCATTTTTTTTAATCAAAATCATTTTTTATGTTTCAAAATTTATTTTTTTCAAGTGCAATTTTCCAAATATCGATTAAATTTTACTCTGATGACAACCAAAAGAAGAAGAAGAAAAAATCGACGAATGTCAATGTCAAGTGAGATTTTTCACTTTGTTTTGTTTTTCTCATTTAGAGAATGAAAAAAAAATTTTATGGGTCAGGAATATTCCTATACGTCAAGTGGTTATATTCATATTCACAAATTCACAAGTTTTTTTTTGTTTCTGATTATAAAATCAATGAAAATGATTTTTTTTTTCATGAGAAAAAACTAATTTCCGTTTCGTTTTCATAGATATATTATTATTTACTAAGGCAGTGTCTTCTTTCAATCTATTATTGTCGTGCACACTGGGAAAGAAAAGCATTCAACTTAATGTTTCGAAGTTTTTTTGTTTTCTTCATTTAAAAATCAATAATAAAAATAAGTATTTTTAAATAATTTCTACAAAATTATTATTATATTGATTATTTACAATAATATTGTATTGTAATGCAAACAATAATCATTATAATCGATATAATTGCTAATAATAATTGTCCATAATTTAATAAAAATGATAATAATATTAAACCAATATGTAATATTCCGCTTGAACGTCCATACTAAAATACATAAAATGATAAATAATAATGATTATTATTTCATTATTCAATCAATTACTATTACTTATAATATACAATACTTACACCACGAAACCAACCAAATGGTAATATACATGGTCGTATATTGGACAAACTACCAATACGTGGTAGATAATGTAATGGCCAATTAAATTGAAATGTTAATTGTACATCCATTGGTATGCCTAAATATTGTTCTAAATAGAAAATTGTCAAATGTTTTTTATAATTTGGTTTTAATCCATGAATATTTCTAGCTAAATTAGATGAACCAATAAAATGTGGTAATGTTATTGCAAATGATAAACCATCAAATGTACCGGAACAATCATTAAATCCATTACAATCATCTAATGATCTTCCTTTAAAACAATAACATTGATTATCAATAATATTCATATTGAATAAATCGGTCCATATTACATATTTTGCAACACTAACACCATTTTTCCATCCTTTACTGTTGTTTTTTTTTGTGATAATTTTCAACAACAACAACAACAAATATTAGTTATTTTCAATGTTTACCATAGAATCAGATCGACAAACCTTTCTCTTCGTAATGGTAATGAACGACAAAATGGTTGAAAAAATAAATTAACTTTTTCACCTTGATCTTTAAGACCAAAGAATTGTATATCATATCCATCGACATGATTACATGGTTCTTGAAAAAATTTTAAACGACTAATGCAAAAAAAATGAAATTCAACAGAATTAGTTATGATTATATCGGTAATTGAATGAATCAAAAAAAAAATTACTTTGAACCCATAGAGGTTTTCACTTGATGCATACGACGATTACCATTATCATCAAAACGATATAATTCAAATGGACCAAATTGTTTTCCAGCTATCAGATCCATAATACTAAATGTATTATTGAGTAATTGAAAACCAGCAAAATTGGATATTAATTCATGAAAATCAGGTATAAATGGTACAATATTTTTAGCTATTCCATTGATAAATTCTAAAAATTTCATAGCATTTATTTGACGACCAAATAAAACATTATTGATTGTTTCACGTTGTATGATTGATTCACCAAATGTACGCATAACCAATGTAATTATTGGATTTATAATTGTTGTTAAAAATTTTAAATAATAACGTTCTAGCCAATGATGTGCGATTAATAATGTTGTAATCAAAGGTAAATTCATCATATTAATCTCTTTATTAATCGATTCGGATAATGTTGGTTCAAATTTTAATGGAAATTTTTCATAATAAACTAATGTTTCATTACGCCATTCATCAATCAAACGTTGACGTTCTAAACGAAAAACATATGGACCAAATTCTTGAATATTTGCACGTTCACCATTCAAAAATTGTTCTGGATTTCTTATACCGAATAGATAGATTTCAACATGAACCGGTATAGGTAATTTGGATAACCAAAAATTTTCAATCAAAAATGAATTTGGTCTTAATTCAAATTGATAATTAACAACTGTAAATGAATTTGTTTGTTTTTGTTTTATTTCCCTTGTTATTAAATTGCATTAATTAATTTCAAAAAAAAACTTCTTACTTGCATAGATTATTGATTGATAAATGGTAATTGAAAATATAAAACAACCAAGAAAAAATATTGCCCAATTTCGAAAAAAATTCTTTCCAAATGATTTTGTTTGAATAATTTTTGAAATTTTAATTTTAGTTTGCTGTTTTATCGGTAATACAGGTGGTAATTTATTTCGTGGTGGAAGTGGTGGTGGTGGTGGTGGTGGTGGCTGCTGTGACCTAATATTTTCATCATCAGGATTCGAATGATGACGATGATGATGATGACAATGACAATTTACAATAGCTAATCGATAATTTAATGGTTTTAATATCGGTTGAACAATCGATAATGTTGATGATGATTTCAATTCATTTATTGATTCGATTTCATTTTGATTTTGATTTGATTTTTGATAAAGTTGATTATTTGTTTTTTTCATTATAAAAATTTATATTTCCTATGATGAATATTTTCTACGAGAAAAAAATCTCTAAAATGACGACAATCAACAACAACAAAAACAACAACAGCTAAGAATTTCAAGAATGACGATTAAATGAAAAATTTTCTTTAAAAAAAATAGGCTAAACGATCAATGATCGTTTTTTATTTACTCGTTCTTGAACTTGGTTTTCTTCTTCCATAATAATCAATTTTTAATTTTCGTTTTCATTTCACATTGATTCAATTCACCTTCGTGTGGACAAATAGATCGATTAAACATGACATTGAATGAATGAAATATTGATTTTGTTTTGGTTAAATTCACAAAATTCTTTATTTTTTAAGAAACAAAAACAAAAAAATCCATAAATTTTAACACATGTTAACAATTTGAATTGTTAAAATATTTTAATTAACAAAAAAACGAAAGAAAAAGAAAGCCGACAACAATAGACCACCAATGGCAAATAGATATTTAAGATAATTAGTTAAAAATGATACAATCATTATGGTTATAAATAATGATCTATTGCTTTCTATTTTTCCTTTCTGAAATGAAATTAAAATTAAAATTCTTTCTATTTGAATTTTTTTTAAAATTACTTACCGCTTCAACACCAAAAAATGGCATCATTTTGGATCGGATATTTTTTAATTGACCAAAACTAGGTAAATCTCTTGTTATAATATTAAATTGAAATTGCATACGAATTTCTAATGGTATACCAATGGTTGGTTCCACGTCAACATAACCACCATGTTTATTCCAATTTGGTTGAAAGCCAATAATTTGTTTATTTAAAATTTTTGATCCATAAAAATGACGAAAACTTAATGCCATTGGTAAACCACCATAACAACCGGCCATATCCGTATAACCATCACATTCACCTAATGATCGATCACCAAAACAATGGCATTGATTTTCTTTTTCATGCATATCAAACATTTTCCGCCATATTTCATAACGAGCAATACGCATACCATATTTCCAATAAAAGCTAAAAATTGTAAAAAAAATTGTAAATTTAGAAACAAAAAAAGTAACAAAACCATTGTGATAATTACTTTTGACGAATTAATGGAAAATTTCGACAAAAATGTTGAAAATAAACATCAAAACGTGAACCATTATCATTACCGGCTTCATGTATACCGAAATACATTAAATCTAAACCACGTATTTTATTACATGGTGGTTTATAATTTTCATATTCCCTATAATCCAAAGAAAATTGATTTTAATTTTTTTGTTTGGAAATTCAGCTACGCGTTACAAACAAACTTACGTTTCACCAAGAATTTTTCTAACTTCATTAGTTTTATATCTTTTATAATTATGACGATAATGTTCCATTGGACCGAATTCATTTCCAACAAATAATCCAATAATACTAAATGAATTATTTGATAATTTATAATTACCATATGATGATATTAAATCACTAAAATCCGGTAATGGTAAATTTAATGATTTTAATGGTATTAAAATTGTATTTAAAAAACGTAATAAATTTACTGGCCGTCCCCATAATACTTCCCATGGTGTTGTTTCAGTAATTAAACGTTCACCAAATACCTGTAATGCTATTGATATTATATTCTGTATGATTGGTTCGATTAAACGTATTTTATAACGTCGCATCCAATAATAAATCCATGATGTTGTACCCTTTTTTTAAAAAAATTAACAAATTTAAAAGTATTTCAAACAAAAAAAGACCAACAACAACATACAAATATCGGTATATTAATCGTATGCATTGTAGTATTAATCGGATATGATTGATCTACAAGTAATTCAGCATCAAATAATTCATTAAATATTACTGTATGTTCAGTCCATTCAACTACTTTACGTCTGCGACCAACTCTATATTGTTTGTATGAATGAATGAATTTTTAGTTTTTTTTAAATTCAAACAAAAATCAACAATAATAATAGTAATTTACTGAAATACAAATGGTCCAATTTCTTTGATATTTGGTCGATCACCATTAAGATATTGATTTGGATTACGTATATCAAATAGATAGATATGCAAATATACTGGTATTGGTACTGTAGCCCAACCAAATGAATAGAAAAATTTATCCGGACCTAATTGAAGTTGCCAATTCATAACTATATTTTTTTCCCATAATAATGAAAAAATTAATTATTTTTAATAAAATTACAAAAGAAATTATATTTACTCAGATCTTGAATTGGATCATATAAAATAAAATTAACAACAATACTGAAAAGAAATAAAAAACCAGCAATAAGATAATATTTTTTCATTTTTGGATTTCCTTTTAATAGTACAATAAAATTTTGCCAAATACGTTTTCGTAATCCTTTTTTCTTTTTTGAATCGGTCGAATAATCTGTTGAAATAAATGTATCCGATGATGTTGATCGTTTTAAACGATTAGGATTTATTATTGATAACCGGGAATTTTTCGATATTGCTGATGATGATAATGATGATGATGATGGTAGTAATAAATTTGATGAATCATATTGATTTGAATGAACATTAGCTACTGCTTCATATCTAGGTAATTCTAAATTCAATGGATTTATTGTCTGTATCATAATCATTGATTCATTTGGTTTTTTTGGTTGTAATAATAATGATGATGATGATGATAATGATAATGGTCGTAATCCATCGGAAATTATCATACTATTTTTGGTCAAATTTTTCGAATCCATTCCGTTGTAAGGTGTAATTATATTTTTACCCCTTATTGGTGGACGATGTTTTATCTGTAAATATTGTCCATCTTGTTGTTGTTGTTGTTGTTGATTTAATCTTTGTCGAATCATTTGTTCGAATAATAGCTGTTGTTCACCTGGTGATATCATTGTTTGTTGAAACGTTGATGATGTTCATCATCCAATTATCGAATGAAATGAAATCTTTCAAGTAAATTTTCATCTTTTATTTTAAAAAAGTACCGTATAGTCTTTGTTGATCGTAGAAATTCTTCTTTGTTTCATTTTGAATGAGTTATGTGCTCATTATAATTCCATTGTCAAGGTTAAATAATTATCATTAATGTGTGTATGAGAATTCATGTTCAAGTGTGTGTGTAACTGCATTGTCTAACGAGAATGTCAAACAAAACAAAAAAACTCGAAAAAATTGATCCATTTAACAGTAAAAAGTCGTTTATTTGGAACCAGAATAGAATCATCATCATTATCATTTTAAAAAAAAATTTAAATTTCAACCTAATAACCGAATATTGATCTTGTTGTGTTATACCGATACCTAATTCCAAAACAGTGAAAAAAAAAACATTTCTTTTGATTCAATCGATTTCCTTTATTTTATTTTATTTTTTTGTAAAACAAAACAAACAAATGATAATTAGCAATTAAAAATTTAGGTATTTCATATCCAGAATGGGAATAATTTTTCTTCGATTTTTCATTATTATCTGAAATATATGGCCATAATTTGATGGACAATATATCGTCGTCGTCGTCGTCAATTCTGTCCTTGATTTCAATGGGTTAAAATTGTTCATAGATTGCAAGTACATTTTTTTTGGATAAAACTTTTAAAGTATAAATTGTGCAACGAAATGTATACAACATTGATGGTAGAACTCCATTAACTCTTGTTTATGCTGCTACTTTTTTTTTTTGTAAAAAAAGATTTGTAGAGGAATGGCAAACCAATGCTATTTTTTTTTTTGCTTGCACTCACCCTCACAGTTCTCTTTTCCTTCTAACTTTCCTTTTTTTTTAGTTAACAGGAATCAACATCATCATCATAATCACAAACGCACGTTATTAATTTTTTTTTCATTGATGAAAATAAATTTCAACAAAATCGAAGAAATTTTTTTTGTTGTTGATTGATTTTATAGATTTTCATTCTTATTACATCAGTAAAAATATTAAAAGGTAAGTCTTATGGACCCAATTCATAAGGACCTGAAACAAAATCATTGATTATTAATTAATAAACAGCTATAGAAATCTTTTCGTCCTTCATCAATTTTATGATGAAATCATAGAGAAATAGTTAATCTCTTTATTTTTTTTTTGTTTTTGTTTTCTTCTCTTGATTCATCACACATTGGCACAAACGTAATACCACGTCAACAAACAGAAAACAAAAAAAACGATCCAAGATTAATTCATATTTTTGTTGTTTGTTGACCATTTCATAATCAATTTTTTGTTGTTGTTGTTGTTGTTGCTTTTTTTAATGCGTATTTATAATTCATTATATTGAAAATTCTCTACATTATTGTTTTCGTTTTGATTCTTAGGAAAATATCGATATAACAAAAGTATCTTTTTGTTTTCATTTGGAATTTTTTCAACAAATATTTTCTACAATGGCCGAAGAAGATTGGAGTATGTATTTTTTTCAAATCTCTGAAAATAATATTCAATTTTAATTTTCGAAATTTTTTCATAGCTATTGTATCAAAAGTGACCACAAATAAATGGCAAGAAGAAGATGAAGATATAAAAGATAATTGGGACGATGATGATGATGATGATGATGAACATAGTAAAGCAAGTTCAACGGGTACCGAATCTAATCAACAAAAAACTAGTGACCAACAACAAATGAAAAAAACAAGCGGGAAAAGGAAAAATAAATTGAAGGAAAAAATTCAACAAAAAGAAGAAATTGAACGTAGTCAACCGAAAACAATGGAAGAATTATTGGCCGAAAAATTAGAAAATCAACGGCTAATTGAAGAAGGTGATCTAGCTTTAGCAAAAGAAACATTCGGTTTATCCGGTAATAATGATTCATCATCAGCATTAAATAATATTCGTTTAGCAACAAAAGAAGATTTTGAAGATTTTCGAAAAGCATTGGATGAAAAACTTAGTCCATATACACGTTCACCACATTATATGACATTTTTAGAAGGTTTATTTCGAACATTAGCTTCCGGTTTAGATAGTGATGATATTAGAAAATTAGATGCAACATTAACAGCATTGTATAATGAAAAAATTAAACTACAAAAGGTAAAATAATGAAAACTACTAATTCATTTGATTTTTAAAGCTAATTGTTTTTTTTCATTTTTTTAGCAACAAAATAAAGGTAAAAAAAGCCATAAAAAAGCACCGACAATCATGATGGAACGTGAAAAAGATTATTCATATGGAAAACAATTGGATCAATATGAAGATGAATATGATGATTTTATCTAAGTTTCAAAAAAAAAATAAATAAATAAAAGTCTCGATGTTGTATGTTTGTTCCCATCCCTTTTTCCGTTAAAACCAACCAATGAACAAAGTCATAATATATTATTAACAACAACAACAAAAAATTAATTAATGAACATCATCTATTCATCATTTATATTTTATAAACTAACTAATTTTATTCTGTTGATTGATTTATAATTCAACAAAATCGGTGGGAAAAAATCATTTCTTCGGTTTTCATTTTTTTTGATTTTTTTCCAATTTCAAAAAAAAGAAAAAGAAATTTAGTGTCTTCTATTTTAAAATTTTCAATTGTTTGTGTTCATTTGTGTTTGTCACTTTACATTGTGTTTATTTTAAAAAAGTTTTTTTTTTGAGTATCATCAATTGAACAATTATACAAACACACACACACACGGCATGAACATAAGACTTTTAAATTGTTGTTGCTTCTTCTTTTAAAAAAAGTTTTTTTTCTTGTATTTCTGAAAAAAATAAAATTTATTTAAAATAAAAAAATAAAAATTTCAATTTTTTTGTTTTGTTTTATCACAGTATTTGAAAATTTTTCTTCACACGTTCTGGATGTGCTAACCAATCCAAAAGATGTGCTGAATTTTCACGATTCAATGCCATTAGATTTCGTAAAATACGAAGTGAATTTAATCGTCTAGCAAGACNTAACTACTAATTCATTTGATTTTTAAAGCTAATTTTTTTCATTTTTTTAGCAACAAAATAAAGGTAAAAAAAGCCATAAAAAAGCACCGACAATCATGATGGAACGTGAAAAAGATTATTCATATGGAAAACAATTGGATCAATATGAGGATGAATATGATGATTTTATCTAAGTTTCAAAAAATAAATAAATAAAAGTCTGTATGTTTGTCCCCATCCCTTTTTTCCGTTAAAACCAACCAATGAACAAAGTCATAATACATTATTAACAACAGCAACAATTGATTAATGAACATCATCTATTCATCATTTATTTTATAAACTAACTAATTTTATCCTGTTGATTGATTTAATTCAACAAAATCGGCGGAAAAAATCATTTCTTCGATCTTTTTTGATTTTTTCCAATTTCAAAAAAAAAAATTTAGTGTCTTCTGTTTTAAAATTTTTAAAATGTTTGTGTTCATTTGTGTTTGTCTTTACATTGTGTTTATTTAAAAAAATGTTTTTTTGAGTATCATCAATTGAAATTATACAAACACACACACACGGCATGAACATAAGACTTTTAAATTGTTGTTGTTTTTTCTTTAAAAAAGTTTTTTTTTGCATTCTTGCATTCTGAAAAAAATAAAATTTATTTAAAATAAAATTTTCAATCATTATAATTTCAAATTATCATTTTTTGTTTTGTTTTATCACAGTATTTGAAAATTTTTCTTCACACGTTCTGGATGTGCTAACCAATCTAAAAGATGAGCTGAATTTTCACGATTCAATGCCATTAGATTTCGTAAAATACGACGTGAATTTAATCGTCTAGCAAGACGATAACGATCATGTAGATTTATCTTCAGATATGATGTTGTAGTGAATTTTATTCCGGATGATTCATTTGTATCATTAGTTGTGGAAGGATTTCCACCACCACCACCAACACCACATCCATTACATAGAATCGATTCCATAATTTGTTCCAATATGAGAAATATTTTCTGCAATTCCATTTCTGAACGAATCTGTGATAATGATGATATGAATGATGTTGGAAGTGGTGATGATGATAATGATGAAAATAATTGTGAAGCTATTTGATTATTCGATGATGATTTTGCAATTGCTTGTTGTTGCTGCTGTTGTTGTCGAAATAAAGTTGAAAAAAGTTCAAAACGTTTGATTACTTTCTCAAGAAATTGAACAGAAATTTCATGATTATCCAGAAATTGTGCCGCATATTGAACATTATTATTAACGATTGCATTGTTGAAAAATGGATCAGCCCATTCAATATTCACATCTGGATAGGATTTGGCTACAATCAATGCCTAATTATAAAAAAACATTAATAAATAATAATCTAAAATGTGTGTAAAATTTTTACCTCATAATAATGATTACATTGAGTAATGAAATCACGAACTCTATACATATCTAAATTGATTAGTATCGGTACGGTAGTCGATATATCCGATTGTAGAGCAGTGAATTTTGATTTATTAAAATGATATAATTGTAAAGCGATCAATTGTGCACGCCATGAACAATAATCAGCATTTGCTAATGATGATGCTTCTTTATAATTAATTTCGGCCTCTTGAAATTCAAACATTATCGCTTCTAGTTGTTCTTTCAATGCATTCGAATTATTCATATTCAACAATGAAGGTGATAATGTAAATGTTGGTAATGATGGTGATGTTGATATCATATCCGATAAAGAATTTGATGAAGAAACTTTTTTAGTAAATGATCGTATTGGTGTAGAGGTTTTCGGTGATGAATGTAAATTATTGAAATTTGTTTCTAGCAATAATTTTTCTGCACGGTTACGATGTTGATCGGCCATTTCCCGGTGAAGAAAAAATCGTATAGCAACCAATGGTAATAACTCATCAATATGTTCAGCATTTTTTAGATAATTTAACAATGCGATCCGTAATTGTGGTGTCTGTTACACGTGAAAAAAACAATGAAACGATTGAAAGAATATTCTTTGATTACTTACCCTTTGTACACGTTTCGAAAGAATCAATTCAAAACGATCACATTCACGAAACAAATCAAAACAATAGGTCATTTCGGAATATCGACCAATACCACTTAAAAGTCGTAAGATAAGATGAAAATAACGAGCTGGACGTAGTTCCTGTGTGATTAATAGACGAGTTTTTCGTAACACCAATGCAATACCACCGACATCACATTGAGCAGTGAATGATTCATGTGCACGAATATATAATTCAACAATCTGTACATAATATTTACGTTTGGCCAAAATAAAACGAATTTCTTTTTCAGTTTTCTGATGTATTACAGTTTGTTGTCCATCAACATTTGTATCCATATGATTAAAACCATTCCATTCATTTTCAAATATTGTTTTAGATTTTTTTACCCATTCCAATAGTTTATGTCCAAGTAGATATGGTTCTCTTAATAGACGATTAAGTACGGAAAATCTGGCCGAATTAAATTCTAGTTGAATTCGATCTAATTCAATCTCGGTAAACAATGTATACTGTGCATTGAATGGATCATCCCAATCTTTAAATTGTCGATCAACAATTCTTTGTACATCATTATAAACAAATTCGGCTAATAAATCAACAATTTTTTCTTCATTCGCAAGTCGATCATTAATACGACCCATAATTCGAATGAATTCTTTTGCACACATTATCGTTTCCGAATAATTATCAATCAATAATGACATTTGATTTTGATCCATTAAATTATCATTGATTTCTGTTGACGATTGATTCAAATGATTGACATCATTATGGATAATCATTGTTGATTCATCGATTTGATTGGATGAAAATAACATATCTAATAATTGACATGGATTAGTATATTCATCAGAATCTTTTAGTTCATCATATGATTTATGTAGAAAACAGGCAATCTTATAATGTAAAAGAATATATTCACAGAATTTCTCTCCAATTGTTGTAAAACTGGCCAATGTTTCTATCATTGTTATAATTTTTCTTTGATCATCGGTCAGATTACTACCAGATATTAGTGTAACTTTTGTAAATTTTCCGATCGAATTTGAACAATTTTCATCTTGATTTTTCATTTTCAATTGAACACTTAATGGTGAATCGGATATATCTTTTAATTGACCCGATGCTATCTGATTACAAGTTTGAATAATATCAAAATCATCATGATTATATCCAAAAAGTTTGGCCACTTCTACAGCTTTTGTATAGCAAAAATAATCCAATAGATTACCAATTATACGATTTAATGATTGATGTTCAACGATATCAATTTGACAATGTTTTAAACGTTGATTTTCAATATTACGACAAATATTAGGAAAACGTTCGATTAATTTGGGTAGAATTGATTTTTGAATCATAGATTTTCTAAAATATTGAACAATATCATTCCATATATCTTGCCAAGCAGTGATTACATTTTTATCAATACAATGTTTCATATCGGATGAATTTGTTTCCATTGACTGTATAAACATTTCACAATCAATAACTGATTTCCAAAATGTTAATTCAAAATTAAAATAATCCTGTATTAATTCAACACTATTGTTTGATGATGCATTCGAACTACTGATGGTTGAATCATCATCTGGTAGTTGTTGTTGTTGTTTGGTCGAATTGATCATCTTATTATTAATCGATTCATTTTCATTAATCATATCATTCAATATAGTTTCAATAGCAAGTAAACATTTAAGCAATACAAAACATTTAATTAACAATTGATTTGGTTCTAATTGTTGAACAAAACGTTCCATTACTTTAAATGCTGAATGCATTGATGGATCAATACGTATAACCTGTGACCAACAATCTTTCCAAAATGTTATATCAAAATTATTGCTATTATTAGATGATTCAGATTCAGCTTGTTTTGCTTTCAACATCCATTCATTGATAATAAATTCATTTGTATTTTCAATTGTTAATAAATTGATAATGTTTCTTGCTGCATCAAAATGACCAGATTGTTGTAGCTGTAGAATTAATGTTTTCAATACTTCACCATAACGTGATTCATCATTAGTATTTGCTTCGATCGAAAGTAATGGTCCAATCGGTAATGAATAATCCGGTACTTTATTCAAACATTGACTAAATAAATAGAATCGACGTATATCCGGTACATATTGATGAATTTCCAATGAAAATGAATCCTGTATTCGAACAAAATTATAATGACTAAGTAAAATACTTAATTCAAATTGTTGTGCAATCAATAATGAATTTGTAATCATTATTAATGAACATTTTTCAATCCAGCTACGTTGAAAAAAATCAGAAATTTGCCATTCATCATTATCATCACTATCATCATGAGAATCACTAATTGTCGATGATTTATTTAAATCATTTTGATTAAATTCTTCATCATTATATTCGGCTAATAATGTTTGAAAACGTTGTAGTAGATTATTTGTTTGATAATAATCTTTCATTACAAGGAATTCAATGAGAAATTCCAATAATGTATATAGAATCGGTATTTGAATATCAAATAATTTAAAACCTTGAAGAATTTTCTGATAATTTTTAGTATCATTCGATGTAAGTATATTGATTAAATTTAACATTCGTTCAGGTGACCAATGAATAAAACAATCAATTAATGAATCGGTTGTTGGATTTAATGAATTTCGTTGACAATACCAATCAATGAATGATTGTTTTGACGTAGTCGATACACTTGCAAGTAACCAACATGCAAATGATGGATATTTAAAACGATCAAATCCTGTTGATGATGAATCATTTGAACATTTGGATGATGATTGATTATGATCATTTTTAGGTGATTGAATTGGTGATGTAGATGATGAGGGAATTGTTTTGCCAATAACACCAATATTCGATAATGATGTTGGCTGATTATGAATATTCATTGAACAGGCTAACAATGCAAGCACCGGATTAGATAATGATACCGATGTATAAAGTAATGTAATTTGAAAAGATTTTTCAATCGAAAAAGATGATAATCCATCACGATGATAATGAGCAAAACCAACACAATTACGATAAATACTGAGAATAAGTTGAAGAAAATCTTTCGATGCTGTTTGTAATTGTAATTTGGATTCAAATAAAACCTGTACATTATTTGAACGTTTCTGTAAACTAATATCATCACCACTTAATTTACTTAACATTGATGATGAAAATAATGATAAATTTTCTGGACTATCTGATTCGATTGTAGCTAAATTATCGATTTGAGTTGCAGTAGTAGGTGGTGATCCAATTGGAATAGTTTTCTCTTTGAACAATTTTGAATATAAAACATTACGTGAAGATTCGGGTGTTTGTTTGGAACGTAAAATTCTTGATTCAGTTTCATTTAATGTTGTTACATTTACATGTCGAGAACTTTGAAATGCTTTGGTCAAATGTTCACCAATACATTGATTATTAAAATTAGCTTGTGATAAAAATTGTTGAAGATCTTCTTTAGGAATTTCATAAATCTGTGCAAATATAACAAATGCAAGCCAATTATCTTCGTTAGTACATTTATTGAGAAAAGTTCCAAAAGGACGTTTTAATGAATAATGACCGGCAAACATAAATAATGGTTTCCATTCAAAACATTCAATCAATAGATTACAAGATGATTCAATCATTGGTACAACCGATGTAATTGGTTCTTTATCATTTTCATCTTCGTTCATAAATTTACTTGATTTTTCGATAAACAATGAAAATAATTTTACATCTAACAATCGATTTGATTGTTGTCGTTTAAATTTTGTTGATGATTTTCGTATGGATGAATATTTTCGTTCAAGTGCAACAGTAGCTAAATCCAATAATTTTTGTGAACAAATTCGATCCGATTGAAAATGTGATCGACGTAAAAGTGATGCTAAAACATTCTGTTGTTGTTGTACACCTTGTAGATCAAGAAAATCACCAGCATATTCAATAATTAATCTTCCCAAAGCTAAATGTAAACGAAATTTTTCACATTCATTGAAAATATTTTTGTCCAATGTTTCACGAATCGAAGATCGATGACTTGATGATTTATATTTGACGGATGTCAATGTGGATTTAATTAACGATTGAAACAGAAGACAAGTACTAACTATCGATTGATTATTAATATTATTATATCCAATGATTGTTGATTTTTTCACTGCTTTAATCGATAATTTTTCATTGATTGAATGGCGATGATCACGAGATTTTCCATTGGCAGACATAAATTTACTGAACGTTAAAAATGCTTCAATTAGTCGAAGATTTTTTAGATAAAATGATGCATTCAAATTGGATTTAAAACCATATAATTCGGATAGATTTTTCTGTGAAAAATGTGGCATTTCATTTCGGTTTGAATCGGAATCATTTTTCTTGTTAGTAGATTTTGTAAGACAACGATTTGTTTGCCATTCAAATACATGACCAATATCGACAAAAGGTATAGCCTGTTGAAGAAATGTATAAATATTCAATGATGATGATGATGTTGAATTGGATTCCTGTTGAAAAATGGATGCACGATAAAAAAGTGGATATTTTGTCATAAGTTTATTGATAAATGTTTTGAAAAGATCTGGTTCTTGTCGATGTAAGGTATTGAAAAATTCATCAAAACCATATTTTGAACAGGATGATATAATCAATAAAATCATATCCAAATCGATTGATCCATTTGCAAATGTTTTGATTAAAAATTGAACATTTTCATCAAATGATTTTGAATGATTAATTATGTTTGCAGAGTCATTAACTAAAAATTGATGAACAAATATTGATTTTTCAAACATTTCATTATTTGAATGACAAAGATGATGCATAAAATTCAATACATCCAACATAGATTTTGATGATAATTTTTGAGAATCGGAGAAAAAAATATCAAAATCATTTTTATATCGATTATAGAGAAGATAAAGAAATTCATATTGTTTTGATTCAATACAATATTGCACTAATTGAGGAAATTTTATCACTTTATTTAATAATTTTTCTAAAATAGCACAGCCATTACCATAATAAGTGTTATTCACAGAAGATATATGATCGAAAAGAATATTTGTTTGGCCAATAATTCGAAGAAAATTGGACAAAGATAAAATTTCGACCATTAAATCACTAAAATCATATTGATTGAAAAAATATGGATTCGAAATCAATGAGAAAAAAATATCGGCTAAAAGAATTGATGGTGATTGTTGTAGTAAATATTTACACATTTGAATTGACATTGTTAGATTTAATGGACGAATTTGGCTACAATATGGTCGAATAATTTGATCCGATTCGATCCATTTTATCAATGATTTTGTATCATTATTATCGATTAGATATTGCCATACGGATAATGCATCAATATATGATTGAAAATTATCTTCGATAAAAATATGTTGACGAAATGGATCAAAAACAATTAGTTCATAATTATTGGCTGTCATTTCTTTCCAATCGTTTAACATTTGTGAATGTTTTGTTAATTCATTCAAAATTGGTAATAAAAATGATTTCGATAATCGAATATTTTGTTCATTATCATTCGAATCATCAATGTTAATAATCCATTCGATTGCAAGTTCTAATTTTTCTTCATCACTAATTAACAGAATTTTTGGTCGAAAACAAAAAATATACAAATCCATTATGGATAATTTTTGAAAATGTTTACCAAATTGTTGACGAAATTTTTCAAAATTAACATTTGAAGTAATTAAACGAACATTAGAATATTCATCATCATCGGTTGAATTGGCTAAACAAATAGCAAAAATATGTAACAATTTTTGTCGAATAATAGAATCCGAAGTTTGTATAAACAATGCATATAAAATATCAAAAACAGGATGACCAGTTTGTATTAGATAGAAATTGATTTCCGAAATCAATTGATCATCCACTAGCGAATCGGGTCGGGCAATTATTGTTGCTGTATATTGAACAATACGTTCGACAATTATATTCCATTGAATCAATTTTTCACCATAAGTACTGTTTGATTGTTGAGCAAATTTTTTCACAGCCCATACAAACAACGGTATCGAACCATTCTGTAATGAACGTTCAAATAATTCTTGAAATCTATGTGCATTTCCATATGTTTTCAATAAAGCTTCGATTGTTTTAAGCATTGTTGTTAATGATTCATCATGATCATTTGAATCATCAATCGATTTTGATTTTATTGCTTTCAAACTTGTTGATTCAAACGATAAAAGTGTATTATTCAATTGTATTCGATGATCAAGACAATCACGCATTGAATTGATTTGTTTGATCAAAAGTAATAAGATTCTTTGTTTTACTACGTATAATGAATTTTCATTTTTTGAATTTCCATCAATTATTGTGGCTGATGTTGGTAATGATCGTGATGATGTATCCGTACAGATAAAAACATTGTCACCATTATCATTATTATTATCATCATTATTATCGATTTGAATAGACGAAACAGTCAATATAAGCTGATTACATGAATGAATTAATGATCGATATAAAAGAATGGAGAATATTTTTGCCGCATAATCACCGCTCATCTGTATGGTTGCGAATGAAATGATTTTATTAACAACATTTTGCCAATCATGAAGAAAAAATCTTTCCAATGATATTGCCTGTTCATTTATGGTTGAATTACATAGATCTTGTTTAAGAAAATAACGAAATGCTAACATATTGAAAAAAAAGAGAAGAATAAATGAAAACAAATCCACCATGGAATTTGAATGATTAACAAATAACAAACTTACTTTCAATCTGAATACGTAGAAAACATTTTACCTGTAATAATTGTCGATTACGAAGACCTAATTCTAATGCTGTAAAATCCATTGCTATATATCAATGGATTGTCATCGATTATTTACTATAAAGAACTTCCGAAGAAGAAAATCAATTCAACAAATGATTTTGTTAGAAAAACATGATCATCAAAGGCGTTCCATCAAGAAACAAAAAAAAAATCAAAACAAACATAAAATCACGTGATCCAAACACAATCCCAAAACAGACATGCGCAACAAATATAAGCAAAAAAATTTGGATCAATTTGAAATTTTTTGAATAATTTATTAATCGATTGATAAAATGATTTGATTTGTTTTTTTTTTGCTTTTCATACATATATAAAACTAGAATAATTATAAGGAAATGGATGTTTCTCTGTGTCAGTGGTTGTAGAAAAACTGTAAATGCAATACTTTTTTTTTCGCGACATAAAATAATTTTCTGATGTGGATGTTGTTCATTTTGTATCAAATTGAAGAAAAAAAATTTGAAAATAAAAAATTAAATTTAGCAAAAAAGAAAATTCAAGATGATTAGATACATTTTGATAATGATGATGATGATGATGATGATACAAGTGATAATCAATGTTGCAAATGTTTTAGGTTAAGTTTTTCGTTGCGTCGTTTGTTCTTGAAATTTTTTTTTTTGTTTTTTTGAAATATCATTTCAGAATTGTAAAATATATTTGTTGTAATATAATAGGATCGATAGATAATTTGTGATAACCTATAGTTTATTTATAAATATATATTGTAGACCTAATTAATATGAATGTGTGTGTGTGTGTGTGCGATGAAAAGCATAAGTGTAAGGATTAAGGTAAAAGGAAAAATTAAAAATTAAAAATAATAAGATAATGAGAGGCAATTTTGTTTTGTCCGTCTATTCTTCAAATAATATTGTCCATTTCGATAATTAAACAGTAATCGAAAAAAAAACTTGGTCATTTGATTTTTGGATTCAACATTCTAGGATTTCCAATTATGTTGTGAATGATGACCACTGGAACCTCGACTTGAAGAATGATGTCCGCTACTATTACCGCTTGCACCTGGCAACATTTCCATTAATAATTGTCGTGGTATACTTGCCGCAGCAGCTGCATTCAATGCCATTGCCGCCGAACCGGATGATTTGTGTTGCGGTTGTTGTTGTTGCTGATTATTAGTCAATGATGCAGCCAGCAAGCTTGAATAAAGGAAATTAGGGAAATTCAGTAATTGGGCCATTGTCGATGCATTCGGATTATTTCCAACTGATGGGCCTGTAGATGATGATATTGGTTGCGGTGGTGGAATTTGTGGTGTTGATGCAGCCAACAACTGTTGTGCCAACAATAATGATTGAGCCTGATTTATCTTTGGAAATGATTGTAGTTGTTGTAGCAAAGTCAAGGCTGCTGCAGCTGAATTCGTTGTTCCGCTTCCAGCAGCGCCAAATAAACTTGAAGGGCCAAAATTTCCACTTGTGGTGGAAGCTGCTGATGGCCGGGACGAACCACTATGTGCAGCTGGAGGCGTTGATTGTTGTTGTGGTGGTGGAGGCGCTGGTTGTGGATTTGCCTGCGGCATTAATAAAGCTGCCATTGCGGCCAATTGTGATGGCGATAATGATGAAAATGGCAAATTTTGTGCCTGTTGTAAGTTAAAGTTTGCAGCAGCTGCTGCCATCAGAGCAGGATTATTTGATGCGGCAGCGGTTGACCCGCCGAATAAATTGTTTGCTGCTGCCGTCAAATGATTCGATGAAGATTGCCTTGATGATGATGACGAAGAATGTTGTGGTTGATTTTGTAAAACATTTGTATTTCCCGGAATCGAGGCAGGCGACACAGTTCTATGAGATGCCGGTGTTACAGGTGATGGTGATGGTTGTTGTGGAGGTGGTGTGGGTATTGATGCAGCAGCAGCCGTTGCTGTCGCCAAATGCTTTTCAATTTCTTCAAATGTTTTCGAATATGATGAAACTTCTTTCTGATAATCATCGCTAATTATCTTTTTCATATTTTTCGATACACATTGTTCACAAATAACAGAAGGCTTCGATGGATTCGAACGATCTTTCCATTTCCAAACTGGTGTAAAATCTGTACCACATTGCACACATTCGAATGGTTCCGGTGGTTGCGGCATTTGATTTGAACCGGTCAAATAATTGACAACAGTCTCAAGACCAACATAATAAATGAATTCAGGATTCGATGGATTCGGTATAAAATGCATTTCCGAAGGAATCATTTTTGGTTGCGGTGGCTTGTCAACATGTTTACGCATTGCTTGTTTCAATGTGGCCAATTGTTTTTGTAATAAAATTTGTTCCTTTGTCAAAACAACATTGCTACCACTGCCATCAACTACCTGATGATTGCTTACCGGTGATGGTACATTTGGTGGTATAATCTATAAATATCAAATAATGACTGTTACATCGATTAATATGAAAATAATGAAATACCTGATTATGTTTCGACGATGATGAATGTCGTAAATCTTGGTAAGTCAAATTCGGCGAACTCGATGAAATGGCACGATTATTCGAAGATGAAGTCGATTTCATGGATGATGTATGAGCAGCATTCAAATTAGCGTGCGGTGAATCCGGATGACCAATACTACTGCTGTTGCTGCTATTTCGATGTTTGGTCAAAACGGGAGGAGGTGGTGGTGGTGCTGCAAGAGGATTATAATTATATGGGGAACGCCCGGCAGTAATTCCATGATGATAAGTGGGATTATTTAAATGTGCTGGTGATGGTGTTTTTACTGAAGATGATGAACCATGATGACTACCGCTTGATGATTTAGACATATGTGCTTGCATCGGTTGTGGTTGTTGTTGATGATGATGATTGGTGGAGAAATTCAAAGCGGCGGCGGCAGCAGCAGCTGCAGCAACAGCCGAATTCGATGAATGATAATTTTTCGTATTATTACCGATATGTGCTGGTGTATGATGCATACCAGTATTAACCGATGGTGAATGATGATTCGAATGTGCAACATTATTATTGATTAAATTGGCCATATTTTTATGATGGACATGACTACCACCACCACTACCACTTGTTGGCATTGAAAAATTTAATAGAGAATTAAATCCAGCAGCCGAATATGGTGATGTTGTTGATGTTGATGAATGATTCTGTTGCTGTTGTTGGGCTAATAAGTGTTGAGCAAATTCTCGTTGTAAAGAGGTCAAATTTAAACCACTAAATGATGATAAATTATTAGCAAATGCTGCTGCAGCAGCGGCCGATGCTGATGAATTGGTTAGATTATGTGAAAGAAGCTGTTGTTGTTGTTGTTGTTGAATTCGATTAGAATGATTCTGTTGTTGCTGTTGATGATTTCCATGTCCATGTTGTTGATTTGAATTCGTCAACATCGTTGTTGAATCCTGTTGTTGTTGTTGTTGTGATATGTTTTCCTTCAATTGACTTTGTCGTATTTTTTTCAAAAATAATAATTTCATCTCTTCATTAAATAATCGTTGTTTTAAACAACGTATCAATTTTATTTTGGCTATCGATTCTTCATGAACATCATTATCATTAATATTTTCATTTTCCGTTTGTTGTTGTTGTTCATTTTGAATATTAAGCATATCGTATATGTCATTATTATTTCGTTTTTTTCTTTTCAACATTATTGGATTATCATTATTATTATTATTATGATTTGATTTATCATCATTATTATCATCAACATCATCATTATCAATAGAATTAGCATCACCATTTGAATATGGTAAAATATTATTATGTTGTCTTTTTGTTCCGGATATGGATAAATCTTCAACAATTGATGTTGATATGTTTGTCGTTATAGGATTATCATTTGAACGTGCACGTTTCTGACTTCTAGTCATTGGTGTATTTACATAATTTTCCGACAATGGTTGTCGCTCTTTTGTTCGAATTTTTGTTTGTGATCCATTCGGTAATGATTTCGATAGATCCAATGTGATCATTTCATCTTGTTCATTAATAACTTCTGATGGAGATTTTTTCACCTCTTCTTTTTCCGTTTCTTTCTCTTCGCTATCACCTGGTTTTTCTTTGATTTCAGATTTGACCACTGTTGTCAAATCCTCCATTTCATCATTCATATCATTTGTTGAATCTTGTGTTGAATCCTCTTTATCATCTTGGTCAGCATTCTGTTGGTCATCATTATTTTTCTCTTCTTCTTCATTGATCTCTGGCTTATCAGTTTCCATTTTATCATCAATTTCGTCTGGAAAAAAGGAAGAGAAATCGTTTTTTCAAAGTTATTTAAAAAAATAATATTTTAATTACCTTTAGATTCATTTTCATCGTTTTTGTTTTCATCATTCAATTGTTGTTCACTATCATTTTGTATTTCATTATCCGATTCATTATCATTTGTCAATCCGTTTATTGCGGTTGATTCATTGGATTGATCAACCAATGTTGTTTTTGTTGTTAAATCATCAGAATCATTATTATCATCAACTTTATTTTGAACTCGATCATCTTGATTATTATCATCTTTATCGGTATTTATTTCATTTTCAGATTGTTTTTCCGTTTCTTTTTCATCATCAACATCATCTTGAATAATATTATCATTATTATCAACGGTTTGATTATCATTCTTTTCGATTATTTTTTTCGTTTCATTAACATCATCATTATTATCATCATCTTTTAATTGATCGATTAATTTTTCAACATCATTATTTGTATCACAAAAATCTTTCGATTGACTATCATCATCATCGATTGACATTTGTTGTTGTTCATCATCATCATTATCATCACATTTTTGATGATTAATTTCAATATTATTATCATTTATAATTGATTTATTATTATCATCATCGTCATTCGATTCTGTTGATTTCATCATTTCAACATTATCAGTTGTTGTTGTTGTTGTTTCATTGATTAATATATCGTCGTCTTTTGAACTCATTTTTTTTAAAATCAAAAATTCATATCATTTCACTGAAAAACAAAAACAAAATTGAAGAATTTTTACCACACACACACAAACAAACACACACCGAATGAAATGAAATGTTGCTCAATTCGAGAATTATTTTATTGAGCGAACGAAAACAAATAAACAACAACAACAACAAAAAATGTCAACCAAAGTGATTTACTTTCTTCTTTGTAAAAAATATTGATCGAATGATGATGATGATGGGGTAGAAGAAGAGGATAATCAACAAAATGGATGATGCAAACTTGATCTGTTGCTTGTGTTCGATTCAATTCAATTGGATATTTTCAATATATAATCGAGTTTGCTCAAGATTTATTTTAGAATTTTGTTGTTGTTGTTGTTGTTATTTGCAAAATAATATTGCTCATCGTTGTTGTTTTCATATCAATCAATCAATCAATCAATCAAAATAATAAAAAAAAGTCGAGAGTAAATTTAAAAAAACAAACAAACAAACATATTTTCGATGGACTTTTTTTCCGTTTCTCTCTTGCTCACTTATTTTTTTTTAAATATTGTTTTTTCGTATGACAATGATGATGATGAGGATGGTTTTTCATTCGTTGTTTTGTGTGTTGAACATAACAAAACAAAGAAATGGAACAAAACAAAAAATCTTTCTTCTTTCGGATCAGATCAGTTGTTGTTTTTCGATATTTTAGATTATAATATATGTGGCTTAGTGAAATGAAAAGAATGAAAGAAACCCGGTTTTATATATTAAAAAAGAAAATTTTTTTCTCTTTCTCTTTTGGTTTTGGTTTTCAATCCGATTCGATTCTATTTTTATTCATCAATTGTTAATGAGACTTTTTTTTTGGATGGATACATTTAGATTTGCTATATTTTTTTATTTTGATTATGTGCAAAACAAAAAACAAACAAACAAACAAAATGTTGACACAATTCTTGAAATAAATATCGAAAATAGAATCATTTGATAATGAAAATGAGCCAACTTTTAATTTGTTGTTGAATAAATTTCAATTATAAAAAACAAATGAAAATTTTTCTTCATTTAAAAAAAAAACAAAATCTTAATTAATAATGATGATGGTGATTATAAATGGTGATCATTGATGATGGACGAATCATTGATGGAAAAAAAAATAAAGAAAATTCGATGTGTGTTTGAGAAATGAATAATGTTATGATGGTAGTAGTAGTAGTCGATAGTAGAAAGAGTAGAAGTATACGATAATAGTGGCGGTGGTGGTTTAATTTTTATGAGCGGCGGTTACGAACAAAAAAAAATATATGAACAAATTTTCGATACTATCGATTATGATTTTCGGTGCGAAAAAATAAACAAGAATCGATTGTCGGCAAAAAAATTTTTTTCCCGATTTTTAAACTGAATGAATTTTGTTTCACTTTTTTGTTTTAAAAATTTCGTTTTGAAATTCTTTTCTTTTGTAGATTGATTATTGATGATTTTGTTGAAAAAAATTACAAGCCTGTTGATGTTGATGAACGGAAAAAGAAAAGAAATCAACCAAAGTTTTTTTTGAAACAAAATATTCTTAACAATAGAAAAAAAAATTCAACTTGTAATAATTTTTGATCGATTTGTTATTGTTGTCATTTTCATTTTATGAAAAAAAGAAGAAACACCATGGAAACACTTAAACGATCAATGATTGACAAATGTACAACAGGATGATTTACATTTGGCAATTGAATGAATGATTCTTTATATTCGATTCTATGTTTCCAATTATTTCACATATAATATAAATCGATTGGAATAATTTTCAATTCTTTTGTATTTCGCTTGGTTGTTAACAGGAAGAAAACTGGAGAATTTAATATTTAAAAAAAAATCGATTCGAAATAAAACAATCGATCAAAAATTAAGACACACAGACACTGCCACCACTATAAGGGGGAGAAGGGGGTTATAAAAAAAAATTTATTTTCTCCCAAAAAAAACATCATTAATCAGAATATTGTGTAATCAACGATAATGATGAGCAAAGAAAAAGAAGAAAAAAATCAAACTGAGCAAGTTTTTTTTTAAACAAACAAACAAACTAAAAAGCGCGACTCAAGCTTGTCAATGGCTGGCTGTGTGTGTGTGTGGTGTGTTAATTGATTAATTAATTAACACAAACACACACACAAAAGCAATGTTCAATATTTCTAAACAAAAAAAAAACTATATCGACTTATTCTTGTCATAGTTTTGATAGAATGGTCAAAATAGAAAAATATTTGAAAAAAATTGATGTTTTTTGTTTTTCCACCGTTTAGTAGTGGTATTTCGGATAATGTTTTTTTGTTTGGATTCATTTGAAATTAGAAAATTATATAGAAATTCATTCTAATCGTCGACATAATGGATAAATGTAAACAAAACAAAAAAAAAGAACCAAAAAACGATGCTGTAATCCAAAATTTATCTAACTAACTGAATTCTGTGTTTGGTGGCAGTTAATTGAATTCAATAAAAAAAAATTGATTCCGAGGTAAATGGATTGATTCCTGGCAATTTTGATTCATCGGAAAACATATCATCGGAAACACGTGTGCTGGCTTTTCGATCGAGAGATAATAAAATTCATAATCTTGTGACAAAAATGATGATAATTGATGATGGTGATAGTGCATCAAAAAAAAAATGTTTCTTCCATATTATCATCCAAAATTTTCTCACAATCAAAAAACAAAAAAAAGAAGATATCTCATGATGATAAATGAATGGAAAGTCACGTCAACAAAATGAAATAAAAAAAAAAACAATTTAGTTAAATATTTGGATCAAAATCTAAATGGCTATCCTTTTTTTTTTGTTTACTAATGTCTACTGTATATTTTGTTGTTCATACCGCGGTATTATCAAAAATATATTACCATGTCCAAATGAATTTGAATCCAAAATGAAATTCAAAAAAAAAAAAATTTTTTGTTGTCATTTCTTTCTCTTCCTTTGGGAAACCAAATGTAGTGGTTGAAAAACATTCCAAACATATATATAGTAGCGGTATCAAAATTTTTCTTTTTGTTTTCGTTTTCCACATCCATCCATCCATATGGATTCATTTTGTTTTGATCATTTTCATTATCATCATCATTATTATCATCATCGTCGCATACAAAGTTGAGAGGAAAAGAGAATGAATGAAAGAAAAAGAAGAAAGAACGAAAAAACATATTTTTTCCAACGACAAAAACAAAAACAAACGGATAAAGTTATAGTCACAATTGATAAAAAAAGAAAGAAAACTCTTTTTTTTNAAAAAAAAAGAACCAAAAAACGATGCTGTAATCCAAAATTTATCTAACTAACTGAATTCTGTGTTTGGTGGCAGTTAATTGAATTCAATAAAAAAAAATTGATTCCAAGGTAAAAGGGTTGATTCCTGACAATTTCATCGAAAACATATCATCGGAAAACACGTGTGTGCTGGCTTTTTGATCGAGAGATAATAAAATCCATAATCTTGTGACAAAAAAATGATAATTGATGATAGTGCATCAAAAAAAAATGTTTCTTCCATATTATCATCCAAAATTTTCTCACAATCAAAAACAAAAAAAAAAGAAGAAAATATCTCATGATGATAACTGAATGGAAAGTCACGTCAACCAAAATGAAAAAAAAACAACAATTTAGTTAAATATTTTGTATGGCTATCCTTTTTTTTACTAATGTCCTTTGTGTTGTTGTTCATTCCGGTATTATCAAAAAAATATTACCATGTCCAAATGAATTTGAATCCAAAATGAAATTTTGTTTGTTGCCTTTTTCTTTCTCTTCCTTTCTGAAACCAAATGTAGTGGTTGAAAAACATTCCAAACATATAGTAGCGGTATCAAATTTTTTTTTTGTTTTGTTTTCGTTTTCCACATCCATCCAATGGATTCATTTTGTTTTGATCATTTTCATTATCATCATCATCATTATCATCATCGTCGCATACAAAGTTGAGAGGAAAAGAGAATGAATGAAAGAAAAAGAAGAAAGAACGAAAAAACATATTTTTTCCAACGACAAAAACAAAAACAAACGGATAAAGCTATAGTCACAATTGATAAAAGAAAGAAAGAAAACTCTTTTTTTTTCAAACATCAAGGCGTGGATCAGGCATATAGAATATATACGGCCAGTGATTGTGACTATACCAGAAAACAAAAAAAAACATTTGTTATTGTTATGATCGAAAAAAATTTGGTAGTGGTTAATAAAATAGTTAATCAGCAAACAATCATCACTAACAACAACAACAACAACAACAATAACAATAACAAACAGCATTTTGGTTGTTGTTATTTTTTTTGTATATAAATTTTCCTATTTTGTTATTTTGATATTAAATGATGAATTGAAACGTTTTTTTGTTTTCCATTTTCAATTTCATCATTTTTTTCTTTTTCCTCTAAATGTTAAACGAAAAATAATGATTTATCAAGTGTGTGTGTGTTTACAATCGCAAATCATCATTCAATAAAAACTAAAATCAAATTAGAATCTTCACTTTAATTGCCTTTTTAAACAAATCAAAAATCATCGGTGTGCGTTTGTTTGTTACGTTTTTTTTTCTCCTTTAATCAATAAGTTTAGAAAAAGAAAAACCAAACTCAAAATTTTTTCGTTTATTAAAATCACACACTTTGTTAAAAAAACGTGCGAAAAACAACAAAACAAAAATCCATTGCTTTTTTTCTTCAAAATTAATTTTGATTTTGATTTTTGTTGTATCATCATCATCATCATCATTATCATTATCAGTGTGATATGTGTGTATGTCACATTGGTGAATATCAATACCACACCATCAACAAATACAAAACGAGCTTTCTTTTTTCATTTGATTTTTGTTGTTGAATGTCTTTTCGTCATATTTATGAGTGGTAATCGAAAATCGAATTGATTTTTTTGTTTTGTTTTCAAGTTTTAAACACGGTAAGTGAAAAAAAATTTGTTCGATTTTTTTTGGAATTTTTTGTTTTGATTTTCATCTTTAAAATAGGTGTTTTGGTGGTCAGAATTTTCTAAAAAAGCAAAATTTTTCTATTGTAGAAAATCAAATGTTGATTAATGAAAAAATGGATTCATTACGTGAACAAGTGATGATAAATCAATTTGTTGTTGCAGCCGGATGTGCACATGATCAAGCTAAACAATTATTACAGGCTGCACATTGGCAATTTGAGGTAAATTTCAATAATGATTTGTTTATGTTTTGATTTCGGAAATATTTTTTTCCATTTTCATTTTCAAAATAGACTGCATTAAGTATATTTTTACAAGATTCACCAATTTCTGTACATCATCATCATGGTAATAATCATTTTCAGGTAAATTTTTTAATTGAATTTGAGAAAAATTATTGAATTGAATTTTTTTATCCTTTTTCGCACTTCGTATCAGATGTGTACACCAGCCAATACACCGGCAACACCACCGAATTTTCCCGATGCATTATTACAATTTTCAAAATTATCAACAAATAATCAACAAGATATATCATCATCAATACCACAACGAACATTTAATAATTCAAGTCAACAACATTCATCACCAAATGGTCCAGGAAGACATAATCATAATCATCATCGAAATCAAAATCAAAATATTAATCATAATCATCATAATCATTCATCAACGACACAACAACAACAACAACAATTACGTTCATCACCATTTATAAACATTTCATCATCATCATCAACAACAAAAACAACACCTTAGAGCCTTTTGGAACACACACAAGCAAAACAAATGTCCACATAAATAACATGATAATCCCCCCATATATAATCCATTTAATCAGTTAGCAAATTTTTGATTGTTTGTTTTTTTTCTTTTGTTTTTTTTCATTTCAGAATCCTATATCCTTATCAATGAATATGAATTTGAATATTGGATTCTTTTTGCTTGCTCTCTTCAATTGTGTCAAATATTTTTTTTAAAATTAATTTACGAATTGCACAAACAAAACAAAAACAAATTAACACTTAAACACTCTCAAGATAAAAGATTTTACATTTTATTCTAATTTGATCATCACATCACATCTCTTCCCACAAACAAACACATCACACATACATCACATTATAATTTGTTGTTCAAATTCAAATACAAAAAAAAATATTCTTATCATCTTCTTATATTTGATTATCTGATTCTATTCAATTTTTTGGATATTAACAATCAACAATCTCGTGTATAATCTTTTGTGTGTGTGTTAGTCTTTAATTAACAATTTAAATAATTTTCAACAAAAATCTGTGCCCATTCTATTATTCTTTTCTTTGTTTCTTTGGTTTCTTGTAAATTAATTTTTTCTTTTTTTGTTCAAATTTATAATTTCGAAAAACAAAATTACATTTAATTTCATATCTCTTTGGTTCTTTTTCCCCCCACACTATCGAAATGTTAAAGTTTAAGCATTTTAAACAACAAAAATAAGAAAATGATTGTAGTTTCAAATATGTTATCAATTGATTTTCTTTTTTGGGGGGGAATGTTCATTTATTTTTTCATTTAAAACAACAAAGAATAAATAAAATTTAAAATTATTTTAAAAATTAAAAAATCCTCAAAAGTTTTGGGAAATGATTTTTTCTGGTCTATATTACCAATCGATAGATGGCGTCATGTGAATCATAAGTATTTTAAAAAAAAGATTTCCCTTAAAAAATCAATGATCAAATAATCTTTGTACCCTGATTTTTTTTGTTTGATTTTTGTTTTTCCTGTTGTTATTTCTTTGGATTTAAATGATTATCGTCATTACAATAATCATTCGGTGGTTCGTTTAAAAGGAAAAATACGTGTTTTTTCATGTGTAAACAAAATTTTCACCGGTTTTTTTTTGATTTGATTTGAAAATCCGCAACAAAAAAGAAATTCAACCAAAATCTTTGATCATCTTTTTTTTTACTTTTTGGTTAGCCAAATTTGTTCGCCGCACTCTTCAGGTTTAGATTTGTATCAATATTTACTCAACAATAACAATGACAATCATCATCATCATGAACATTTGTTACAAATCTCGGTAACCAAAGAAAGAAAAAATCTGTAAATTTTCCATTGATCAATATCTCTTGATATATTTGATTAAAGTATTTGTCGTTTGTCATTTGTCTATGTGTGTAAACCAATGTAAAACAAGATTTATTCGATCATAATCATCATCATTATCATCGTTAGAAACACACTGAAAGGCAAACCAATTTCAGGCAATAAATCAATTGATTTTTTCATGTTAAAAAAATTGGGATTTTTGAACAAAAAAAGAAGAAAGAAAAGAAGAATTTGTCAATATTCTCTACACACATCAAACAGAACAGATTTGTATCATTTTCTTTTTTTATTATCGAAAAAATCTGTTATCTGGGTGGTCATCATCATCATGGTTTCATTCATTCATTCACGCTTCTGTGTTTGTTTGTTCAAACTTTTTTTTTCAATAAAAAATTCATCGATACCGACGCACACACACACAAAGAGGATAGAATCGATGTAACACACCAAACACGTTGATTGATCTTTTTTTTTCCTTGATCATCTTTTTATCTGTGGTCAATGATGATGACCTTACAGACTGGAAGTCCGAAAATTTAATTTTTCGATATTTTCGTGTTCACGTTTTTTGCTTTCTGTCTATGATGATGATGATGATGATGATAAAATACGTCACAACTTTGTTGCTGTTATTGTTAATTTAATTGACTTTTAACACTGAAAGACCTCCATAGGTGAAATATTTTGAGGTTTTTTTGAAAAGCCAAAAAATTTTCTCACACATCATGAATAACACTTACATCAAGACAAACATATTTTTTTTTTTTGATTATAATTAGATCTTAATTGACTTTTATTTCCAGTTGTTGTTGTACTGGGTTAATGATTTTTTCAAGTTTGGTTTGGTTAGGGAAAGATTACCTTCAATCGATTTTGTTTTTTTTTCTCCTGAATCAAATCGTTTTTTGCTGACCTGACCTGATCGATCGATTGATTGAATTTTTCTCCCCACGGTCTGTGTGTGTGTGTGGTCAAGTGTTAAACATTTTCAATTTACACCTTTTGGTTTCTCATTTTTTTTGGTGGTTAACTTTTTTCAATAATGGTCCCTATGGAACTTATCATCATCATTTAATAATGATGATTATTGATCACTATGGTCAATTATTGATTACCGGATGATTCTTGTTTAATGTTTGGAATATTTTTTGCCTTCATTCATTCATTCATTGATTTTCTTCACGATTCAATTCAATTTAATTTAATTCAATTTTACCTGTTTGGATTGAGTTCCATCAATCTGATGATGATTGATTTGATTTGATTTTTAAGAAAAAAATTGAATTCTATTTTAAAATCATCATCATCATTTGATTCATCGATTGATGAATCAAAGAGAAAATCAAATTTGCCCAAAACAACAACAACAACAACAAAAATAATGAAAAACAATTTCGAAACAGATTAAAAATCATCAAATTTGAAGCAGGTAGCACACCTGTTTTCTTTCTTCTGCATGTTCATGTTGAACATCTTGATCTTTTATCATTATTTCTAAATTATCAATTGAACAACAAGTCAAACAAATTCAATTTGTTGCTGTTGTTGTTGTTGTTTGATGATTGATTAGAAATTTGGGCTTTTTTCTTCCCAATGATAATAAGGATGTTTAAAATCTAATTATTAAATGATAAATAATTTCATTGTAAAAGCTGATCAAATTTCGAAAAAAAACCAAACCAAACAAACCAAAGCAAACATTAATTGTCATTGATGATTGATAGAGATTTCTGGTTGTCATCATTGAAAGAAAATAGACATTAGTGATGATGACAGGAACCTAAATACAAAACCTAAAAACATTGAATCTGTGTGTGGGGGCTGTTGTGGTAACTGATTCGAAACAACAACAATGGAGATAACATTGGAATCAAAAATTGAAATGAAAATATTTCTCATTAACACCATCACCACCACCACCACCACCATGGCCATAACAACCAAGCAGGAAAAATTCAATTTGATTCGTAACGAATTTCGTGAAAAAAAACAACCAAAGAAAAACGGATATATATTCATCATTTATGTGTAATAATTCAATTTTTTTTGTGGATTGATTGATTGATTGATCGATCGATTCTTTTTTGGGATAGGAGTGAGAAAAAAAATCATTTCATTTGTTTCATCCAAACAACCAAAAAAAAACTATCTAAATCCAATTGATTGTTGTCATTTCTTGTCAAAAACAACAAGAAACATTCTTCTTTCTCGCGAAATCAGATTGAGAAAATCATTTTGTTTTTTTTGTCATTTTGAATTGTCATTCGCTTAATTATTGACAAACAAAACAAAACAAAACAAAAGTCAATCTTGAATGACAATTACAAAAATCAAAATGTCAAAACAAACAGATTTTGGAACATACAAAACAAAATGATCCATAATGAAAAATGACAGGTTAAATGACATGTGAACAAAAACAAAAAAAAAATAGTCAAATTATGACAGGTATGTTTGTGTACCCTTGTGTGCACAAGGTGTAATTCATTTTTCTCTTTCTCACTCTCATTTTGTTTCACAAAAAACATATCTCAAGTGAATTTCAGATAAAATTCTTTAATGTCTTGATTTTTTTTCATTATAATGATTTAATTAAGATTGATAATTAGGATGTAAATTTAATAATTATCAATCGGTTTTCTTCGGGGGGAGAGAGAGAGACACGGTGATAAAGCAATGTTGAAACGATCAAAACATTATTTTATTTCAACAACAACAACAAAATTTATGTTTTTTTAGATATGAACGAATGCAGGAAGAGAGAGAGAGAACGAATCAAAAATTTTGTTGAAATACAAACCGTATCCAGGAAAAAAAACCGATTTAGATATGGAAAATTTCAATTTTACATTCGCGCGAATTAAATTATCATTATTATCAGTTTGAATGATTTTGTTTGTTTGTTGTTTTGTTTTCTGTTTTCTGTCGAATCATTTTTCATTCGATTCGACATTATTCGGTTATTTGTGTATTTGATGGTGCAAAAAACATTTCTTGCACAACCCGATAAAAAACATGGAATTTGATTTTGCCACTGTTTTCTTCTTCTTCTTCTTCTCCTTTAAATTAAATCAAAATTTCAAACATCGATTTGATTATCATTATTTGATCTTTCGAATGAATTTCATATTTTGATAACTACCTTTGATTGGAATATTTTAAAAAATTTCTGTTTTTTTTTTAAATTATTAATCATATCTGATCTTTTTCAATGGAAAAAACACTTCAGCATCATTTTAATTTCATTGACAAATGTTTCTTTGATTGAAAATGGCATTCCAGAAACAAAACAAGACAAAACAAATGACTGAGAGGGAGAGGGAGAATGGAAAAAAATCATTTATTCAGATTTATTATCAACAACAACAACAACAGCAAATATTTGAATTGAAAATTATGACAGGTAAATTTTGTTTTTTGTTTCTTTTTCATAACATTGAAATCGTCGAAATACAATTGTCTGTCTTGTTTCGTGTTGTTTCTGTGTGTGTGTATCTATGTAACCATCCATCCATCCATCTATCCAACAAATCAAAGCAGCTGTTTGATTATGATTAATAATGATTGCCAATCATTAATGTAACTGTTCTATGGTTTGAATTTTGTTTTGTTTTGTTTTGTTTTTTGGTTGTTGCTAACGATGATTTTTTCCCCTTGTTGTTGAACAAAAGTGTGAATCAATCGAACAACAACAAAACAATTGACAAGCCTGAAATATTTGAAAAAACAAAATCTGATTAGTTCATTTGAATGTTTTTTTTTCCTTTGTTAAAATTATCATTCTTAACGATCCTCCTACTTTTTTTCTTTTCCAAAATTATATCCCCTTTGTTTTCCACACACAGACAGATATATTGATTATATAGATGAGTTAGCTACGCCTACTTTTTTCCCAAAATAATTTGTGTTTGAGAGTGAAAACAAAATGTAAATCTACATCCACATTGTTTCATTACATAATGTGATTTTTAAAGATGATTTTAAAAATGAAAATCATTAATTTTGTTTTTTTTTCATTTTCACATTTCACATTCATCCATTGAATCAATGGTATTAACGTGCGAATATAGCAGAACAAAAGCAGAATTCCATTTACAAGAAACAAAACAAAATTTTAATTCCATTCTCTTTTCTGTTGTTTAGTTTTAGTTTGGTTTCGGTACGATTAGTGATGATAAAATGAAAATTATTATTTTTCTGTTGTCTCATCATCATCATCATGATTGTTGAATTATGATCATTAATTCATCTTTAGCTATTGAAGTGGTGTCGGTGTAAATATGTTTTTTTTTGTTGTTGTTGTTTGTTCGTTGTTTACCCAAAAGAATTGAACATGATGATAGAAGTTTCTGGTTAAAAATAGAATAAATTCGGGCAAAATCAGCAATTTTTTTTTCTTGTTGTTGTTCTTCTCATTTAGTTTTTTTTTTGGATTTTTGTTTGGCATTTTCTTTGCGAAAATGATGAGATCTCTCTCCCTCTTTTAGCCTATACGAAATTGCTAAATTGATGATGACTTGTTTGGTTGGTTGGTTGATTATTTTTGAATTAATGATTCAAGAAAAATGAAAGAAGAAGAAAAAATCCAGATTAATTTTAGCCTTTTGTTTTTTTTTTGTTGCACAGACTCTTTATACTTTGCCTAACATTATTATCATCATCATCATCATTTTGATCGTTATTGATGAATCTTTTTTGTTGTTGTTGTTTTGAGTATGTATTCATTGTATAATAAACAACCATAACCAATTAGATTTAAGGTTAACGCCTTTTTTATTTAAAAATTGATGCTTGAAAACAGGAAAAAAAGGCGGAGCATGAACAACATATACACATCACTACTATACATATAACAGACAAATAAAAAAGTAGGTGGTGCCTAGGTGAAATAGAATCCAATCCGGTACTCTTTCAACAACAACAGTAAAAAACAATTGGTCAGAATTTAAACTCCGCCCTATTTTATTTTGTTGTTGATGTTTTTTTCCACATTCAACACAAATTTTCTATGCTTATTTTTATCTGTGAAATTATGTTATATGCAACAAATCATCATCATCAAGAAGAAGAAGAAAAAGTGTACAAAATTTTACAAATTTTTTAATTTCACAAAAGTTATCGACAAGAATCATCATCACCGTAAAAGATCCTGAACAAAACTGTATTTTATTTTTTTATCGTTGAATTTCCAATGTGTCAATGTGTGTTATCCATTCAGATAAATAAATAGATATTTTTTTTCTTCTTTCTCTTGTGAAAATTCTCTTCAAATCTAAACACATAGTGTTGATGTTTGTCATTTTGTTTTGTCGTTTTGTTTTTTTTTCCAAAATCGATTCGTGTTTGTGCATTTCTATGCTTATTCAAATAATCTTATCAAGTAAATTGGTTTTGGTTTTAATTTGTTTATGTGTGTGTGTGCAAAACTGTGTTTCAAGGGCCCAAAGTTCTACAAAAATTGTTTTTGTGGTACCCAAGTTTTTCTGTTTCTTCTGTTGATGTTTTTATCCTACTGCAATCAATATGGATGTGAAATTTTTGTTTAAATTCATTTGATTAAATCTTATAAAGATCTCATCTTTCTATGTAAACAACATATTTTCATTTTTTTTCACACCAAAAAATCATCAACAAGTACAACTTTACTTGACAAATATAAAAATGTCATTAAATATACGGCCATTGTTTGGCTATCCATTTCAAGGTAAATATTTGTTGTTTTAAAGTGTATAATCCAATCCAATCAAATCAATCAATCAATTTTTTCCCCAAGTAATTAAAAGAAATTAATTAATCAAAAAAGTCATCATCAAAAAGTCATTTAAAGAAATCAAATCTGTTTATGCTGTGTTTGTCAATGACAATGTTTTTCTTCTTCTTCTTTTTCGGCATTTTAACATTTCCGTATTGAGTTTCAGTTTGAGAATCAAAAAAATCTTCATATCTTCATCATCATCATATTTTTCAATGATTGATTTTGATCATGTTTTCACATGTTTGATGAATTTTAATTTTGTTGTTTACATTTTACAAGTGAAAAAACAACAAACACATAAGCAACACACACTTAATAACTACAATTATCATATCATGTTTTAACATGATTGAAATTTATGGATGATCATCATATCTGGTTGTTGTTGTTGTTGTTATTCATAATCATCATGTTTATAATGAATAAACAATTTTTTTTGTTTTTGTTTCACATATAAAATACATATGTAGAAAGTGTTTCTGTTTTCGTTATTTTGCAATTTGTATATCCTATTTTTTTTGTTTCTCTGTGATAGTTGTTTTTTGCCGATTGATTAATGATTGATTAAATCTCAGGTGTTTTTTCTGTTTTCTAGCCATAAATCACGAATGTTTTTTTTTCTTCATAAATTTGTTGTTATTTCAGGATATTCAACAGATGAATTGAAAAAAATGACCTCTTTTTTTTGATTATTACAAATTTTTTGTCCAATTTAATTGAAATTTTACAATTCTAATTGAACGTTTAATGATTTTAAAATGAATTTTCATTGAAATTTTGTTTTTTTTTCTCACTTTTTTTCAAATTTTTTCTCATTTTAGGTCAAGGAAGAGTAAATCAATTGGGTGGTGTATTCATAAATGGTCGTCCATTACCGAATCATGTACGATTAAAAATTGTTGAATTAGCTGCAGCCGGTGTACGTCCATGTGTTATATCAAGACAATTACGTGTATCACATGGTTGTGTATCAAAAATATTGAATCGTTATCAGGTAAGATTTATTTATCAATCATTTAGTGATCGATCAATCAATCAATCAATCAATCAATCAATGAATAATGAAACTATTGAATTTCCGTCGATCGAATGAAAAATGACGATAAGTAGCAGTCGAACAAAAAAAAACCAGGACAACAAAAAAAAACAGAGAAAATAAGATTAGTTTTATGATTTTCATCGTCATTAGATAATCTGGTTTCAAAAAAAGATTTTCTTTATTGAATTCAATTCAATTCAATGATGATAATCTGATTAACACGGGGGGACCCAGAAAACAAAAAAGATCCGAAACAAAATGTGTGTAATTTTGTGGTCACAATGTTCAATTGTGTTCACAATGTTACATTTCAATAAGTTCACAGTTATCAAGCTTTCAAGTTCTTATTCACAACCGACATTTTTTTTTTTGATCAAAAAGGAAAGACAAAACAATAATATAAAAACCCGACTTAAATCCTGGTATATTTAGTTTAATTTTATTTGTTGAAAAACCGAAGTAACCGAAACTTTTTTTTATTTCAAATCACTGAAATTTGTAGGAAAAAAACGTTTTGAAAAAAAAAATTCAAATCAAATCCGCTCAAGTAGATTTTTGGTTTGATCAGATTAGTGACAAGCAATATAATTTCTTTTTTTTTTCTCATCTGTGGCCAAGTTTATTAGCCACTGGTTTGGCTTTATTTCAATTTTGGATTATAATAATGATGATGATAAAAATGTCAAATCTCATGGTTTTTCTTCTCGTTTTTTTTCTTTTCTTTGATTTTTTTGTTGAAAATTTAGGAAACCGGATCAATAAGACCCGGTGTAATTGGCGGTTCAAAACCACGTGTTGCAACACCTGATATTGAAAAAAGAATAGAAGAATATCGTAAAGATAATCCAGGTATCTTTTCATGGGAGATACGTGATCGTTTAATAAAAGAAGGTTTATGTGATCGTACAACAGCACCATCAGTATCATCAATTAGTAGGCTATTACGTGGACCAAATATTAATATTATAAATAATGTTATAAATAATAATAATAATAATTTTAATTATAATAATAATCAGAATCAGAATTATAATCACCATAATTATTATTTAAATCATAGTAGTAATAATAATGAAAATAGTAATGATTTAGTTACAACATCATCATCCTATAATAATAATCATAATCAAAATAGCCATAGAATTCTGCAACAGAATAATAATGATGAAGATGATGATGATGAAGATAATATTCATTCATTAATGAATAACAACAACAACAACAATAATAAGCAACAACAACAACAACAACATAAACATTCAATCGATGGAATACTTGGATCTTCTTTAAGCTTTAAAAATGAATGTGAGTGTGTTTGTTTGTTTGTTTGTTTGTTTCATCATTCGATTCTACAAATTCTACAATTTCAAATTTTGTTTCTCGGAAATTTCTATCTAGAGAAACTTTACCGGAATTTTTTTTTCTAGGAAACTTCTCTTTTTGCATGCTATCATTGCACGAATATTTTAAAAACTTTTAAAAAACAAAACAGAATAGCCCAAAGAAATAATCCATAATTTTCCGTTCAACTTGATTTTTCTTTTTTTTCATAAACAAATCAATCAATGATTTTTTGACAATTTTTTAAAAATTGATTTGACTTATAACAACAGCAGCAACAGCGACAATGACAACAACTAAATGAAACAAAACAGAAAAAATCGTTGTGCAACAGGTTTATAGTGACATAATTATCTGTGTAGGGAACAAACAAAATTGTCAAAAAAAAAATTCCATCATTGACAGAGTTTAGATAGGTAGAATGAATGAATGAAAATAAATCTGAATGAATTCAATGATGATAATCGGATTTTCCATAAAAATTTTGTTTTTTTTGTGTTAGGGGAGAAGAAAAAAACATTGTATTAGTTCAGATGATGACTTGCATAATTCTTATTCGGATTTCTTTTTTTCTTTTGGTTTTTTGATTTGAAAGAAAGAGAAAGAAACACTTTGTAAACAGCTGCGACAAATCGATTTAAAATGCATGGACACTCATTCATTTCATTTCGTTTTATATTCACAAACACACACAATTGATCCTGGTTTTTTTGTTTGATTGTTTGGTTGATTGTGTAGTTGGTTGGTTGATTGTATGATGAGAAAATCAGCATGAGAAATGAGAATTAGAAAAAAAAAACGAACACACACATACCTTGACCGCGAACTATGACCCTTCTGTGTGTGTGTTTGTGTGTGTAAGGTCCCTGAATAAATGTTTGATGATTGTTTTTTGGTTGATTGTAATCAATCAATAATGATGATAAATACAGGAACCAAATAAGTTCCTAATCCATTTTTATTTATATTTTGGATTTAGAAAAATTGTTTGGTTTTTGGAATCTGATTTAAAAAACGCAACCGAAAGGGAGAAAAAGATTTTTTCAATTTACTAAAACTAGAATGAGAAAATCAATTGATTGGAAGAATCGAAATCAATCGTTTTTTAATTATTAGGGATGTTTCTTTCTTTCTTTTTCAATTAATTTTGTCATTTTCTCTATTTGCGTCAATCACCTTTATTACTTGTGTGTGGCAGATCATTTAATAATAATGATGGCTTCTCATTTTTGTCGGGAAAAACAAAAATGATAAATTTCACCAATCGAATTTCACCAATTCAGATTGAATTGATCGATCGACACGAAGACATATGATAGGTTCAAAAAAAAAAAAAAATTCAGAAAATTTTTACCTATTTAACATTCATATTATCATCATCATGATGGTCGGTTAATCTTTTCATTATTTGATGATGATGATGATGATCGAATGAAAATAAGAAAAATCAAATATCGAACACATATTGATTTATGAAGATTCTCTCTGTTGTGTGTGTGTGTGTGTGTGTGTGTGTGTGTGTTTATTTGAAATTCAATCAAAGATAGATTGAGTCACGAAAAATGAAAATGCGAACGAGCGGTCAAAGAACAAAAAAATTGCGTTAAATGTGTCGATCTTGATCACTCGATTTTGATCGTTTTTTATCATTTTCTTTCGATTATAGACACATTGCACATCTTGCAATCAGATTCAAATTCAATACAATCAAAGATGTGTTTGAATAGTTTTTCTCATTTTTTTTTTTTTCGTTCATTCATTCATTTTTTGTTGTTGTTGTTGTTGATCGAATCCTGTGGTCCAAAATCTTATTTGATCATGATGTTGATGATGATGACCCATCAAATTGTCGACACACGAACACACATATTATAGGCGGATATATTCAAAGAAGATGCTAAAAGTTTTATTCTATCAGGCAGTGTAGTGTTTGTGTGTGGTCAAGTGTTTTGCCTACAATGAATGAATGAATGAATGAATGAAAATTTGGACATCTGATGTTCAATCATCAATGATGATAGCTTCAGATGTTTTTTCTACTTTATTATATGTCTGAAGATGTTTTTCTTTTTCTCCATCATAATCATCAACATCATCATTGGATGACATCCAATCAATAGTTTGATGATGATGATGATTTTACCCTTGAAATATTTGGACTGTAAAATTGATGATGTTTATGATCAAAGAAGATCGCGTGACAATAGATGTGATCTGTTCTTGTTCTTCTTTTTTTTTCGGATCTATCTTTTCTGTTTGTTTTTTTCCAATACATTCTTTTTCGTTAAATTTTGTTTGAATGAAAAATCCGGAAACAATAGAAGGAAAAATATTCTTCAAATGTGAGAAAGGCTAGTGTTTTCTATGTCCACATTCTTTTATTTTTTTCAATTGACATTTAGCGTGTCAATACAAAGATAATGGAAAAGAGTTTTTTATTTCCAACATTGATTTTGAGAAAAAAGAATACCTATAGGTAAATCTTGTTCAACCTGACCAAATATTATTAGTAGCAAAAAAAAAGATTGAGCCATCATTTAATTATCATCATTTTGATTGCTTTGCAAAAGCATTTCATTTGGCTTTTTTAAAAGCTATTAACACCTGAAAACAAACGTGTTGATGATGTTTTTTTTTTCATATTCTATTTTCCACCACCACCACCATCATCATCATCATCATTGTTAATAACATCTGAAAAGCTCAACTGAATACTGATGATGATGATCAGTGATCATATCATTTCAGATTGCTCATAAGCTATCATTATTGAAAGTTCTGTGTTTTCTCATCATCGTAATAAAGATGATGATTGGGCGTTTTATTATCCCTTAAACATAAGTGCGTGTGTTTGTTCATCATCATCATATATGTCACAAAACAACAATGCCAACAACAAAGTTTAAATCTAATGGGAAATTAATTGTATACCAACATGTCATTTTGGTCAATTTGATGATCATCATGGAATAATAATTGAAAGCAACGATGATGATGATGATGATGAGGAAAAAGATTTCAAAAAAATCGTTTTTTGATTTTATTATTCAGAATTTTCAAGAAAATCTTTGATTTTTGTTGTTGTTGTTGTATCCGTTGATTTCCGTTGTTGCTTGATTTTGTTTTGTTTCAAATACACTATTATAACCCAATTAGATTCAAACACACACACAAGATTCATTGTTCAATTTGTTGTTGTTGTTGTTGTTGAATGGACTGTGATAATTACTTAATTTAGCTTCTGTTCATTGTTCGCTGTTTTTTGTAATAAAAAGATTTTACATTGTTACAATTCACAAAAGTAATCTAAAAATTGAATTTTATTATTATTATCATATAGACTTACACAATGACATCAAATTGAGACATTGTATGTCGATGATTATGATGATGGGAAACCTGCAAATATTGTGAATTGAATTTTAAATTCCTTCTTTTTTTCTTTTTTCCTTAAATTGAATTCAAATTGAATTATATTATTGCTGTTGTTGTTGTTGTTCGGGTAAAGTTAGACAAAAAAAAAGAATGGTCATCATTCATTCATTGTTATTGTTATCTCTTTGTTGTTGTTGTTGGAGAAAAAAAGAAAATTGAATTTTTCTGTTGTTGTTGCTGCTGCATTCAGTCATTTAAAAATGATGATGATTATAGATAGATTAAGTCATTTTCTTAAATTGAAAAAGAAAAAAATTTGATTTTTTCAGATTAGTTCAATTCAGATTAATGTGTGTGTGTTTTCAAATGGAACAAATAAACTTTTTTTTGGTTGATCTGATTTTTCGTTGTTGTTTGGTTGTTTTCTGCCAATATCTTACCTGTTCCTTTTTGTTTGTTTAAGCATCATCTTTTTTGTTGGAATCACTTCGTGTGTGTGTGTGAACATCACATTGTTTGTATAAAGAATTTACCTTTGCCGAATTTTTCCTTTCGTTCATTTCTTACCTCATTTATTTGGTAATATAATCATGGCTAAAATTGTTAATTAAAAAAATGATGATGATGAAGATCAAATAAGAAGAGAAAAAAAATAAAATAAAAGAAGATAAGCCGCACGCAAGCTGCGTGGCGGTAAAAAACGTGTTTGTGCTATTCGCAAATATACACTGATGAATACATGAACCACATTGGAAAATATGAAGCCGAACGAACATTGAAACATTAAACATCTTTTAATGATAAACAGCAACAACAACAAAATATTTGTTTGGAAATGTTCAAATGTTGTACTAGAATCTTGTGAACAACAACAACAACAATAACATCAAAGGTCTATTCACATAGTCATTTCTTAATTAAATTAGGCAATTAATCACTTGATCAAATGTGTGTTTGTATGTATGTGTGTGTTTGAGAATGGAACAGATAGGCAAAAAAAAATTGGCGGCAGCTATTTATCGTGATTTTAGATTTTCCAATATAGTTTTTTTTTTGTTTGTCGGCTAATTTTGTTTTCACTTGTTGCTTGTTTCTTTCATTCGGACCGATAAAAATGAAAGGAAAGAAAAAAGATTATGTAATTTGTACTAATTGAAATTACCTTTTTTTTTGATCATTAAGTGCGATCGATTGGCCTCCGAAAAAAAAACAAACAGCGACAAAATGAATTTTATCAATTCGAAAAGGCAAAAAAAAAATCATTTATAGCAATTGATCACATCAAATGCTTGATGCTACTGATGAAAATGATTATATATTTTTTTCTTATTCTTTCGAATGCAAGGCATCATTTGAAAGAATTTTTTTTCATTTCATTTTAAATCTGTCAAAATTTCTTCTTGTTGGTCGTTGATTTTTCTTTCTTCTAATATCAACGACATCATTTTTGGAATCAGTGAAAAAAAACAAAAATTAATTGAACTCAATGATTAACGACATTCGTTCGTTCGTTCGCTTTTTTAATATCTTCCTAAATGTCATTTTTTTTTGCTTCTCTTTAATAATATGATTCTGTGTAATTATTTCTAATTATCGTAACATTCGATTAATTGAAACTACTGGTCATCATCATGTTAAAATAGTTGATCTGATTTATCTACATTCCACCCAAAAAAGAAAAAGAAAAAAAGAATTTAACACTTGAAATCGATTTGAGAAAACACACAATAAATTTTCTACCCTTTATTTCACGGGTTTTCATGGTCATCTGGGGTTGGATCATTTTCAAAAATTCCTTTTAACTTCTTTTTAAATCAAACATCATATTTCAGAAACAAAATTGTTGTTGCTGTTGTTGCCATCGTTGTTGTTGTTGTTGTTGCATCATAAATTGTTTGCTGTTTTGTTATGATACTTTTTTGTTTGAAAATTTTTCAATTTTTTAATGGAATTTTTTAAAATTTTTTTTCTATCAAATTTTCAAAAAACAAAACAAAAAATAGCAGATGATTCGGGCAGTGAATCCAGTGATGTTGAACCAGGTTTAACATTAAAACGTAAACAACGTCGTTCCCGAACAACATTTACAGCACATCAATTGGATGAATTGGAAAAAGCATTTGAACGTACACAATATCCAGATATTTATACACGTGAAGAATTAGCACAACGTACTAAATTAACTGAAGCACGTGTTCAGGTAAGCAAGAATTTTCAATTTAAAATTTTTCTTTTTTTTCCAAACAACTAATCTGAATAACCGAAGGTGTTTGCTACAGAAAAAAAAACTACAAATTACAAATTGAAAAAAAGGTGTTAAAGATAATGATAATGTTTAAGAAGAAGATTTTCTTTGGTTTTTTCCTCTGTATTCATTCTTGTTGATGTTCATGTCCAGGAAAAAAATCAAAATCATTACAATTCACACAAACACACCGATATTCTTTTGTTTGAAAGGTCATAATTTTCTTGTAAAATTAGTGAAAAAAAAGAAAATTGTTAACAACATACGGTAGCCAGGTATACAAAAAGGTATAGAATGGACCACCACCAACACTAACACCATCATAATAATCATAATCATCATCGATGAATGACCGATGTCGATCAACAAGAACCTACTAATTTGATAGGGCTATTGTCCAATGATTGAATCAGTAAGTAAGTGAGTGAAGGGAAATTACTTGTCGCGCGCGCGACAGCTCGATCAAAATTTGATTTTTTATGATTGTTGTTGTTGTTGAAAATCGCACCTCACAATTTTGTTGATCATAAATTCATATTTATCGATATATCGATGATAATCATTATGATTATCATCCTGATGATGGTGGTGGTCATTTTATTTTTGCCAAAACATCATGTTATAATATACATGATTATCATCATCATCGATAGATCGGTAGTTCTTTAGTGAACAGGCGTTTGTTTGACGTTTCTCTCTCCTTTTTTTCAAAACAACAACAACAAAATATTCTTCGCTTGATGCATTCGGTTATTTTGTTTATTCATTCATTCATTCATCCATTTGGTCACGAAATACATTACAAAATAAGAATCGATCATCATCATCAATCGATCCGATACCTAAAGTTTTTTTTTGTTTACAACAAACAAACAAATACTTATTTTGAATATATGAAAGATTCAATAAATAATATATGCCTTTAAGCCAATTCAATTGGAGAAAAAAAACTGGATAATCATTCATCCATTTCAATTGAATTGAATTGAATTGAATGAAATGAATAAAATTTTGATTTCAATTTGACCATCGGTCAAATATCTTTTTTTGCTTTGATCTTTGAGTATTGAATTGCGCGCAATGCAAAAAACAAAAACAAAAAACAAATCGGGAATGAATCAAACGCCCTGAATGAATGAACGAAAAGAGAGAAAAAATCTGATCTGTTTTGTCAATGATAACAATAACAAATCAAATTGAATCAAATCTCATCATTCGATCGATTTGTCTACTGTCCGACTGATTACCACACACACACACACACACTGATGCAAATCAGCATAATAAATTAAATGATTCAATCGATCAATCGATCAAATAAAAGATGCTAATTATCATTGCCAATGAAAAAAAAACCTGTTAATTAATCAAAAAAAGAAAAATTCAATCAAAGAATTTGTAAATTTGAATTCTCGATGACGAATGTTCGCACACAAACACACAAGCACAAATGATTTTCATATATTCAACAATTTGCCATCGGCTACAACGAATCTCAAGCTAAAAAAAGCCGAATTTTTCAAAAAAATTTCGTTTGATGTTCATGACAAGTTGAAATTAAGTTTTGTATCTCTTTCTCTCTCTCTTCAAAATTATCTATTCTTGGCAATTTGACATACAGGTCATCCTGTAGTTTTTTTTTCAAACTTAACATTTCACACCAACTGATGATGTATTACATATCGATGGCCAAACAAAAAAAAACTTATGCAGATAATAATGATGATAATGTGATTGAACAATCTTTTTTTATTAAAAAAAAAAAATTTACATTGTTTTTTTTTGCAACTAAAATATGGACCGCACACACACACTTTAGATACGTCATATGTCAAATATCCAAAATAGAAACACACACACACACCGTTTGTGATTATTATTTAGGCAATAACAACAACAACAGGTAACAGGTAACAACAAAGAAATTTACCTGATAATTAAATAGTTAGCGACCACCACCAAACACAATAATAACAATAATAACAACAAGCACGAAGAGAGAAAAAAGTGGAAAAAAATAAAGGATCGACCCAAAATATGTCCATCATAATCATCATCATCATCATCATTGATTTTGCTTGATGTTTACAGCCTTTTTTTTTGTTCAAGAAAAAAAACATCGATGATGATGATGATTATGATGAAAAAAAGGTGATGGACAACAACAAGTTATTAATATACCATGACCATCTTTTTTATTCCAGCCAAATAGAAAAATACTAGACAAGATAAAAGTTTTTGGCCGTTCATCCAACTTGAAAAAAAGTCAATCAATCAGTCAAAAAAAAGTTAGTTAGTTAGTTAGAAGAAGAAAATAAATCATTCAAATTTTGCACATGTAGGATAGACAGGGATAGGATAGACAGGTAGAATTTAAAAATTTCTTAAAAAAAGGAGGAGTTTAATCAAAGGAATTTTGTTTTGTTTTGTTTTTTTACATAGAAAAAAACAAGACAATAATAATAACTGTGTTTATTTTTCTCGAATCAAGAACAAAACACATTGTCCAATCATATAATGAAAAAAGGTTGATTGAAAAAATAATGTGTGCATCAAAACGCACACCTTTTCGTTTGTTTGTTTGTTTTTTCAAGGATAAACAAACAAATGAAAAGTTGTTGATTAATTAATTAACTAATTGAATGAAATGAAACAAAAACAAAACAAAAAATTCATTTGAAATCTTAATAATTTCATTATTTCAATGTTCATTTGTGTGTTTTTGTTGTATACCTATAGGTTTGGTTTAGTAATCGTCGTGCAAGATGGCGTAAACAGATGGGCAGTCAACAATTGAATGGTTTTTCGGCTGCATTAGCATCATTACCGGCAATGCATGCAGCGGCTGCTTATACAGCACAAACAGCAGCAGCAGCAGCAGCAACAAATTCATATTTATTAGCAGCTGCCCAACATCATCATCATCATCATCAACAACAACAACAAGCATCATCTACAGCATCAACATCATCGGAAAATGCCGCCACTGCCGCATCCAATACAACATCATCTTCATCATCATCATTGGCTTCTTTAGCCAATTCAAATAATAATAATAATAATCAAAATAATCAACAAAATTCACAATATCAAACTTCGCAAGGTAAATTAATTAATTTTGAACGTGCACTATTGTTTTATTGTTGTTTGAAATGTTTTTTTTTATATATTCATTTCAATTGGTAGAATCCTAAAAAAAAATTCATGATCATAAATTCAATTTCATATCGAGAAAAAAAAATCTCTTATGTTCAGAACTTTCAGGTTTTTTTCCAACAAAAAAAGAAAGATTTATCATAAGAAAATTCAGTAGCCCGATTATTCTAATCATAATTTTGGTGCTTCATCAATTTTTATTTATCATTTTATATAGCTTATCATATCTCAATTGATGTCTTCAAGTGTTTTTCTTCTTCTTTGATTATTTGGATGAATTTTTTCTTCGTTTTTTTTTCAAATATCGATTTAAAGTAAGAAAAAAAAACTAGTAAGCTAGAGAGAGAGAGAAATGAACAAAATGATAAATTGTTTGATCACAAAAATGACATGAACATGTTGGTTGTTTGGTTTCGGTGGGCATAAGTTTGAAAAGCAAAAACACATCTGGTCAGATCAAGAATCAATCGGATTTTTTACCTGTGATGTTCTATAACTGATGATGATTATAATGATCATCACCAGTAGTAATAATAATGATTACCTTGTGTGATCATAAATTACAATAAAAATGTCACCAAAAAAAACTAGCCAGGTAAAGAAAAACAAAAATTCAAGTTTTTTTTTGCTTTTCGGTTTGTTCATCACTGGGCAATTCATTTCAGATCATCATTAGATTCATTATGTGTTTATTTTCATCGAAGGAAAAAATAAATTTTCATTTTTTTTTTCTTCTCTAATTCTGAACAAAATTAACTTTGAAAAAAATGATGATGAAATTATCAGCTAGTTAATCAAAGGGAATATTTAAATAGTGTTAAAATCGAAAAATGATAAAGGTGAAATTTTTTTAAATTTCGTTACTTGCCAATTCATTCTGATGTCTTTTTCTTTCTTTTGAAGAATATCATCTCATCAATAATAATGATCGACCATTGAAAATTATCATCTTTTTTTTTTCGTTACCCGAAATAAAAAATAAATCGCCTTTATCATGATAATCATCATCATTTATGAACATAAACAATAAAGTACGATTTGATACTGCTCATAAATTTATTTATCTTTCTTTTTTTTTGGTAAAATTTTATTTATTCTGGCAAAGAAATCAATGTTTGTTTGATTTGGTCAAAAAAAACGAAAAATGATAACCGAAGATGTATATCATTTCATTCATTTCATTATCAAATCAATCAATCAACCACCTTATACAATATGCTTGAATTTTTTTTCCAAATGAAAAATAGGAAATGATCCTTCTCGAAAATATTTTTCCTTTTAATTATTTTCGGAAATTTTATCTTAATTGTTTTTTCTTCGTTGCCTTGTATTGATGGGAAAATAATTTATTGCATAATTTGTTGAATAATTTCTTATTTTTTTTCTATCATTATCATCTTTAGATTGTAGCAATATACAACCGAATACATCTTTAAATCATCATCATCATCCTCATCATTCATCAATGCATCATACAATGCCTTTCAATTATCCGCATCCGCATCATTCAAATCAAAATCATATTCATCATAATAATAATCATTCTAATCATACAAATCATCCTAATCATTCAACATCGCAACATTATCCAAATACAAATATGAATGTAAATTTTTCTTCAAATCATCATCCACCGATACATCCGATGCATTCACATCAACATCATACAGCGATGAATGTTTCAAATTCTTCAAATATAAATGTTCATCATTCTTCGAATCAACATCAATCATCAACACATTCGTCTATACATCATAGTAGTAGTGTACAACATCCTACGAATGTTTTAAATCATGATCATCCACATCATTCGAATCATTCATCGGCAACACAACGTTCATTAGCAGCAGCCGGTTATTTATCAGCGGTTACTGGATCAACTGATCCAACAGCATCATATGTTGCTGCATCAGCATCTGTTGCATTACAATCACAGGTAAATTTTCCAAAAAGAAAAAATGGGAATTTCTTTTTTTTTCAAATCTTATCATGGTCAGTTTGACAAACCGAAATATAACTAGTTTTTTGTTGTTGTTGTTTTCTTTATGTGACGTTATTGAGGGGGTTAGTGAACTGATTTTTCATCCATATTCTTCTTCTCTCAATTGAGATATTAAAATGTAATCATCATGTGAGCAATTTCGGAATTATAATTTGGGATAATTTTCTTAAAAAAAATCAATTTTTTTATTATTATCAATCGATCGAACGTTGAATAATATCGATCAATCTTGTTTTTTTTTCATTTTCATTGATTGATTATTGTTATTTCAGCTGCCAAATATAACAATATTGTTGTTGTTGTTTTTTTTTATTACAAACATCATTATTTTCAATTTTTTTTTAAAAAAATTCAATTAGTAAAATTCAATTGAATTCAATTTTTCAAAACTACAAAACAATTTTGGATTTTTGTTGTTATTTTCGTTTCGTTTGGTAAATAATTCAATTTAGAAATGAAAAAAAAAGTCAATTGAATTCGAATTCAATTGAATTTTCTTTTTCACAATGAGAAAAACACTAATCAATCAAAATGATCTTGTCATTTTGATAAATTTTTTTTCTTTCCTTTCACAACCTTTTATTTTCATTTGTTATTTTTATCTCATTATAATCATCAATTTTTTTTCTTTCCTCTCTTTTTATTGATTAGGTGTTAAACATGTTGAACAATACAACAAATTCAATAAATTCAATTACCAATGATTATGCTGTTTCATTGACACAACAACAACAACAGCAATCATTATCATCACCATCATCATCCGGTACGGCTACTGTAGCTACTACTACTGCTGCTGCTGCTATTTCCCCGTCAACAACACCGGCTAATAGCAATAATAATAATGATAATTTGGAACATTCAAACGGAAATGTATTCAAACAAAATAGTGGCAATAATAATAATAATAATAATAATTCAATTATCAATGATAAATTAATATCACCTGTAATTAATAATGATACATCATCATCATCATCATCTTCTTCATCTTCAACTGCATCATCAACTGGTCAACAGCAGCAACCGCAACAACAACAACAACATTGGTCAACTACAACTGATCAAATGTTAATGATGGATTCAATTATAACAAATCGTAATGCTTTAGAATTATCAACAACAGCAACAACGACAACAACATCACCGTTAGGAACAACAACAGCAACAACAACATCACCATTATCAACATCATTTCAATCATCATTAATTAATGGTGGTAATAATAATGGTAGTGGTCATCATCATTTACCAACTGTTAATGGAAGTCATCATCATTTTGCTCATCATGCAGCTGCAGCAGCAGCTGCTGCTGCTGCTGTTCATCATCCAATTGCTTCCGGTATACATACTGGTCACCATCATCATAATCCACATTCACATCATTCAAGTGCTGCTATTCATCATTCTGTTCATCCAAATCATCATCATCATCATCATCATTCGCATCACCAAAGTTCTACAACGACAACAACTTCAAATGTTGCGGCTGCAGCGGCAGCCGCAGCAGCAGCTGCCGCTGCTGCTGCTTCCGATCCATTTGGTTTTGTTACCGCTGCCAATCATCATGCTGCTGCCGATGCATTAACCAAATCATCATTTTATTATGCATCACAATTTGGTGGTGGTATACGTGGCCTTAGTTTGTAAATTTACAAAACAAAACAAAAAATTTTATAATTACATTATATTAATTGGGAAGGTTATTTATAACAACAACCATAAAAGCAAAAAACAAAACAAAATTTGATTTGAAACCAAAGTTTTATTTAAAAAATAACACACACACCTTTTATACACCTTCACGTCACACTTTATCAACTTGAATATTAATTGTAATTCGTAAATATCTAAATTAAATTAAATTATTTTTCAAATTTATTATCAGTTTTTTATTTTAAATTTCATTTTTATCCGAAAATTAGAGTCATTACATTGAAAAAACCTTAAATAAACAAAAAAAAATTTATCTCCAAATTACACTAATCTAACAACCCTAATAAGAATGGATAAATATCAAACCAAACATAAAACTTTTCTTAACAGTCTATTTAGGCGAAAAAAATATTTTTTGTTACAAAACACTGAAATGTGTGTTCTCTTGATCGCACACACACACACAGGTTAAATTCTTCAATAGCAACAAGGTAAAATGATTTCAAGTCACGAACAATCAAATGTTGAAGATTCAAATGAAAAAAAAACAAAACAACAATTCTTTGGTAAAAAAACAACAAAAAATATTGAAAATAGTCACGTTTATATGTACAGCAGAGTTCTTTAAAAAAACATTATTTACCGCCGCCGACGACGACGTTTACCATCTTTGATGATGATGATCCATTCATGAATATAAATCACGAATATTTTATTATGATGATATACGGGGGTGGTAGTAGGTTTAAGGGGGAAAGGAAATAAAACACTTCATGTGTGGTTTTATAATGGACTGTTTGGTTGGTTGGTGTGATGATCATCATCATCATGAATGGTGGTAATATTTTTTCACTATTTCCACATTGATTGGTTTTCAAAAAAAGAAAAACTAATCAACCACCGGCTTTTTGGTGTTTATTTTGCTGTTGTTTTTGTTCTTCTCTCTTTGAAACAATACCGAAATTTTCCTTGTTTTCTCAATTCAATTCTGTATTAAAAATTTAAATTTTTTTTAATTCAAAAAAATAAAAAATTCAATGTTGTTGTGAAAGTGTCAGATCATCAGAGGCTAAATTGGATTTTTTCTTGTTTTGATTGTTGTTTTTCATCATTTTCAAATATGCCGCATTCGAGGATTTCATTTGTTTTTTGAAAAAAAATGATGAATATTCAAGAAAGAAAAGACAAAAGAAAAAGAAGAAATTCCTTAATGATTGATTGATTGATTGATTGATTGATGCGATTGATATGATAATAATATTTCATATGTTTTTTCATGGACAAAAATGAAAAACTTTTGTTTTTTTGAAAAGTTTTACAATTTTTGTTGCTGTTGTATAAATAAGTCACGCGATATTTTCTTACGAACTTGTAACATTCGATTGGGTTAGGGTTTTTGAATCATTTGAAATGGAGAAACAAAACAAAAAATTCTTCAATGAAATTTATCAATGAAAAAAAAACAAATGAAAATTCCTTCAATTAATTTCAATTTGTTTGAAACTTTTTTGGGGCCAAAACTTTAAAGAAAAAAGAAAAATTTATGTAATTCAATCCATGTTGTGAACAGCAAGCAAAAAAAAACGTTTTACGTTTTTTTTTCTTTTTGGTTGTCATAAACCCAGAAACAGAAAAATCCTTATGACTTATTATCTAAGTTGTAGTTTGCTTTTTTCTTCTTCTTCTTCTATTCTATGTGTTTTTATTACTCAACCATTTCAGAATGTTTGTGGTCGATGATGATGATGATGATTATGATTATGGTCATGTCATAATAAACATAATTTATTCTTCCGTTGCCCTAGAAAATTTCCTTCTTTCCAACTAAAAGTATGTTACGTTATGTGTTTGACCTTTATGTAAATTCTTTTTTCCAACTTTCAACGTTTGAAACATCGTTTCCTTTGCTTGAAAAGAAAAAAAAAGGTCAAAGTGAAATGTTTTTGTTGTGCAACAACGAGAAAAACTACATAATTTACAGCTCATTAAGAATTTCAAATTTGTAGCAAAAAAAAGTTTTGAGTTACTATTGTGAATTCTCGATACAAAAAAATAAAAAACATTGTCGTTAAGTTGTGTTTTGATCGTTTCGGATCATTTTCAAAAATGAAAATGAAAATTTGTTCTTCAATGTTGAAATTGTAACATTGTTAATGACGATGATGATCCAAAACTAAATTCCATATTTTCTTTTTTTTTCATTTGAATTTCATGGTGAAAAAATAAAATTTGTTTGTTGATCAATTTCAATTCAATTCAACTATATCCATAAGTAGAATATAATATCCGTATAAAACATAATCAAACGTCAAATGTCAAATGCCAAAAAAATAGTCAGCCATTTCATTCATATAACACACAAAGTTTTTTCTGTTTTTTTCCTTTGTATTCAAATGGAAATAAGAAGCGCGAATAAGAAACTGACAAGAAGAAAAAATCTTTAGTTGGAATTTTTTGTTTGTTGAATGAAATCCAAAAAAAATTGTTCAAGTAATAAATTGTTAATGTGCCATAATCATCATCATCATCAACAAAATCTGAATATATCAAATTCATCGTCACTTTGATTATCACTTGATCATCACTGATTTTAAATATTTAGGGCAGGGTCGAAATTCTTTGATCTTTGGATATTCAGCAGAATGTTTTGTTTTTGATCTGACTGAAATCAAAAATCAAAAATCAAAAAAATCAATTATCAATTATCATACCACGCCTTAGTATCATCTTTCCTTCCTTCCTTCCTAAAGTATTTAATTCTTTCGTCATCATCATCATCATCATCATTTTGATCAATTTGGGTGCGCATTATAACAACGACGAAGAAAATTTGGACAAATTTTCATCAAATCAAATTCAAATCGACCTGAAAACAAATAGATTAATTGCGTGCATATAAAAAATCGATAAATGTTTTGTTTTTCCCGAAAAGAATCAAAGAATTTTGAAACTAAATTTTCATATAGGACATGTTCACAATTTTCAACCATGAAATTATCATCATTGTAAAAAAAAGAAATGTTACTTCAAACTTGAGATTAAGAAGAAGGAATATATAGAGCCTAAATGATGACAAATTTTTTTTTTTTTTTGAAACCCAAGAGAAAAACTAAATTATCCTCATCATTTAATAATAGAATGTTATGTTTTCTATTTACTCAAAAGTCATTTAACACTTGTGATGGATGGGTGTTTTCATTGAAAATTCATGTACATTTAGCATTGAATGAATGAACAGATTGAACAAATTAAATCATAGTATATCATCCGTACCACAAGCATCTGTTCATCTGTTAATATTAGTTTCATTCATTTCATTTTCAGCAAGGGAAAAGAAACCCTCCAAAAATGGTTTTTTTTTTCTTCTTTCGTTAATATTTGCATATAATATTTAATTCTATAGTCGACATTAGAAGTACAGAAATATCAATTCTCTCATCATATTTAAGCAGAACAGAAAAACAATCCAATGATAATGGTGTATGACAAATTTTCTAAACATTTTCTCCATCACTATATGCTTGTGTGTGCGTGTGTTAATTGCTGTTTCTTTCAGTTGATTAATTGATATTTTATTTAGTCAAGTTAGTTTGGTTGGTTGGTTGTTCTTGTCATTTATTTTTCTTAAAAATCTTCTTTCGGATTCATTTAATTTGTCATTAAAAAAAACAAAAACAAGAAGTTCATGTTTCTTGTCCTGTGTGTGTCTATCACGGTTAATCCCGGAATTTTCAATTACTTAAAATCATAATTATCATCATCATCATTGTTTGTTCGTTCGTAATTTAACATCAACATATTAGTTAGTCGTGTGTGTGTGTGTATATGTTACACAATTTGTCAATGTTGACATTATAAACAACAAGTCTTTTTTAGAAAAAAAAAATATCAAATTACAAAATATGTTTCGGTTGGATTGGTTTATGTTTCAAAAAAATGATTTTGTCAAAAGATTTTCATTTGAATTCTTTCTTCTTCTTGAAAACTGTGGCGTCATCTGTGGTCGAATTTTGTTGTTGTTGATTTTCAAGAATAGAATAATTTTTTCAATTTGTTTTTCGAAAATTTTTAATTTAATTTAAAAATTTGAATTTGAATTCAAATATAAAGATTGAAAACATTGCCAAAATACAATGGATTTTTGTTGAGAAAGTGAGAGAGAAAAAGAGTAAAAAAAAAGAATGAAAAATTTTTTTGTATTTTTTCTATTTTTTTATAGTAGTAATTTATTGATTACATCAATAAATTGTAATATTTGGCAAGCAATATTCAATCCATCATCATTATATAATGGTAAAAAAAATCGTTTCCTTTGTCAAACATTAGATAATGTTAGACATATATTTAATGTTCATAATGAATTGTTTATAATATTTGTTATAAATCATAATCCAAATTCATTACCCGAAACATATTGGATAATTGATAAATTAACAAATAATTATACAAGAGTTGATTGGTTATATTCAGCTGATGGTAAGTTTGATTTTTTGTTTTCATTGATTATTTACAATTTACAATTTTTCGTTATAATAGCATCAGGTTTACAACGACGATTAGTCGGTGTTGAATGGGATACAACCAGCAATGGTGATGAACAATCAAAAATTATTGTTATACATGATCCATCAAAAGCTGAAGCATTAAGAATGACTGGTAAAAAACAACAAATATTTCATATAACAACATATGAATATGATACAGATTCGGGTTTATTATTTTTTATTGAATCAAAATTTAAAAATGATTATCAAACATTATTGAATGAAAAATATGGTGATATTTCAAATATTTATCAACCAATAAATAATGTAAAAATATTTAAATTTTATAATACCGATCAATATATTGTATTACGTGATAATAAAATTTCAAATGAAAAAGGAAATGTTCAAAAAACAAATGATATAATATTAAATGGAATATTTTTATATCAAAATCGTTTTTATATTTATTCAGATTCGGATACTATTTATAATACAACAAATGAAGATGATTTTCATTTAAAAAAATCATCATCAAGCAATACATATAAATATGATGATTTTTTTAAATGTTATGGTGAACCAAAAATTAATATGCAATTTGTTTATCTTATGCTTGGACAAATATTAATGGTTATTTTAATGATTATTATAAATATTATTTGTTTATGTTTGGTAACTAATTGGCGTAGACCAATGAATAAAAAACAATTGGATAAAATTCGTGTAAATTCAATGGATATAACTGGATCATTATCGACAACCGATACAACAACAGCAACAAACAGACCAATCAAACCAAACAAACCAATAACAGGTGGTACTGGTCGATTTAGAAATCGTTTACAAGCATTATCAGCATCATTTACAACATCATTTAAAGCTTATCCAAAATATATTAAGAAAAGTTTTTTCTAAAAACAAAACAAACAAAAAAATCTCCATTGAATTCAAACGAAATCAATTATTATTGAAAGAATGTTTTTTTTTCATTAAAAAAATGATTATATTAAAAAAAAACAAACGAAATTCTTATGATTTTTGAAAATTTTTCTGTTCACAACAAAATATTTCATGACGAGCAAGAACTTCGCTGGAAAATTTTTGTCCACATTTTCGACATGAATTATTATCATCAGCAATGGTATTCGATGGTGGTGCGGTTGCCGTTTTTGATGGTGACAATCGATTATCATTATTATCTAAAATGATGATAATTTCATCATCTTTGGCTAATTGTTGCATTATTTTACGTTGTTGTTTAAGATTATCTAAAAATTGTTTTCGTGATTGTTTCCAATTTGGTATTTTATCATCCACACTATCATGGGAAATCGGCTGAAAAAATGAAAAATGGAAAATTCAAAGTTGATTAATTCGAACACTAGATGGCCGTTTTGTGCTTACCGATTTTTTTTGTTTACAATTCGATTCAACAACAACAATATCCTGTTCGATTATTTGATCATTATTATTGTTTTCAATATTTTTATTATCAATTTGTTTGTTATCAACAATATTATTATCGAAAGATTGATCATTTTTAACATCGATTTTCGCTATAGGTGATATTGATGATTGTAATTGTAATTGTCGTTGTCTTGATGATTGAAATATTGGCCGTTGTTTTCTTGATATTCGACCACATATTTCCATATGTTTTGCAAGTCGATCTTTGGCCGAAAATTTTCGTTGACAATATTTACATTGTGGTTGTTGTTGTTGTTGTTGTTGTTGTTGTGAATTATGGTTATTTCTATTTACCAATGATGTTTGATGATTACGTTTTGTTGTTGATAACGTTTCATCACAAGTACCACTTGTATTTGTTTTCAAGATTCTTGACGATCCACCACCACCACCTTGTATCGAATGTACATTGTTCACAATTGAACGTTTTGATATTGTTGGATTATTATTATTATTATTATTATTACCGTTATTGTTGACATTATCCATATAATATCCATTCATCAATGATGTTGTTGTTGTTGTTTGTTGATTACTTGAATTTCGTCTACCTAATATCGATTTTTTATGATTCGATGAATGATTCGAATGATGAACATATCCTGATGTTATCATTGTCATATTACTAACATTACCAAGTGATTTTACACGTGATATTGTTACACGATTATTATTATTTATAAATGGTATTGGTGTTGTTTGTCGTTTATTATTATTTATTATTGTTGATTGATGATGATAACGATTAATTGTTAATGCTGATAATTCACGTCTAATTGGTAATCTTTGATGATTTGATGTTTGTTGTTGTTGTTGTGGATAACAATTCTGTTGATAATATGATGATGATCGTAATGAATTTGGTATATTAATCGATGATTTTGTTCTGGTCATCGATGATTGTTGTTGTTGTTGTTGTTGCTGTTGTTGATATTCTTGACACTGTTCATTATGAATTTTTCGAAGAAAATTTTCTCTCATTTGTTCTAAACGTGACATTTTTTTTTTTTGATGCGAAGCAATGAAATTTACTTGTTTTTCTTCAAAATTCTTCAACAATTCTTATTGTCACATACACACACACAAACACACCGGCATACAATGAATCAAATCAGATATTGTAATTCAAAACTTATTTCAAAAAAAATTTTTGGTTGACAATTTCATAAACCGAGAACCTTTCTCATACCTATGATTTATGTTTCTGTGTGACAAAAATCTTTATTATTTTATTTCTTTCTTTCTTTTTCCCTTCAACGATTGATGTAATTATCATCAATCTTTTGTTTTTTTCTTTCTCTTTCTCTCTATCTCGATCATTACCTGAAACAGAACTAGAGTATGGAAAATCAACAAAAATCAGGTATAGTTTTATCATCCAGGTTTGTTTGTTTGTTTGTTTTGAGTTTGTAGTCTTATCATTAGTCATCATCTTTTCCTTCTTCTCTTTTTTTTGCTCTCTCGATTTCTCATTACTTACAGGTTAATTAATTAGTAAAAAACAGTAACCAAAAAAAAAATGAACGATGCAATTCAGCGAAAAATAATAAGAAATAAAAACATTGTTTGACTGTTGAAAAAAAAATGTTTATTTTTCTTTACGAACGAAAAACAAAAAACAAAAACAAAACAAAGAAGAAAAATTAATAGAGCGAAACCCGTAAAGATGAAATATGAAATGATGATTCAGTTCTGATGTCTGTGAAAAAGGAAAAAATTTATTCAATTTATTCAATTTGCCTGATCATCCTGATTATATAACCTGATCCAATCCAACCCAATCACCATCAGTACTGAATCATCCCATTTTTTCTCCAATATTCAATGAATAAAAGAAATTTTATTTTATTTATTTATTCAGGTATTTACATAATTTAAGAATATTTTTGTATTCAAAATTCATTAATAATAATGTTAGGATGGTAATGAGGATGAGTTTTTTTGCACAAAAATCAGAAAGAAAGAAAGAATGTTTTTTATAATTGAAAAATCTTGATTTGGAAGAATGAAGGAAAGAAAAGATCTTTTTGAAATTCAAATTAATGTGTTGTATAAACATTATGATTAACAATTCTATCATCATCATCATCGAGATCATCATCCGGATCAACTGAATCATCATCATCATCATCCATTTCATTTAGATCACTATCACCATCAATACGACTATGTATAATAGCATCATCATCATCATCATCATCATCATCAATAATTGCATCATCAAACCATGATGAACATGATGTTGATGTTTCATTTGCTAATAATGTTGATGATGCATTACTTGCTGGCATTGTATCTAATGATGATAAACCATTTAAACAACCATTTGATGACCAACGTGAACTTGATGGTGATGATGGATGTGGACTTGTATGTGAACCATTACCATTATGATTATTATTTATTATCATATTCGATGATGTTGTTGTTGTTGATGTTGTTGGTGATTTTGAATGTGAATCTTTTTTCAATCGTTTTTCTTTTGCACGACGATTTTGGAACCAAACCTAAAATTTTTGGAACAAATAAACAAAATTGAATAAAAAAAATGAGATTCAAGTTTCTCTACATTTTTGTTTGTCAATAAACAAACAAAAAAGATTTTCTCTTCTCAATTATTTACTTTTGATAATGAGTGATCATAATCAATATTCATAATAATCAGGTGTCATCATTATTCAATGAACCGAATCAAAGAAGAAAAAAATATCGATATTTAACCTTACCTGTACAACACGCATATCTAAACCAGTATCATGACTTAATTGTTCACGTATCTGTCTAGCTGGTTTTGGTGAACTATTATATGCTAATTTAAGTGTTTCCAATTGTTTGGCTGTTATTGTTGTACGTGGTCGTTTTGATGATGATTCTAAAGATTTAAAAAAAAATTGATGATAATTGAACAATCGATTGATCGATTATAATTCAAATTCAAATGAAAAAGAAAAAGAAAGATTTTATATTTAGATTTTGTTTTTAACATTTCAAAATAATACCTCTTTGTTTAGCTGATTCATAATCGGATTTACAGACAAGTTTATTATCTTCCATCAGATAGAATTCATCGCCTAGATTTTTATTTTTGTTTTTTGGAAGTAAACAAAACGAGAAAAAAAATGATCCATTTAGGTTGATTTTTTTTCTAATATGAAAAAAACAAACAAATAAAATTACCTGTATTCAATGCACGTTTACATAGTATACAATTAAAACATTGTAAATGATAAACATTATCTTGTGCACGACGAACAATTGATGTTGGTGCAATACCAAGTTCACAATTTGCACATCTTGTTTTAGCAAAACGTTTATAAAAATCATCTTTACAATATGGTTGACCATTTTTCATATAACATTTTACAGATAAATTTATATTACATTCCGAACAAACTAAACAACCTGTGAAAAAGAAAATTTTCAGCATTAATTTTGTTAATTTTGTTGAATTAATTTATTTACCTGAATGCCAACAAGTATGTCGTTCATTTTCTTCATGACCAAGTTTCAATATAAAACGATCAAATATAATACCTTCACATCCGCTACATCTTGGCAATGAATCTAAAATTTTTTTGACAAGAAAATTGATAGAAAAAAAACATTAGAAAATCAGGAAAAGGAATCATAAAATGAATGAAAACCTAAATGAATGAATTTTTCAAAATCATTTTTTGTTTTGTTTTGATAATGATGATTTGTATAATGATCAAAATATTAATGATAAAAAAAATTTGATGAATATCAACAACAGCAACAATAATTATTCTTTATTCTTTTGATGATTAGTTTTGCTTGAAAATCACCAGCATAATCATTATCAGGGATTTTTGTTTTTTGTTTGAAGAATATTTTTTCTATTGACAAAGAATGGGAGTGGTAATGGGAGTTTCAACCAGAAAAAAAAATAATCATCATCATTATCATCTCCAAATGGAATTCATATTTTATGTTTTCGTTTTTTTTATTGTTTAGAAATGTGATGATAATCATCATCATCAACAACAACAAACAACATCAAAATTCATTATCTCTGATAGAGAAGAACCACGTGTATGTTTTTTTTTTTGGAAAGAATTTTATTAGTTTTTTTTGCTGTTGTTTCTCCATTTGATCGTTAAAAAAAAGTAGGTGGCAATCGTGATGATGATGATGAATTGATTTGGCCAAAAGAAAAAGAAAAAACATTTAAACAACCAACAAACCAAACAGAATTTACCTGAAAAAAACCAGAATATAAATAAATAACAAAAAAAAGTCAGGATTCATTTTTGCTGTTTGGCTGGATGGTTTTGTTGCTGCCCAATTCATTTTATTAATGTATATTTTTGGGTTTTTGAAAACAACGTTACCTGGATTTACCTAAAGTCCATTAAGTCAGTTTATTTCAACAACAACAGCAACAAAAATCTATTGTCAAAAATTCATTTCTGGTTATAAATAAAAATATAATTTTTCTTTTTTGTTTTGTTTCATGTCAAAAGGTTATGTCATAAGGGACATCAACATGAATTCGAGGGGAAGGGAGAATCCTGGTTTTTTGTTTGTTGGTATCCTAGCAAAGTTCTGGAACAAAACTGACAACAACAACAACTTGACATACACCAGAGAATTCAACAAGATTAACAACAACAACAACAGAAGATGATGATGATGTCAATGATATACCAAAAAGCAAAAGCAGAAAAAAAGGACAGCAAGATATATACAATAAATCTATGATGCGTAAAATCATCGATTACGTTTCGTTGTTGTTGAAAATGTGTGTCTGTGTGTGTTATGTAAGTGGTTAACGTTAAAACTTTTGTAGAGAGCGAATGAATGAATGAATGAATTTTCCTGCCTGCCTGTTTTCGGATATGATCATGATGGTTGATCTGTATCATTGGGAGAATGTGCCAAGCACTAAACAGACACGTTTCAATCAAGCACGTGTTTTGATCAGATATGGCCAGAAATAATGTTTTGCGCCCAGTTTTTCATTTTCATTTTCCATTTTCCATTCTCATCCATAAAAATGTAATGATGATGATGATGATGATGAAAAAAACTTATTATTCGATATGGATAAAAGAGTGGGTGTTGGTGTAAACAACGATGGTGGTGGTGGTGGTGGTGGTTTTATCATCAATTTTTCAAATTGAAAACAATTAGTATCAACAGAATTGAGGGATAGAATCAAATTCTGGAAAATTGTTCTACACATACACACATAGTCGTCGATGTTAAAATGGTCAGGGAAAGAAAAAAAATATATATAAATTTCGGTTACACAATCATAATAATCATAATAATAAAAGTAATGGCACACGACCAGCTGGCTGACTGACTGGATGAATGGATGACTAAATGACTGACTATAGCTTTGGATTTTTTTTATTTTGAGTATCGAGAATTGAATTGAATAATTCATCAACACTGAAACGAAAATTGCCTACTGGTGAAAAGCCAAAAAAACAACAACAGAAATACACGAAGGAAAGTAAACGGTAAATTTATGATCAAATTTTTATACGATTCCATTTGGAAGCGAATGAAATTTGTCTATCTAAATGGATCGTTTTTTTTATGGATCTCCCCTTCCATTTTTTTTATATGTTTGTCCATCTACATTATTCAAAAAAAATATAAAACGTTTTTCTTGTTCAATAATTAATCTGGAAAAAAAAGGATTTCTTTTTTCGAAAACAAAAAATTTATTGAATATGATACTGAATGGACATTGTTTTGTTTTTTTTTTGCAATTTTTCAGGTATGAAAAACAAATGTCTGATAAGGAAATTCTTCGTTTTTTTCTCAAGAATCAAACGAAAAAGATTCACTACAAAATCTAAACGTTTATCATCATTTTGATGAGAAAAGTTTTCTTGTTCACTATTTTTTCTTTCTTGAATTATTGTTCAGAAACTTTTTTTTCAAACAATTCTTTCAGAATAATTCTTTCTAAATGTGTTTGTTGTTGGCTTAACTTGAAACTTGAATGAATGAATGAATTGTGAACAAAAAAAAGAAGGATCAACAATAAAAACGACCATAATAATTCTTTTATCCAGAATTTTTTTTTTTGTTCGTTTCTTTCATTTATTCATTCACTATAATCTACCCAAAAAATATTATACATAAGCTTTTCACCCAAAAAAGAATTATAAAAAAAAAAATTCGTCGCTGTTGTTCGTTACAGTTATATGAAACACCTAGACACGCAAGATTCGGTGGTAGGATTCTTTTTGTTGCTGTAAAAACATGTCCAGCTTAGAAAAAATACTTTCTTCAACAATAATAATAATAATCCAGGAATATTCTGTTCGATGCTTGTACATGCTATTGTCAGTCTGGGTGGAGTTGAAAAACAACATTCTTTTCAATTCAGTTTCCATTCATCGATGATCATCATCATCGATGAATGAATGAATGATTGAATGACTTTAGTTCCAATCACTTATTATGTATTTGGCCAAACACACAGAAAAAAATAGAATCTAAAAAGCTGAGACTTTTGTTGTTGTTGCGGTGGTTTCAATGAAAGAATCAACAAAAAAAAATCGAATTCGATTGAACAGAATAGAATATTCTTTCTTCTTTTTGAGTATGGTTCAAAGATTTGTAACCAATTTTCGTTTTTGTTTTGTCTGAATCATTCAATCATTTCAACAAAACAAAAAAAAACTCTACAACGACAACAACACAAAGACTTTATTTATTCGGTTGTTGGGTTTTATATTTTTTTTGTTCCAAGTATAAATCCAGTTTACGAATGTAAAAATATCGGTGTTGAATGTCAATGTTTTTTGTTGTTATTCAGAGTTTTCTTCACATTTAGTTAGTTGTTGTCATCATCATTCTTTTCATTCATAGTTTTCTGGTTCGAAACTAGTTCTGGTTAGCAATATGAATGAATGACTTTTTGGCTTTCTGTAATAGTTTACTTTTTTTGTTTGTTTGTTTGTCTGGTTGTTTCCAATATCATATCCACACACACACACACAGACAAGATCGACGTATATATAGAATGTCTGCATTGAATGTGTATGTAGAATTCAGATATAGTAAATGTGGAATATAAAACTTGAGATTCAGAAACCAGAAAAAAAAGAAAAAGAAAAAAAATCGACCATAATATTATGACGATCCATTCATTCATTCATTCATTCTGGCTGAAAACGAATCCCATTCTATTCGAATCCCAGAATCTCATATACCAGAATTATATTTTTCACTTATATTTATATAGAGAGAAGGGAGAGAAACCTAAACTCAATGAATGAATAAATAAATGCGTGAGATAGGGAGAGAGAGAAAATAATTTCAGTAAAAGCATTTTAACATGATTAAATTCGGACCTAGAATTATTCGTTAGTTGTTTTTTCATTCATTTCAATTTGTTTTGTTACATTTTGCAGGAGAAATTTTTTTTTTGCACATTGATTAGACTGATTTGATTCTATTACATAGTAGTAGAGATGTATTCTTTTTTAGATTTACAAATTTTTTTTATTGTTTGTTTTTTTTATATTCGTTTGTTTTATTTTCCATACGGTAGATTATGAAAAGAAATTTCTTTACACACAAAAACAAACAAATCTAAAAATCTAACAAGAAAGAAAAAATTCATAAGCAAAATATGTAGTTTGTTTGTTTGTTTGTCAAAAGAATATTCTTCTTCTTCTTCTTGTTCAAATGAATCAATCAATTATTCTTTCGTTCTTTGTTGTTGTTGTTGTTGTTGTTGCAATCATTGATTTGGAATCATTTCTTTTTTGTCATCTTCATCAGTCTTTTTCTCTCACTTTTTTTTTTGTTTGATCAAATTAAATTGAATTGAATCTTTTCATTTTTTTGTTTCATGTGACATGTTTTACCCCGATTATCCTGATGTACAGTATTTTAATTCTCGAAGTAAATAATAATAAATTCTTTGCATTTATTTGTCGGAATTTTGTTGTTTTTCTTTCTATCTATGTGTTGACATTTTATTCAGAAATTTTACTTACCCTCCCCCCAAAATAACAGGATTTATCATTTTGTTTTCGGTTGTTGTTATTTTTGTTCATCATTTTGTTTGTCACAAATGATTATAATGAATTATAATCCTTTATTTGTCAAATCTTCGGAAAAAAGAATTAAAAAAAAATGATTCTATAGTTTTCAGTCAGCAGTCTGACTGAATTGTTTATTGTTGTTGACAAATAACAACAACAAACAAAAAATGAAGTTATTAAGCACTAAGGATTATTTGATATTCAGTTGAGATTAGTTTCATTTTTTGTTTCTCACTTTTTTTTGAAAATGAACAAATGTTTTAAGAAGATTTGTTTGTCGGTAAATAATAACTCAATTCGATAGTGATGGAATACGGTATCGATAGTTGATTCGATAGATTGTTCGAATGGAAACGAAGTTTTGTTTACGTTTTCATTTTTGTTGCTTTTCATAATTGTAATTAAGAAATCTGAATCTTTACATCCTTTCATTCATTTTTGTTTGAAATAAATGTTAAAAACATTATTCCGAGTATAGGAAAAATACTGCGGTATTTCTGCTTCATTTGGAAAATATGCATTTAAAAGTTATTTTCCATCATCATCATCATCACGATAATCACTATCCATTAAAGTAAAAAATTATCATTATGGTTCGAGAATACATGGAACGGGTTAATGGAATACAAATTGAATTAAGTATTTTTTTTCTCTTTCATTTTCTATATTGTTGTTTGATCGTTGATTGTTTTCATTTCATTTCAGTGACCTTTTTTTGGGGGGAATTCTGTTCGAATCTAACTGACCTAATCTGTCGTTCTTCCATTACTGATTTCTCTATGAATTTTTCATTATCATTATCATCACCGATGACCTTCAATGAATTAAAAATAAAAGTCAAAAAAAGAAGATGAAAACTTTAATGGATCTGATCTGATGTTTCTGTTTCTGTTCATTCGTGTAAATGGTGGTAACGACAAATATCAATCAATCAAAAACAAAAAAAACATTGAAAATTTGATTATCCCAAAAAATGGCTGCCAATCAAACACACATTTTGAATCGATGATGACAATCAAATAATTCTTTGAAAATTTATCCAGAAATAAAATATAAATGTTCATTTCCGAATGCAGAATTCTCAATCAATCGGAATCAATTTGAAATAAAAACGAAGAGAAATCTTTTTTCTCCATTTGAGAGTGAAAACTAAAACAAAATCAAACAAATGTTCTATCCTAAATGAACCTTCTTTTCTGAATAAATGTTTGATGAACTTGGGTACGAAAAAAATCGAATCGAATCGAAATAAAACGTGTGCAACCACTCGTTGACACGTGTCAAATTGTGACATTGGTGATCCAACAACAACAACAACAGCAGAAAATCGAAAAAAGACAACTATTATATGACGAAAATAAGAAAATATTTTTTTTTTTGGGAAATATGATAAAGTGAGCAACCAATCAACCATATTCATTTTGTAAAAATAAGAACAAAATATGAACAAAATATAAAACTTCAATCCAAGCAGCAGCAGCAGCAGGTATAATGTAAATAAAACGTGTTTGTTTGCTTGCCTGGCATGCCTGGCCTGTTTACCTTCAATTGTTTTTTTCATTCATTCATTCGATATGATTCAATGTTTTTTTGATCCAGAAACAAACCAGAAAAAAAATAGAGTGAGGGTGTTTCGTTTTGTTCATTAGTTTGCGTGTGTGTGTGTAGGTTTGTTGAAACAATTTCCAGACTCGTGGAATATTTCTTTTTTTTACAAACATTTTCTCTTGGTGTGTGTTGGATCATGATGATGATGATCATCATTGATAAATGCGTTGCGTGCCGTACCATTACATAAAATATTGACTATCAAAATATATTAACGCACACACACTCACTTGGGTACTTTTTTTTTGAAAAAAAAATCAAACAACATCAAAAGAATTCACGATTCTCATATAACATTTGATGATGATAATAGATATATTTTGGCTAAAATGATTCATATTTGTAGATCCCTTACATTTACAAAAACCAGTCCGATGTTGATCCACACACATAAAAAATAAGCTAAAAAAGTCTAAATCAAAATAGAAATCAGCCAGGGTCATTGATGATGATGATGATGGGCAGGTGTATTTTCATTCAAAAGTCATCATTCATTTATTTTCCAAAAGTAAAGTTTTGATTAGAAAAAAAAGTATGGTTGTGGTCGTTGTCTGGGTAGAAATATGACTAAAATCCAATTTTGTTTTTTGAGTTTTTCATCATCAGAATAATGATGATACACGATATCTGCATCTGCAATGTTCTACATCATTTTTGACATTCGTTCATTTTGAATCGTTCATTTTTGATCAATATCAATTTATTGATTGGTTACAGATCATCATCATCATCGAAATCAAAATCAAAAAAAAACCAGAAATTTGATAAAAATATTCAAACTAGGTAACCATGTTACCAAATCATTAACCCAAAAAAATAGGAAAAGAATTTTTAACCGAAAAAAATCTACAGCTATTTCTTGTCAAATAATAATAATTTCTCATTTTAACGATCAATAAAATCATGATTCTGGAACAAAAAACATTTCAGAAAACAAAATAACAACGGAAAACTTTTTTTTGAAACTTTGATGAATGAATGTAAAGAAATTGATTTTTTCTTTTCCTTTTTTGTTGATTATTTACATTTTCAAAGCAAAAAAATGTTGATAATAATGATAATTTACCTTGAATAACTTTATTGTTGGCCAATGTAGCCGGAAATACGTGATCATCCATTTTCATAATAACGGATTTATTTTTTTGTTTTTTTTTCTATCGTTGAAAACGTTGTTAAGATTGATTTTTGTTTGTTTGTTTGTTGTTTGTTGCTATCCAGATTAATATTGATAATCAATAATCAATGATCAATGATTGATTGATTTTGGTATAAATCAAATGGACAAAATAAACAGTTTTTTGAAAATTTTATTCAACATTTTCATCTGATTAATGTCTGAAAATCTGATTTGTTTTTTTGTTCAATTTTATTATTGGAATGTTACACACAAATAATCACAGAAACTTTGATAAATTACTACTTTCTGGTCACATTTACCGGGTCACATTCAATTATCGAAATGATGTTTACACGATAACTTATCACCAAATGAAAAACACGTGTCAATCTAACACACACAAACATAAACAATTCGGAATAGCAATAATATCATTATTATCCGGAACGGAAATTTATTCATCGGATATCATTTTGATCATTCGTAGAGAATGAAATTCAGAAGATGTTCGTTACTTCGTTTGTCAAGTTGTTTATTTATTTGTTGTTGTTGTTGTTGTTGTTGAAAAGGTGTTGTGTTTATTCGATTCTTTCTCTATAATCATAATCATGGGTGCATGGTTTATTCTGGCGTATAAAACATAACATCACAACAACAACAACAACAAAAAAACAGCAAAAAAAAATTCAAGAATAAGAATTTCATATGCGCACACACACACTATCATCATATATTTTCAAACAGAATTCTATTCTGGGTTGGTAATTTTGGTTGGTTGTATGTATTGATATGTGCGTGTATACCAGAACCATGAAACATTTTTTTGTTTTGTTTTGGAACTGGAACAGTACAGTGCCTGGAACAAAATACAGAATATAAAATAGAATTGTGCGCGCGTCATTTACCACGCCTTCTGGTTAGTTATTCTTCTTCTTTTTCAATTGATATTTGTGGGATGTATCCAAAAAAAGTTTTTCTTTTTCTTTTTTTGGTAAATTCGTAGGATTGTGAATGAATGAATGAATGTGAAAGAAAACAACCAAGAAGAATCCGTTTTTGGCTGGTTAATATTTTTTTCAATTGTATGGTTTTTGGATCTATGTTTTTTTGCCTAAGAATTTGATGCATTCAATACACACACACATGTATTGTTTGACTTGAAGAATTTTTTTCGCCAAACGTTTCCTATTCTGTTCCTTGCTATCACTGTATTGCGCAATCGATTCTCATTATAGAATGAAAAAAAAACCATGATTGAAACATAGGAAAAAAAACGAAAAACAACATAGGTAAGTAATAATGGATTGGAAAAAAAACTTATCTTGAAGAAATGGAAAACATAAGGGAGAAAAAAATTATGCAAACCATATGTAAATATACAAAATTTAGTTTGACTTTTTTTTGGTAAACTTTTATTTCAATGTTTTTTATTTTTCACATCGACAAATTCACCGGGTAAATTAATCAATTCAGAATTCTGAATATGGAAAAAGAAAGAAAGAATTCGTAATCATCATTGAAATTCGGAATTTTTTTTGGATTGGTATTTTTGTTGTTTTTTAATGAAAAAATCAAACAATTTTCGAACGATTGAACTTTGACCGCAAACAACAACAACATTGGATAAAATAATTATTCAATAACCCTGCGGCAATATCAAAAAAGTTTTCCAATTTGATGATTGAATTGGGAAAATTTCCAACAATTTTTTCTTTTACAACCCGAAATACAATGTAATTTAATGAGAAAACAAAATATGACGCATATGAGATTAGTATGTTATAATAAAAGATTCTTAATCAATGTTTTTTTTCTATTTAATCCAGGGAATATTTCCCGAAAAAAAAATATTGTCATCGTTTGAATCAAATTTTTGGAATTGTTTTTCCGGAATTATAATTTTCAAATGAAAAAGTCAATTGAATTACAAACAATAACTTTGGGCAAAATTATTATTATTATTGTTAAATTTAAAAATGAATAAAAAAAATTCAAGTGCAAAATTTTCTCGTTTTTCTCTTTTATCGATAACAATAATGATGTTGACAATGATAAAAAACATTCCAATAAAATTCAGTAATCTCATATGGCCTATTGGAAAATTTGTATGAAATGTTTCAATTGGGAACTAACTGAAAAACGAAAAACGAAAAACCTAACTGATAAACAAGGTCGATAGAATGGCTACAACAACAACAACAAAAATTATCAAGGGAATCTAATCGCTTAAACGGTCTGTGGATACAAATGATGATGATGATGGTCGTTGTCGTTTATGGTGATGACAATTGAAACATTCAGAATTCAATGAATGTATGAACAAAACTAGAAAAAAAATTCTGACCTAAAACACACACACAGAGAATTTATTGGACTTTTTTTTCTTCTTTTTAGATTCTATATAGAATCTATACATATTGGTTGAAAACATTTTGAGAAACCAAACTAAACAATCAAGTAGCAGTAGCAAAATTGTTCATATTTCAATTTCATAGATCATTATTGATTCGTTTTTTTTTCACATAAAAAAAAATACTTATAGCAAATTTGTTCAATGTTTTATATTGATCATCAATGACTGGATCACCAAAAATGGATGACTAAATAAAGATGATGATCAATTTAATAACCCCAGAAGAAGAAGAAAAAAAAACTGTAAAATGATGTTAATCATGCTAAAAGATGATGTGTATTCGCACACACACACTTTTACTTATTTGAATTCATTATTGTGAAAATCCAGTGACGAATACACATAGATTGAACCCAAACATTGTCATAGTAGAACGTTTTAATACTCTTAAATTCTTATCAAGAATAATTCCCAATTTTTTGTTTTCTTTCCCCTATCGATTATACACTTGGAATACGTGTGTTGTTGTTGTTGGATATTTAAATTGTATTTTTCTTTCATCACATCTGTCGATATTTTTGGCTGGACAAATATAAAAAGCGCGTGTTTCGGTGTGCGTGTGTGTATATGTCACTTATCCTGTCACATTTAATCGAATAAATGATAGAAAGTTATCGTGTGTTTGTATGTGATCAGAGGATTTTTTTTTTCCTTTTTTTCCTCCCGTTAAATCGACCCGAGAATCAGAAAATCCGAGATTTTAACTTGACTAGATTTCAAACAATAAAAACAAATTTTTTTCTTCTATTCCAAATAATCCAAGTAAAAAAAATTGATGACTGAATGATTTTATCACTTTATCACTAATAGTGGTGATGATGAGTGTGATCACATTATATATTCACAACAATACTTTTATAAATGTTCCAAAAATGTTCCGACAACGGAGAATATGAAACTGGTTTTTTTTTCTGTTTGGTTCATTCAGCTCATTGAATCGGGTGATGATGATTATGATCATGATGATGATGATCGAGAACGCTTTTGTACACTTGTTTCATATACATATTGACTTTATGGCCATTTTTTTTGTTCTCCTTCTCGCTCGTTACTTTACATTAAAAATTCACAATTGAATTGATATGAGATGCATATCAATTCAATTGAATTTAACACATCAACCATAAATGGTATTTTGCGTAAAAAATTTTTTTTCCCTGTTTGTTCGTTTGTCTGTTTGTTTGTAAATATACAAAGTGATTGATACAAAGTGAACATACAATTGACACTTCCATATACTATCATTGATAGATATCCGTAGATGTTTTTTGTCTTTCCGCGTACCATTTATACGCCAGTGAGAATGACAAACCACATTTATTCAATTCAATTCAATTCATATGGCTTTTAAATCTTATTATAAATTCATAGCCAATCAAAATGAAAATACTTGGTCGGTGTGTGATGGTTATGGTGGGGGTTAACAATTCCAATGATTCAAAAAAGGGGTGGAAAAGTAGGAGAGGATAGATTTTTTTTTCCAAAATAAAATTCATTATAGAAATGGAAATGTTCAAAAAACACCTCCCCAACCACACCACTATCTCCCCCCTCTTGTTTCAATGTGTCACATCTTATTTTATGATGAATGATGATGATGGTAATGATTTGAAACAACGAAAAAATAACATTTGTTTAGGTTGTCATCGAATTAACGTTTAGTTCTATTTTGGGGGGGGGTAAACAATCAATGATCCGGTAATAGTAATATCTATTTACTACTTATTTAGATTAGTAAGTAAGTAAAATTGGTTAGGGAAATGAAAACAAAAAAGTTTACCATGTGTTAAATGTTTTTTATTTCTCCCCCTCACACAAAAAAAAATATCCAATGTGTTTAGGGATTTCGATCCATTAACACACTACTATTGTCATAATCTGTATCTATTCTATTCAATTCAATCCAACTATAGTTTACATACGATGAAAAGTTTATTTCAATCTTTTTTTTTAAAAAAAACTTTTGTAAATTTATTTTGTAAATTTATTTTTATTTTTACCGACAAAAAAAAATCTCATTATAAATTCATAGTTTTTCATTGACTTTTTTTTAGTTTTCTCTCTCCCCTATTCAAAATACTTATTTAAATCTTATTGTTTTCATCTTGTTTTCAGCAAAAAAAAAAAAAAATCTATTGTTATCAAGGGAAAAGAGTTCAATTAAGTTTTAAAAAATTTGAATGAATGAATGAAAAAAATGAAATTTGTAAAAATAAAACAAAAAAAAAATGTATATTGAAGTCGTCGTCGTCGTTGTTGTTTAGTTTTGTAATTTGCTTTGAAAATTGTAATTTCTATCTAAGCATCATCTTCCTTCAACAACCGATCACCAATCAATAGATCGATCGATCGATCGATGGATCATCATCATCATCATTCAAAACATAAATAATTTTTTCCCCATCGATTTAATGTTCTCATCATCATCTATATCTGTCAATCTTTGTCTGAATGATTCTCACCGATGTTTTGTTGTTGTTGTAGACGAGAATGCTGGTCAGCCATACTAAAACCCGAAATGAAGAGAAAACAACACCGGTGTGTGTGTGTGTGTGAACAACTACTATTTTTAATACACAAAAAGAACTATGTCGGACAGACTGGGAAAGTGGGGGAAAAAAGGAAAAAAAATTGATTTTCATGACCGATTTTTCATAATAATAATAATGACTTATATTTTCGGAAAATAAAATTAAAATGTTTTTTTCTTCTTGCTTATATGATTGTAATATGTATATATTTTGTGCATCCATCATCATTCACTGAGTGAATGAATGAGTGAATAAGAGAAAATCAAAAAATAGCATCATTGGTTTTGGATGATGATCGAGTGTTTGAAAGAAGAATCCACGAAGAGAGAGAGAGAGAGAGAGCAAAGCTACCAGCAAAACCATCGTTCGTTTTTGACTGGTTTGACCAGATTTTTCTTTCGGATTTCCTCTTTTCAAAATAAAAAAATATCTTAGTTATTCAAAAACCTGTGAATGAATGTAACTGTTTCTTCTATCATCATCATCATTGAATTTCTCTTCTTACGGCCCGGATACAATATCGGTAATAATAATGATCATCATCATCATCATGATCGAATCGAACGGGAAAAAAAGAGCAAAAAAGGGGTTGTACAAAAATGATGTAACTTTGTATCCATCCCATCAATATATTTCTCTTTATTCAACTCATTCGATTATCGTTGATAAAGAAGAAGAAGATGAAAAACATTAAAGATTTGAATGGCTATCACATCATTTATTTATTTACTTCCCCTTTTTTTTTCTCACCAACCAAATAAAAAAACATCCATCCATCCATCCATTATCTTTTCATTCTCTTTTTCTTTTCTTTTCTTTTTTCTAAATGAATTCGAATTATCATTCAACCTAACCAAACTGATAAAATTGATCGCTTCAATGAACAATTTTCTTTCGTACATTTTCTGATGATTGTTGTTGTTGTTGTTTGGCCAAATTAAGTCAAAAATATTTCAATGTTTTCTTCGTGTGTTCAATGTATGTTATCAAGCAATTTTTGAAAAAAAAACGAATAAGAATTCAGCAACAGCAGCCATAATAGACAATTGAATCATTCGATGGTAAAAAGAAAATGATGATGATGATGATGAACCCAATGATCATTGACACAACCTGTTTTTGTTGTTGTTGTTGTTGTTGTTAATCATCTTCATGTTCTACCCTTATATGTTTCCCAAAAAAAAAGTGTTTTTCTATACAATCCAAAAAGGTGTATATATTGTTAAATGTTGATGATGTTTTTGTGTGGTGGTAAACCGATCATAAACAACGACGATAACCTTTTTTAATTGAAAAAAAAACAATTCAGATTGATTTGACCTTTTTTCTTCGTTGATAATGATGATCGCCAAATCAATAAAGTGTTAACATTTTTTTCATTTCAAAATACGATTATCGTGAACATCTTCAAATGTTTTCAATGATTTCATGTTGTGGTGTTATTTTTTAAAAATTTTAAATTTTCCCTTTAAAAATAATCTAATCGATTCTCAATCTACATGTGTTTGTCTGTTCGTGTTTGTGTGTGTATAATATTTAAAGAAAAAAATTCATGATGAAATGTTTTGGCTCATCAATCAAAGTATATCGTTGCAAAATTATTTTGCTCGATGAAACCGAATTAATACAAGAAATTAAGGTAAGTTTTTTCGTTTTTATTAATCAATTTGATTTTTGATGTCAGCCAAAATGAAAAAAAAATTAATCAACACACACCTACACACAAGCGAACAAACAAACGAAAAAAACTGCCAATTGACAAACTACCTTATCCACATTTGGATGAATGTCTTAATAATGTTATTTCGATTTTTTTTTGGGACCACAAAAAACTAAAACAAAATTATAATTTTAAAAAATGAAAATAACAGGAATCACAAAAAGGTCAAGATATATTGGATATTGTTTTCAAACATCTTGATTTACTTGAAACAGTTTATTTTGGTTTACGTTTTATTGATTCAAAAGGATTTTCGGTAAGAATTATTCTGTTTAAGTTATTGATTTTTTTTAAACGAAAATCATCCAATTGATTAGAATTGGCTTGAACCAAATAAAAATGCCATCAAACAGGTAAAAGAAATTGAACCAATTACATTATATTTTGGTGTAAAATTTTATGCATCAGATCCATGTAAATTACGTGAAGAATGTACAAGGTATATTTGGATTTTTTTTAAATTTAATTAGAAAAATTTATTAATTATTTGAATCAGATATCAATTTTTTCTACAAATCAAACAAGATATACAACAATCACGATTACCTGTAACAAATGAATTAGCTGCACAATTATTAGCATATATTATACAATGTAAGAAAAGTTTTGTTTGTTTGTAATTAATTAAAAATCATGAAATTAATTAACATTTGTTCAATAATTAGCTGAACTAGGTGATTATGATCCAAAAATTCATCAATTTGGTTATGTATCCGAATTCTGTTGGATTGAAAATCAATCATTAGATTTTGAGAATAAAGTTTGTGATTTACATAAAAAATTAATGTAATGTATTTTTTTTCTTTCTATTTTTGGATTGATAATGATGATTTTTTTTTGAAATTAATAAAAAATTAGTGGACAAATTCCAACAGCAGTTGAAATGCAATTTCTTGAACGATGTAAATGGTTAGATCTTTATGGTTGTGAATTACATTCGGTTATGGTAAATGAATTTAGATAATTTATTGACTAATCAAACAATCAATAATGTTTTCTTTTCCATCAGGCTGAAGATCGATATGAATATTATCTTGGTCTTGGACCACATGGAATAATTGTATTGAAAAATAAATTAAAAATTGCCTATTATTATTGGTATGATTGATTGACTAATTTGATTAACTAATTTCATTGATTTTAAATTTCATTTTCTTTTTTGGTAGGCCAAGAATCATAAAAATATGGCGTAAAGGAAAATTTTTCATGATCAAAGTGATTGATAAAAATGTAAATTATCTTAAAATCAAAGATTTGATAATGTTTAATGTTTAAAATTTGATTTTGTCTTCTATTTTTCATTTCAAGAATGTTGATAAAACCTATGGTTTTGAAATGTATGATCGAATATCAACAAATCGTATTTATAAAAGTTGTAAAGATCATAAAGAATTTTTTAAATTATCACAATCAATACGAATGCAGCCAATATTAATGTCAAATCAATTAAATGATGGTAATAAATTTTCATCATCATCGAATGGAGCCATACGAATGATAAATCAAGATTTTAATCGTCCAAATCCTTCATTGATAAGAGTTTCAAGTAGACGTTTTCGTCGTACTGGTGTACCAGATGGTTCGGAAAGTATGTTCTGATTTTCATTTGTTTTCAAATCAACCAATCTAACCAATAAAAAAAATTCTTCTCTTTTCTATTCGGGTCAATTATAAAAATTCCTTACAATCCGACTAGATGGTGATTCAAAGTTAAATAAAAATGAACAATTTTATGAAGGTGGCAATAGTAATAAATGTTTACAATCAAACATTTGTCGTTTTAATTCAACACCATCAATTCCAAAAGCTGAATATTCAACAACGGCAATAAATCCATATTATAATAATAAATCTGAAAGGTTTGTAAATGTTCATGCATGTTTTATTTTCCAAACAAAATGAATGGATAAATAAATAAAATTTTTTCATCATTTCGACATTATTCATTTATTTTTAGTGGCCTTTTTTCAAAATCGGCAAGTGCATCACCATTATCCGTACGTAGTGCATTTGTTGCACGTTATGATTATGGCCGTATGAATTATGTTTCACCAATGAAACGTAATTCATCAACAACTAGTTTACGTCGTAATCGTTCATCAAGATCAGCGGATAATGATAGTGAAATTAGTCGTTATTCATCGAAAAATTCAACAAAAAAATTAATGTCTATTCATTCATCATCGATTCATAGAAATGGTGTAGGTGTGGGTGGCGATGGTGGATGTTATTCCGATATAAACATTGGTTATATGCCCAGATCGAGAAGAAAATATTATGTTGAACCACAAATGGTTGAATGGAATGAAACAATGGATAAACGTATAATGAAAAATTATTCAACAATGCCAACATCTATAACAACAACGCCAAAACAATGTTCAAATGCAGTGGTTAAAAATGTTAATAAAATTATATATCAATCATCAAATAATCGTCATTATGATGATAGTGATTCGGAAACTGAAGATCGTCGACGATATAAACAACCACCACCACCACAATCATCATCATCACCACCACCATTACATTATCGAAGTAATCGTAGTTTAAATCGTAAATCCGCATTACCAAGTGAAATACAAAAATATATTTTTCATGAACCAATCGATACAACTGGATATACTGAAGCTGAAAAGAAAAATATTCAATTTACAAAAATTCGTACCGAACAACCACAACAACAACAACAATTATCATCAAAATATCAACAACAACAACAACGTTCATCAAAATCGGATGTAGAATATTATCTGGGTAATAATCGTATCAATTATATTCGAAAACCAAATTCGAATCAAATGATGGATGATCACCAACAACAACAATCTTCATCATCACATTATTATCATCGTCGTCAACAGCAACAATCATCACCTACACATATGATGACCGATAAAATCTATTTTGATAAATCAAATATAATGGTAGAAACAGATGGTAGTGGTGGTTGTAATATTCAATCCAATATGATGACCATTACATCACCACCACCTACACGTTATTATTTTAATCAAAAAAATCTAATACAGAATGGTCATCATCATCATCAACAACAACAAAACATGCATCAATCATTACCATCATCAACAACAACGGCGTCACCACGAGTTACATTTTTACCAACACATTCGACTGCTTATTATTCCAATAATGATGTATGTAGAACAAATAAATTTCAATATTTTTTATTTTTTGAAAATAAATTATTATCATTATTTTCAGGATCACAAAATGGCAACAGCAGCAACAACATCGACATCGACATCGACATCAACAACATTAACAACGGCAACAACATCAAAACATTTACAATCGACAATAATAAATGGCGGTACAAATGATTTGAACAATTATTTATACAATGGTAATAATAAAGATCATCATCTTTTTGTACCATCATTATATTATAATCATCACAACCATCATAATCATCATAATCAAAAAATTATTAAATCACCAAATGAAATGAGTACCGAACTTTGATGTTACAAATATTATTTTGTATATCATAATAATAATCAATGATGATGATCATCATTATTAGCCAACACACACACACACATGGATTAATTGCAATGAAAACAAATTGTGTTGATTCTTTTTTTTTATATAATTTGATTTTGTTGTTATTTTGTTTTTATTTTCTATTCAATTGTCCAGATTTTGTTTTGTAAACAAAAAAATTTTTTATTTTCGACTTCTTTTCAATCAAAATTTTTGTTTTGTACAATCAAATATCCAACAAAACAGCCAGCCAAATAAAAAACCTGTAATCTGTAAATGAAATCTTACCGGCAATCAATGGATGGCATTGAATCAAGTAAAACACAATCTTTATATTCATCATCATCATCATCATCATTATAATTATTAACACGTGAAACAAACTGAGAAACAAAGTCCATAAATTTTTTTTTTTGTTAAGGTTTTTACTTTTGTTGTAAATCGAATATATAATAATAAAAAATAAAAATTAACGAAATGCAAAAGTAACAAAAAAAAGTGAAATCTTTTTTTTTTGGTATTTTGTCTTGGTTTTTTTTCATTTCATTAAATTTGATTTGTGATTGGATGCATCGACAACAACATTATAACGACGACCAAAAGGTTAAAATTTCAATGATCTCAATTTGGTTGTGTCGAAGACGATATTTTTTTATAGATTTTTTTTCTTGAAAATTTCCATTTCCACTTGTTTGATTTGTTTTAATATTTTTTTTTTTCGGTGGAAAAGGAATTTGATTTGATTTGATTTTCTTGTTATACAAAATGGAAATGAATCATCGTAGACGATCATCAATATTTCCACAATATCTTCGAAGATCAGAACGTAAAGATTCAATATTTCAATCAGAATCGACAAAAATTCTTTATCCATATACGATTGATGAAAAAAGACCCGGTGATTATCAAAAAATTACAAATGATGATCAAAAATCTACTGCATTGAAATTCGGTTGGATCAATGGCGTTTATGTAAGTTCTCAAGGTGTTTTTATTTGTTTTAAATTTAAAAAATCAACTATACTTTTGCATTAGATACGTACTGTTCTCAATATATTTGGTGTTATGTTATTTCTTCGTATGGGATGGATAACTGGAAATGCTGGAATTTGTAAGCAAAATTTTGTTTGTTTGTTTTGAATTTTCTATCTAAAAACAAAAAATTTATGTTTAAAATCAATAGTGGGATCAATAGGAATTGTTCTTATATCGACATTATTAACATTTTGTACAACATTATCAATGTCGGCAATATGTACGAATGGTGAAATTGGAACTGGTGGTATTTATTATATGATTAGTCGTAGTCTTGGTGCTGAAGCTGGTTCAATGATTGGTATAATTTTTTCATTAGCAAATGCTGTACTTGTTTCATTGAATTTGGTCGGTGCAGCTGAAACAACTGTTGAATTAATGAAGGTAGGTTTTTTTGTTTGTTGTTGTTGTTTTGAATGGAAATGTGAAGAATAAAAATAATTAATTAGGCTAATAATATTAATATATATAAAATTAGTCGGCTAATATAACGATTACAAATAATATTGAAAATGATACAAGAATATATGGCATTATATTCTTAATTATTGTTGCTATTATACCATTGATTGGAATGGATTGGGAAGCTAAAGTATGTAATAAAAAAAAATCTTCAATCAAAATTATTAGAAGGTGTTCAATGAGTTAATCACTTTTTTTCGTTGTTGCTGTTGTCATATACAGGCCATGTTTGTCCTATTAATCATACTTATAGTTGCTATTGGTAATTATTTAATTGGAACATTTTTACCACAAACCGATGTACAGATTTCATCGGGAAATCTTGGATGGAAACGTAATTATTATTATTATCAATTACGTTAATAATCACACATTTTAATTTATACATTTCAAAATTTTCTAGCTGAAATTTTTATGCTAAATCTTTATGGACAATATCATAATACATTGTCCGAAATATTTGCTGTATTTTTTCCATCAGTTATTGGTATATTTGCTGGTGCTAGTATGAGTGGTGATTTACGTGATCCAAATGCAGCTATACCGAAAGGAACATTTTTGGCAATCCTGACAACATCATCTGTTTATTCAATATTGATTTTGTTTTTAGGTTTTACCGTATTACCACATGCAACTGGAAATCTGGATGATATGCAAAATATTACATATCCACCAAATTTTTCTTGTATTCATAGTGATGATGGATGTCCGAATGGTCTAATCAATGATTATCAGGTATTTTTTTATCAATTTAGTTTTTCTATGTTCAATTTCATCATAATCACAATAATTGAATTAAATAGACAATGACATTAAGTGCAGCATGGGGACCATTAATCTATGCCGGAATATATGCAGCAACTATATCCAGTGCACTTGGTTCATATGTTTGTGCACCAAGAATATTTCAAGCATTATGTGAAGATAAATTATTTCCTTATATACATTATTTTGCTAAAGGTTATGGTAAAAATAATGATCCAAGACGTGGTTATGTATTGACATTTATAATTTCATTAATATTTATTATGATTGGTTAGTTTTTTTAACAAAACAAAAAACAAAATTCCCATTTAACAAATGAATCCTATTTTTTATATGATTAACAATTATTAATTCAATAATAGGCCAGGTAAATTCCATTGCACCGATTATATCAAATTTTTTTATGGCATCATTTTGCCTTGTTAATGTAACCTGTTTTCATGCATCATTTGTTGGTTCACCAAGTTTTCGTCCTACATTTAAATATTATAATAAATGGATAAGTCTTATAACCGGATTGATTTGTGTAGTCATAATGTTCTATCTGGATTGGATATCGGCAATCATTACTGTTATTGTAATGTGTTTAATTTATTTTTATATATCCAAAAAAGGACCTGGTTAGTATTGATAAACAAAAAAAAATTTTTTTGATTAGATCTATAATTATCATTATTTTTCTTTTCTTTCTTATTCTCATTCGTTGTATTAAACCAATCAATTTATTTAGATGTCAATTGGGGAACATCAACAAAAGGTCATGTATATAATAATGCATTATTTTCGGCATTACGTTTAACACATACAAAAGATCATGTTAAAAATTTTCGTCCATCAATCCTATTATTAACCGGTAATCCAAGCGCTCGTATACCATTAGTAGAATTTGCCAATAATATAACATTACATCGAAGTTTATTAATGATTGGTCATATTGTTGATTATGAAATACCAAATAATACAAGAGAAAAAGTTATTGAATCACAATATGAATGGATGTCTAAAAGAAAAATTAAAGGATTTTATCTATTGCTTGAAGCATCATCATTAACTAATGGTTCGAAAATAATGTCTCAAGTTGCTGGTCTTGGTCTTAAATTATCACCGAATATTGTCATGATGGGCAAGTTAACATTCATTAAATCTATACAACAAAAAATTAAGACATTAATTGACGATTAATTAATGATTTATTTTAATAGGATATAAATCAAGCTGGCATGATTGTCTGGTCGAAGATTTACTTGATTATTATAATGTTATCAGGTATTTAATCACTAGATTTAAAAAAAAAACTTTAAAAAATGCTTAATTATCCTATTTTTTAAATCGATTTATAGAACAACACATGAAATGTCATTGGGTATTATTATATTACGTATACAGGAAGGTTTAGATTATGCAGATTTTTTTGGTCCATTACGACATTCAATTATCGATATGGATGATTTAACAACAAACACAGCTGATAATAATAATATTACAAATACTAATAGCAATGGAAATATGAATATAAAATTATTTCAAATACCGGAAAAAAATGACGATGATGATGATGATGATGATGTTGATAACAATCCTCATTGTTTGGATGAAAAAATTTCAAAAACAACAATTTGTTTGGAACGAAGATTATCGAATACAATTCAATCAATACAACAATCGCAACAACAAAGAATATTAGCTAAAAAAAATTTTGAAAAAATGAAAAGTAACAAATTTTTTTGTTTTTGGTCATTTTATCTATGGATTTTTTACTTTGTTTTCAGATCTAATACCACGTGATGCAATCGAAGCAATCAATCAATTTAGTGATAAACAAAAACCCGGACCAATCGATGTTTGGTGGCTAACCGAAGATGGTGGTCTTACATTATTAATACCATATCTATTGAATGTTAGCTATAAATGGAGTGATTGTAGTATGAGAATATTTTGTCTTTCGAAAAATGCTGATAATATTGAATCGATTAAACAAAAGTATGTATTATAATGAAAATGATTTACATTAGGAGAATTTCTATTAATAATCCCAAACATAGTATGATGGAACTATTAAAACAACAACGTATACCATTCAAAGAATTGACCATCATACCGGAATCAGAATTAAATCCATCCGAAGAAAGTAAATCAATATTTCGATCAATGATTGAAAAGTTTATGAATAAAAATGATTCTACAACGACGGCGACAACAACAACAACACGTAATATGGCAAAAGTAACAAAAATTGATCTAACTAAATATGAAACAATGGTAATTGCATGATTGAAATTCAACTAAATTTTAAATAATTTTTCTATTTTTTGAATACATTCAAAAAAACTCCAAATGAAGACGAATAAATATCTTGATATTCGTGATTTATTAACATTACATTCAAAATCATCTACATTGGTTGTCATGTATGTTATTTTAATATTAAAAAGAAAACTTTATCAATTAATCAATCAATCAATCAATCAATTGATCACAGGACATTACCATTACCACATCGTGATATTGTTGCACCATTATATATGGCATGGTTAGAAACAATAACTAAAGATATGCCACCATTTTTATTTGTACGTGGACATAAAAATGTTCTTTCCTGTGACAATTAACATGATCATCGAGTTGACGACTTTACTACCATCTAGTATCCGAAATAGAATACAAAATGATAATTTTTTTAAATAAAAAATAAAAAATTTTTAATAATAAATAAATTTCATTTTTATTTTGGAAATTTGTTTTAAAAAAAAATTCATAATTTATAATCATCATTTTTTCCTAACAAGATTATTAATTGTTTTGATTTGTAATGATGATCGAATCATTTCTTTTGGAATGTCTTCAGATATAAAAATTTGTAATTTTTTCTGTTTGATTAAATGAAAACCATTATCGGAAAAAATACTAAATAATGATGAATTATTTACTATATTTATCCATATGAATGGTGCAATTTTATCGGTAATCAATTCAATATCATAAACATGTACACCACCACGTCGATATGGACCATCGATTTTTTGTAAAAATATTTTCGGATCAATGGGTAATTTTGCATTTTTCAAATAACCTAACAATAGGAAATTATCTCTTTGCAACAGTTGTCCATTAATAGTACCATTTAATCGTACATTTATAAAACAATTATCACGATCATTACATCGAGATTTTCGAAGAAATTCATTCATATTCATTTTGAATGCTATGGTTACATCGAATGGATTAGTTTGACAATTAATACGTTGTGTATATATTGGTTCCTGTTTCGACCAATCATAAACTTCAATATCGACAGTAAAACTGGTTACATGTGAATGATCATCACGTACAATGATTACATTAAGAAAATCTTGATCTTCATAAACATCCACTAATAGATCATCGAACATACGTTTAGCATAATAATGTAACATTTTCCATTTGCCTTCATATTCAATCGATGACCAAGAAAATCCTGGCCAAATATTATTCAATTGCCAATAAAGTGCACCCATTGTAAATCCTTCACCTGTATGATAATCAATTTTACGATTTCGACGATAAAATTCAGTTTGTATTTTGATAGCCATCGATTGAAATATTTGTGACATGTAGATAAAATCTTCTAAATGTTCAATACTTGGTACGGTTATATTTGTTTGTAATGGAAAATGTCGATCCATGAAGTCATTCAAATAGGCCAATCCATTCATCTGATGTTCACGATGTATTAATCCTTCATTGAATGGATATTTCAAATATTCAACGCTAAGATATTTTTGTAATAATTCTAAAGATGGTAATGATTGAAAACCATATTCGGAAACAAATTTTGAACTTGGTGCTAATCGCCAATCCCAAGCATCAACAAACACAACATAATGATGATTATCACCATATCGTTTATTTTGTGGATCGGTTGATAAATAATTTTCTCGTTGACTAACAATACCATTCGATGGACTGGATGAAACGAATGGTCGTGAAACATCTTCCTGCAAAATGATTGGCATAATTGTATCGATATAAAGCTGATGATAATCACGTTTATATTCGTTCATATGTAATGCTAATTCCATCCACCACATTTGTGAAATAGCCATTTCATTTTCATTATTACCAGCCCAGATTGCTATCGATGGATGATGATGTAAACGACGAACTTGTTGACGGATTTCTTTCGAAACTGATTGAATAAATTTTTGATCAGTTGGATAAAGTGCACAGGCAAACATCATATCTTGCCAGATTAATATTCCATATTCATCGGCTAATTGATAAAAATAATCGGATTCATAAATACCACCACCCCAAACACGTAACATGTTCATATTGGCAACTTTAGCTGACCACAATAAAAATTGTACATATTCCGGTTTTACATTTTCATTTAATACATGTGCCGGAATCCAATTTGAACCTTTAGCAAATATTGGTACACCATTTACACGAAAATAAAAAGAATAAGCTTCAACGGATGCATTCAATCGATCCTGTACTAATTCTATTGTTCGAAAACCAATACCGATTTGTTTGTTCGACATTTCCTCATTACCGATTTGAATTGTAGCATTTAATCGATAAAGAATTTGATCACCAAGACCATTTGGAAACCATGGTTTGATTGACATTTCTTTTGGTATTAAAATAAAAGCATTAACAAAAGTTTCACCATCTGAATCAAATTGTGTTTGAAATTCTTTTACAACTAATAATTGATCAGCCAATGATATGGTTAGATTTGCATTGATTAAAGATTTTGGTCGACTTTCTAACCAAACTGTTGCATTCAATAACCATTGATTTGATTGTTGTTCATAAACAGTATTGGCAGATATAGTACGAATCAATACATTATTATAAGCTTCAATTGAAATTGATTGCCAAATTCCTTGTGTTGGGAATGCAGGTCCCTTTTTCGATAAATTAAAAAAACATTTAAATCAGAATTTAAATAAAAACATCCAAAGTATTTTCACATACCCAATCCCAGGAAAATGATGATTGCATTTTTCGTATAAAATTCGGATGACATTCACCATGTTGAGATTCAGGTGGACAAACTTTGAATAGAATTGAATCATATTATTGTTTTATCAATGCAAAAAAAATTTGTTTTTTGTTACCTGGTGGAATTGGATATTTGTTTCGAAGAAAATAATCCCGTGCATAAATAGGTGCAGATGTAAAACTAATTTGTATAACATTTTGTTGTTCTTTAAGTAAATTTTTTATTGAAAATCGATAACGAACAAATTGATTATCCACCGAATCTAATTGATAACCATTCAATGTTATATTGGCAATTGTATCCAAACCATGACAGGTTAAATAAATTTGATCATAATTTAATAATTTTTTCGGTACTACAGGTACGAAAAAAAAACATTAATTTTTAATTTATTTTCAATGAGGGAAAAAACTTACAATCAAAACTTTTACTATATGTCCAATTTGAATAGGAAACCCAACGATATTTAACATCATTAAAATCTTTATATAATTCATTAAGAATACCGGCATTTACTAGATCCGAATAAATAGTACCAGGTACTTTAGCTGGTATACTGTTTGCTAAAAATATTTATTATTTACAAAAGAAAATCAAAAACTCAAGAAAATATTCATAGAAAAAAAAGCAAAACAAAACAAAATCTTACATCGTTTATTCGAATCAAAAACATTCCAATCATTACCATCCAATGAATGTATGATTACAGCTGTTGATGCGACATTAATGATTACAAACAATTTAATAATTATTATCGTAATAATTATGGTTGTATGTTTCATGATTTATAAAAAAAAAATATATTTATCGACAACGATTTGTTTGTTTGTTTGGTTTTGTTCTTTTTGGTGCATTCATTCAAGCAAACACAGTGGCAGTAAATTTATAAAGACAAACCCAAGTTTCATTTAACCTAAAATGATGCACAAAAAAAATTTTCGAGTAAAAAAAATAGAGAAAAATAAACGAATCGAATGAAATAAATCGATAATGATACCATCGAATAGTGTGTAGGTTGATTAAGTTCCGTTATCACCTTATATCTTTGTATATTGGTTGATGATAAGAATATGAGTGGTCTTTTTCTTTTTCTTTCTGTTTTTTGAAAAATGAAACACCCACTCAAATCAAAAAATCTTATCGATAACCAAGGATTAAAATGGAAAATCAAGCAAATCAAATCAAAACAAAAATCTTTTAAAATTATTTAAATTTTCTAGATCAATAAAAAAAAATATAACCCAGATAACCAAAATACTTAGTTGTTGTTATTGGGCTATTTTTGGGCTGTTGTTTCAGTTGCTGTTGTTGTCAGGTGAATTTTGATCACCATGGATCACCAAAACCAGATGAAAAACAGGAAATTGTGTCATCAAGAAAAGAAATGAAACTAAAACTAAAACTAAAACTAGAAAAAAACAGAACAAAACAACCACAGAATTTCTATAGAATCAGAGAATACAATCAATCTTTTATTATTATATTAATTATTCTTGAATCAATATGCAAATGTCAAAATGAAGAATGATGAAGATGATGAATGAATGAATAAAATGTTTGATAATAATTAATCAATCGATAAAAATTTATAATCAATAAAATGAATGAATTAATGAATGTATGACCTTGCTATTTATAATAATATAGAATAGTAATTTCTCCTTTTTAAAAAAACATAAAATATATAATCATTAATTGATAATTTTTTTTGTTTTTGTTCAAAATAATTTTGTTTTACGTTTTACAAATGTTTTTTTTGAATTGAATTGAATTGAATGATAAATGAAATAATGAAGAAAAAAAAACAAAAAATTTTGCAATTCAAGTGGCCAGAATCAAGGAAACAAAAATCAGTTGTTAGTTATTGTAAATGGCAAATAATGTGTGTGTTTGCGTAGTGTTTTGTTTTTTTGAAAACGTTTTGTTAATGATAATTTTGATGAAAGAAAACAAACAAAAATTTGTGAATACCGTACCGAGGCAGAAAAGTTTGTAACCTGTGGATGGATGTGTGTGTGTGTGGAAAATAGAAAAATTTTCTAAATTCTGTCAACAACAAATAGTAAAATTCTGTTGAGAAAAAAAAACTTATGATGAAGACATATCACGAAATCGATTCAAAATTTATAAATCGATGATTGTCTTCATTATTTTGTTTTTTATTATTATTATTACGTACATATCATTCAATCGTAATTAACTAATACAAAGATAATTTTGTTTTGTGTTTTTTGTTTGTTTTCTTTTTTTCAAAAAGAAATAGTTAAAATTTTTTTTTAGCAGAAAAATAATTTTGTTTTTTTTTTAAATCTCACTCTGAATTTGTGTGTTTTCAAGGCAGTTTATTTTTTGTGTGTGTGTGTTTTGAATAACAATTTTGATTCGATGAAAAAAAAGAGAAGAGAATAATTTAGTTTAGGCTTTTTTCATTCAGAAGATGAGAATTTCCATTCTGTAATTTATACCATTATTTCATCCTTATTGTGATTTTTCAAATCTTTTTTGTTTTTCCTTCATCTTTTTTCTTTTTTGGTTAATTATGATGGTGATAATGATGTTTGAACACAAAAAAAAAGAATATTGTTTCGATTGGTTTCTCGAATGTATTCACGATGTAAATTGAGAACAACAAAAAAAAATTCTTTCATCCAATAATCAATGTAACAATAATGAAAGTAAAGTAGTTTCGAAGACATGGAAAAAAAATTAGGAAATGAAAATAAGAATTATGCATGCCGAAAAAAAAACAAACAAACAAAAATGAAAATGAATATGATGAAAAATTTTTATATAAAGAATGTATGTGTGTATTGAATGATTGTTTAGATTTAAATTTGAGCATATTCTATAGATGATTTTTAATCATTGTACCCGACGTCGTTACCATTCCCGTTGATGATAATGCCATATGATTAAGATGATTTTGATTACTAGTAGTTGTTGTAACCAAAAGACAATTATTATTATTATTACTATTGGCTGAGTGTATTAAATCCGATGATGATAATTTAATCGATATTGGGCTATTGAACAATGATGATGATGATGACGATGATGATGATGAAGATGGTGATGATAATGGTGATGATGAATTTGATGATCCATTATTATTATTGTTTGGATAAGATAATTCATAACCATTATTTAGATCAGAACCTTTCACCAATAGATTAAGTAAAACACTATTCGATGCTAATCATTGATATAAAAAAAAAATCATTTCAATTAATCAAATGATTACAAATCAAATAAGTTTACTTACAAAAATTTTTAACCATCGATTCAGATGATCGTGGTTTTTTGAACACATTTTCTTTGATTATTATTTCATTTGTTTGTGGCTGTGATTGTTGCGATGTTATCGACGCAATATTAATCGCTGTTTGATTAATATTTGGTATTGCCAATTGTTTTGGAACTTTGAATTGTTGTTGTTGTTGTTGTTGTTGTTGATTAATAAATGCAACTTTAGGTATTAGTTCATTATTTTTGGTCAATACAAAATGATGTATAGATGCTGTATTAGTATTTCCATTTGTTGTTGTTGTCGTCGTCGTACAATTACCATTACTATTTTGATTATTAATAATCATTTTTTGCGTTGGTATTTCCGGTGTTAATATCAGATTCTTAATCTTCTTTTCACCAGTTTGTGTCATTGTTGTATAAACATAGAAGTTACTATTTTTACGTTTCATCGTTGTTGTTGTTGTAGGTGTTGCCGAACGATTATTATTATTATTATTATTATTCAATATTATATTTTCATTATTTGTAAATGTTGTCATCAAATTATTATCATCATTTCCAACATTACTAGTATCATGAAGAATTTGTTGCTGTCTTTGTTGTAATTGTTGTCGAAATTGTTCACGATTTAAACTATTATTATCATTATTAGAATTATTATTAATTTTTAATGATGGTGTTGTTGAAAATTGTTGTTGTTGTTGTAATATTTGATTTGATGAGCTATAAATTTTATTTTTTAAATTACGAATCAATTGATCATTTTGTAATAATGCTTCCAGACAACCACCATTATTCAATTTTGGAAGACTTGATTTTTTACTATTATTATTATTAGTTGTTGTTGAAAATTGTTGTTGTCTATTAAATGGATCATTAAAACAATTTAACTTTGTATTATTATTGCCACCATTGTTGTTGTTTGTGATAGTTAGATTATTATTGCCATCATTATTATTATTATTATTAATATTTGTATTAGAAATCCAATCAAATAGATCATCCAGATTTGAACAAGGAAAATCATTCAATAGATAATCATCATCAATCGGTATGAAGGGTGCACGCATTTCTAAATCTTTATCATCATTCAAATTATTATTATTATTATCACATAATTTTCCCATCGAATCATCTGATATTGATTTTGGTGAATATTGTGACGACGATGACGATGATGATGATGGTGATGAATCATTTGAACTAATGAATGATGATTCTCCCATTGAACAATCGGATCGTGATCCATTAGGTGAATTTGATAATAAAAAATCATCATTTGTAAATGATAAAAATGGATCATTTGAATTCATATCAAGTCCATTAGATTTTAATGAATCTTTTACCGAATTATTTGAATGATGATTATTTAGATCGGAAAATGTTTCTGTTGGAAATCTTTTCATCATAAATTGATTTTCAAAATCCATACCAATATTATCCATACTATCCAATTTAAGTTTATCATTAATATTCGGATCTAATGATACAAGATTATTAAGAAATTCATCTTCAGATAATACACCGCCATTAGCGGATATATTAAATGATGAACTATTAAGAAAGATTTCATCGAAAATATTCATATCGGTAAAATCCATATCAGGAAACATTGGTACACAAAGATCACCAGCATCCGGTGCTAAATGTGTTAAATCATCAGCATCATTCAATACGGTAAGGCCATTATTATCTTCAGTGAACACAAGAAAACCACTTTCCATGTCGGCCGTTTTAGGTGCCAACACTTGTTCGGTACTTGATATGAATTGATCAGTTATTGATTGTGGCTGACAGATTGGTTCGACAAGCTGTTGTTGTTGTTGTAAAAGTTTTTGTTTTAACTGCTGTTTTTCAGATTCTTGATCTTGTTTTTCTTCTTTAATCTTAGTAATAAACGATGAATTTGTTGATGTTGTAGGCAGTGGTGGTGAAATCAATGGAGGATGTTGTTGATCATTTATTAAAGCCGGAACTGCCACTAATGATGCTGTTGAAGAAGATACAATAGTCGTCGACAATGATGGACATTCAATATTGGCCAATTCTGGAATTGATATTGAAACAGATTTTTGTTGACAAGGAAATGATGTTTGTTGTTGCTGTTGTTGTTGATGATGATGATGTTTGATTGATGATTCAATAATCGAACTTGTTGTACTGACAACCGAATGATGATTAAGTGATGGTGCAATTGGTGATAATGATATATTGTTATTATTATTATTGCAAACAGTCGAAATGTTATCAGATCTAATGGCACTATTTATAGTCAATTGTTGTTGTTGTTGTTGTTGAAGATCCGAAGTCAATAGATGACCATTTTCAATGTTGCTATTGGAAACGGAAATAGAATTTAAAAAGAAAAGAAAAAAAAATTATGGTCAAAGAACGAGGTCAAATTCTGGGTGTGTGTTTTTTGTTTTTGTTTTATTTTATTTGGTGTTTGCGGTAATGTATATATTTGTAAATATATAGCTATACATACATATAGACAAGAATAATTACAAATATGAAAATTAGAAACATATATTTTCTCTCTTATCATAATCATTATTATGCCTTATTAATCATTAAAAAACAAAGTCTAAATTAGCATTCCGGTATTCTTCACTGATGATTGATAATAATAATAAATTCTGAAAATATTTTATCATTGTAATTAATAATAACAGAATGTAGCCGGGTATTTTGATGGTGCGCCTGTCTGTTTGTGTGTGTTTTTTGTCTATATATAATGAAAACTTACCTAATAACCTGATGTATTAATATAATACTTTGTGGTCGGCTTGAATTTGGTTCATTTATAATTGTTGCCTGTGTTGTTATCCAACGATAGCCACCAGTTTTTACTAGAAATTTATATTGTCCAAAATCACATTGTCCTTTTGAAAACACTAAAATTTAGATTGAAAAAAAAAACAATAGTAATCAAAATCAAATGAAAATTATCAAGTTTTTTTTCAATCAAAAAACATAAAACACCTTCCGTACATAAATATAATAAAAGAAAACAGACAAATCAGATAAAAATACACATGTTTATTTTGGATGAAATGATAGACAGCGTGGCATTCAATTTCAACCCACAATTTTTTTTACAAAAACATACCTGCCAAACAAAATCAATCACTGTCATATTAAAATTATTATTAATAATAAACATTTTAAACAGAATCGATTTTCACAACAAAAAAAAATAAAATGGCCAAATCGAATGGCAAAATCGAATGATCATCGTGAAAAAAAAATTGTTTCAAATAATCATCATATCATAATCGAATGATTATGAATTAGATATATATCCAAAAAAGAAATATGATGATTGAAATAATTTTATCGTATTCGATATTGGAAAAATAAAATGACGTCAAAATTATTAAAACGATTGAGCGATAGAAAAAACACATATTGTTCAAACAAGAGAATTCCGGAACAAAAAAAAAATTTCCATAACCGCATAAGGAAAGAAAAAAAAATTTACCAAATGAACATACCATCAGCACAGAAACATTATCAATTAACAAGATTCAAAACTGAATACATTATTAACAACAACAAACATTAGACAAAATATTCAATATTTTTTTTTCTTCTCATATCTAATCAAATCAAAATATAATGATGATGATGATGTTTTTCTTCCTATCTTTCTTCCTTCACATTTAAATCATATATCTATTAAACACACACAAACAAAGAAAATAGAAAGACAAAATAAATCAAGCAAATGATATGTCACAAACAAACAAACAAACAAACAAACAAATCAGATAGTCAGACAGAAAAAAAAGAGAGAGACAAAGATAACTTGGAAAATTGGATTTTTGTTTTAAATGATAAAATTAATGAATGAATGATGATAATAAAAATAAAAATTAATTTTTATTTTGTTCAACGTCATCATCATCATCATAATTTAATGAGATTTTTACCATCCAACTATCTATCTATATGTGATGAGAGAAGGAAAAATTAAAATCCCATGTCTAAAATGGTTTCAGTTTTGGAAAAGTTATCATGTATGATGATCGTGATCATCATAAAAATGATGATTATTTGATGATAATAATGATATCAATATCAAATGTATACATTGAGTAAACACACCTACATTTTATATATTTTGAAAAAAATGGCCTTGTATATTTTCAATTCAAAATATAATCAAACAATATGTATGGGTTTCTGGGTTTATATTGGGGTGTTTGTTTGTACAATGTAACTATAGATAAATTATGATAGGAAATTAAGTTTTTTCATTTTCAATCATTGTAATCTTTTTCTTTTTTTTCAAGTGACAATTGACTTAAAAGAAAATTTCCCAGAATCTTATCTGATCAATATGAGGAAATTTTCTCGAGAATTTTTTTTCAATCGATTAAACAAATTCCGTGTACACAATTCTTCAATATACAACGTTTTGTTAACAGAATTTTTATTCTTTTTCAAATTATTGAATTAAAATGTCAAAAGTTAACAAAAAAAAAAATTCGATTCGATTGTTATTGGAGAGAGTGAGCAGGAAAAAAAAAGAATAATAACAGAATATAATAATATACAGTCGTGAAGAATAATTTCTATATATACACATACAATTGAATTCTTTTCCATACTTTTTTAGCAAAAGTTTTTCAAGAATTTCTTGAGAAAATTTTTTTTTTTGATTGATGTCTTTCCCTCCTCCTTGTTCACTCTTATGTGAATATTCACAAAATGTCAGCAGAATTTAGTCAAACAATTCATGTCTTTTTTTAAAGAAAAAAAAGCCAGCTGTATTCTGTATTCGGTTTATTCATATTACACACGCACACCCCCATCAACCTACCAATAATATACGCAAAAGAATAAGAAAAAAAAATTGTTTTTTAAAAAACGAAAGAAAATAAGTGCAAGTAAGCAAGCGATCGAGCAAAACCGGGCGCACGCCATAAAGTCATTTTGCTGAGTGAATATTAAAAGCAAACTGGGAAAAAAAAATTGCGGTGACAACCGAAAAAAAATGAAAAAAAACTATCATCAAACACATGAACTGAAAATAGACCGAACAAACAACAACAAAAGAATAAAAAAAATTGTGACAATATTCTTAAAGAAAAGAAAAAAGTGACGAAGAAAGATTTGAAATGATGAAGGAATCGAATTCCTTTGTCATCCACATCATAATCATCATCATCATCAATGTCGACAAATAGACGAAAATGATGAGAAAATTCTTATTCAATTCTTTATTTTAGAAAACAGCCTTTTTTTCTTTCTTTTTCTCTTATTTTTAAAATGAAATATCACTATGTCGGTATTAATTTGAATGCCATTTTCATCATCATCATCATCATGTCATGTATTCATTGTATGATGATCACCGATGATGATAATGTTTTTTCCATACATTTTTTTCGCATAACACACACGCACACAGTATTCAAACAAAAACTTTAGCCAAAAATTTTCATACATCAGAAACCTGAACCAAGTGAACATCATTTGATTTCGAAAAAAAAACCATTATTATATCCGCCCAGACCAGAAGAATAAAAATAAAATACAACTACCGATTCCATTGAGACATTTACAAAAGATGAAAAGTGATAATGATGATTATTATGATATAAATGGGTGTATACAACAATAATCACAAATAATAATAGCTTCGAGGCCATTGAGAAAACAAAAGAAAAAACATCATTAAATTATGTATTCTGTATAAAAGTAATCGAAAGAAGAAGAAACAAATCGAATTTGAATTTCTTCGATACAAATCATCATTTTCAATTTGATCATAAAATCGATAATTTGAATCCGAACATGTCTATTTTTGGTTCAAAAGAATCATATCAATTTTGTCTAGTTTCTAAATATTATTCTCATCACCATCGAAAAAAAGTTTTATCAATCTAATAACAATAATCATATGGTCCAAAATATTGATTAGAGTTTCATATTGATCAGAGATATAAAAGAATTTTACCAAAGAAATAGGTCAATCATCATTTACATGAATAAATGATAAAATTATCGAATATTTTCATTCATTCATTCACTTCATATTCATATATGATCTACAATCAATATATATGATCAAATCATCAAATAAATGCCAAACGATCCTGTGTAATATTTCGTTATGAATTGTCAAAGAAAATCGAAACAACAACCAAAAAAAAAATGCGAAAATCTTCATAATGGGTTATTATCAAATCTATTTTTTTTACAACGCAAACGCACTCAGAATCAAAAAAGGAAAAGAATTTCAAGGTCTTTGGCTATTACAATGTCTGATTCTTCCAGCCAAAAGAAAAAAAAAATGGGAAAAAATTCTTGAATCTTTTTTACTTTTGTGGTATTGTTGTTGTTGTTGTTTATTGATGATCTGGATTAATAACAAAAAAAAAACCAACCAACAATGAAATGGAAGCCGGAATCGGTATGAATGTGAGAAAAAAACACAAACAAAGTTTAACCGTTTGGTTTAGTTTAACTAAGTTGATTGATTCTATTTTATTTAGGGCGTGAAAATTATTATTATTAAATTTCTTTTTTGTTCTCATCATTACTGGCTATTGTCTTGGTGCCTTTTTAAATGAAAAAATAATAATAATTTCTTTTAGTTCATTCAATTCAATTCATTGCTACTGGTGCTTGTGTGTTACATAATTCATTTGCAAAAGAAAAAATACTAATGAAAATATCTCATCATCATCATCATCATCAGATACCAAGAATTTTGGCAAAAATAAAAAACATTCATTATTAATTTTACAATAATAATAATTATGATTAAAAATGAATTTAACTACAGCCATTAAGCCAAACAAGAATTATTACTGTTGCAAAAAATCATTTAAAAAAACCAAAAAAAGGTCTCAATTTATTTGGGAAAAAAACTAAAGATTTTTATTGAAATTTTTTTCAATTTACTACATTGGATAGTACATAAATATAAAAACAGTCACGTATAACTAAATCAAATGAAAATGATCATAGAATAAATGAATTTAAAAAAAAGAGCAAAACATTCATCATCATCATAATAATCATCATTATATGCGATTACATACGGATGAATATTATGGATTCAAAAAATAAATTTCAAAAAGAAAAAAAATATGTTCAGATGTTACAGAAAATCTAATAAAGAATTTTAGTATAAAATATATTTTGTTATTATGTATACATCGATTGACGTAATAGTTTTGTTTGGTTATATAATATATTTTTTTTTGTATTAAAAGCTAAAAGCTAAAATCGACAACAACAACAACAAACGACAATCAAGAAAGCAAGCAAGCAGAAAAAAATACATAAAATTGACTAGAATATATAGAGAGAGAAATGTTTGCTATATAGAAATGAAGAATTTCAATTCAATGATATTTAACAAAAAAAAAAATTGATGATCCAGAATAGCAGGAAGAAAAAACCAAAATACACAATAGACGTAGTTTTTTTTCTTGGTAAAACTAAATAGTCAAAGAAAAATGAATGGATACGCGCGCGCATTTATTTTCATTCGAATACTGATTATTTTCATTCATTGAAAAATCATTTATTTCCGACACAATGTGGTAGTGGAAATTCTTGTCTCGTTTCACATTTTTTTGTAGACCGATTCCAAGTGAATACACAGATATTTTGAAAATTGAATCAAAAAAAAACCAAGACAAGAAAAGTATAGGCCAAGAAACAAGATAGATTTCAGAAATCCGTTTTGCGACAATTGCGATACCCAGATACCCAGATACCAACACAAACAAAGAAAAAACAGGAAGCAAAACAATAAAAGCAAGGACAGCGACAACAACAACAGCCAAACATCATGATCTTGAAAAATGTAATTTTTCTTATTCTCTCTCACTCTCTATGTGTATCATCTATCTATCCATCTATATATGATGAT